TATATGAGAATAACCTCAATGAAATCTGCAATTGGTACATTGCTAAGCAATACTTAGTAAATAAGTAAAGGGCCTGTTTCCAGTAATGTTAATTCTCCATAGGAGCCTGCCCCCGTATAATTTCTGATCTAGCTCAACTACTGTTTTTTTCTTTTCCTAAGAATAATTTTACACCTTTCCGACACCCAGATTTCATAATTTCAGTGAAAATGTATTTTTATAAAGTTGTCAATTTCAGCATCAAAGACATAAGTTCGTAAATAAAAGAAGGTTATCTCGAAATTGTAATTCGCAACATAGTATAAATTTCTTTTGATAAATATTTCCAAAACATCGTGTTTATTCATAAAACATAAAAAAAATAATTCTCGGATGAAAATGCACTTGCAGAGACACAATTATGAAGAAAAATGCCATAAAATTGCAATTTTCTCCCGTTATATAGTTTTGGATGCAAATTTCCATCAGAAAATCGGATAGAGCTTTACTTGTTTCATATGTGTACCAAAAATCAGCTAATTCCATGTGGTGGAACGTTCTCATATCGCCGCCTGAATGTGGTTGTAAATTGAAAGAAAAGGGGAAATGAGTAACAACCTTGTCTGAAACCCTATTATATAGCTTATTATATACAAACTTTTATATTGAATATCAGAGCGGATATTTTCATGACAGTTTTATGATGTGTAACGACTAAATAAACAGTATCGATATAAAGATTTACACTGAGGACACCCTGATACATGAATACTGTTCTATCTCAAGTTGTCCTCTTCTGAATTTTCTGATCGTGTGGCCTTGTACATTTATCCGTATCTTCTTGTCTTTGTCTATACGTTTACGGAATCATTGACTCGACGCTAGCTATTCTTGTCTCACTTTCCTTGTTTTATTGTCCCATCTCCAAAGCGTTGTGGCTCTGTCAGGGTTGGGACCCTGACTTGTCTCACTTTCTTTGTGCCTGCCGACCACGCCACATCGAATAGATAGATTATCCATATGAAATACTTTATTTTGTTCTAAGTAATCAATCAATTCTGCGCTTCTTGGAGGTATTGAATGTGATTTATTATATTGTCTTGTTATTTTGTGTAATTAGTTGTTCGTTATTTATCACACATTTTCGCATAATTGTACCAAACTACTAAGTATTAGCTGTTTACAGCAATCATCGGTGGCTTGCTATTTTGTTACTTTATCGACGCTTCATAAACCAATCGTTATTGTTTCAAGATGGAGGGTAAATGTGTTGGAGAAGGGTGTCAAGTATACTTCAAGAAACGTAGTGGCAATAAGAACAGAAGTGCACGCAATGTAAATAGTCCACAATATAAATGGCTCCTAGATACGCTGGTGCAACAAGGATTGATGTCAGCAAAGGAACAAGCACTTATTTGCCAGAAGTGCTACATGAAGTATCTTCGGAACAAAAATCAGCCTGAACCTGAACCCGAGCAGAACCAGGAAATAGAGGAAGAAGACGACTCCCCGTCCCATATCCTGCCGTTGCTGACCCTTCATGATCTTTTGAATGGATCATCTTCACACAAAAAATGCTGTCTCTGTCTTGTTACCTTTGCAAGAAATGGAACAAAATCATCAGTCTTACCAAAACGTGCAAGACATCACCTGATCTATTCACACAAACTGTGGTGTCCCACCTCATCCCGCGTCTGCTCCATTCACCTTATTGGTAACGACTTAGATCCGTCTACAGAGGTTGTCCTTGATGGTAGAGGTTCCTTGGAATCTCAGTTACCATCAAAATCGTCCGAAATCATTAATGACCTCCTAGAGGTGTCGCACGTCCTTTCACAGAACCAGTCTGCGTTTACAATAAGCTTTTCTTCTCTTGATGACTCGGCATGCATGGCCTGGACAGGTTGGTCCAAAGATCAGTTCCTCGAAATCCACTCGCACTGTTCCCCATATCTTTCATCTGGTATATATACCAAGACTACACACGATGCTCTATTACTGTTCTGGGTAAAACTGAAAACCGACATTTCCTGGAGTCAGTGTTCTTCTCTTTTTGGAATTTCCAAGTCAAGTGTGTCCAAAACTTTCCACTCCATAGTACAGGCATTAGACACATCGATAGTCCCACAATTTCTAGGTCCGGATCACTTGACAAGAGAACAGTTGCTCGGGCACAATACTGTCTTTTCAGAAGCATTTTTTGGAGATAAAGCCACTGCCATATTAGATGGCACCTATATTTATATCCAGAAAAGCTCCGACCACAAGCTCCAGAGAATGTCCTACTGTGGCCAGAAGAAGAGAAACTATCTCAAATTCATGAGCATCGCCTTACCAGATGGCTACATTCTGGACACAGTAGGACCATTCACTGGCAGCGAAAATGATGCTACAATTACAAAAAAAGTCATGGACAAGCTAGTTACTTGGCTACAACCAGACGACAACGTTGTCGTTGACCGAGGTTTTAGAGATGTCCTACCAGTTCTCGAAGCCTCTGGCCTCAATGCTAGCATGCCGTCATACCTGAAACCCGGTCAAAGTCAACATTCTGACGTCCAAGCAAATCTTGACAGAACTATCACCAAATCGAGGTGGATTGTGGAATCCTATCATGGTCGTCTGAAACACTGGACGTTCTTCCGAACGCAATTGGTGTCTAACAGCTTTATCAATGTCATCGAGGCTTTGCTTCGAACCGTCACAGCCTGTCTGAATGGTATTAGAGGACCGATCTACCAGAGATCTCCAGAGAGAGATGCCAAAGATAGGCTAATGGCTGAACGTATGAAGGACCGTTTGACAACACCGAATGGTTTAGCTCAGAGAGTCAAGACATATCTGGACCTATCTAGACGGGCAAGGTCCGAGTTTGTCAAGATGGATGCATCTTCCGTACTGTTTCCCCGTCTCGATCTTGATTACTTGAGAACCATTACGTGTGGAACGTATCAGATATCTCTGGCTCCTGGTTACATCGCCGAACATTTAAGTGATGACGGAGACTATGAGGTGTGGCTTTACCAGCACTCCCCAGACCTTCTCCGATGTCAAATACATTCTCGACACAAAAGCCAAACGAAATATAACGTTTGGATACGGTTCACCGTTTCACCCGATGTTGAGGCCCCAATAAAGGACTACTACTGCCAGTGCCCAGTTGGAGAGAGAACGATGGGAATGTGTGCGCACATCTCCAGTATCTTGTACTACCTTGGGTATTACAGGACGCTGGAAAACCCTCGACCATTACAACCACAGGTAAAGAAATTCCGACAAAACTTGAAATAGTTTTCCATGCGGCAACGGAGTGCATATGTCGAAAGTATGTTTGGGGCTCGATATGAAAGATCCCCGTTACCATGTGACTAACCAAACTTATAAATATAGGTATTATACAATCGCCCGTAGCTATGAACACTCCCGTAAATGCGAAAACCAACCAAAATCATAAGGAACACGTTTTGTTTGTTGTTCTGTCTATTTGTCAGCCAATGTCTTCAACCACGGGGACTTGTGAAGTAGCCATCTTGGATTTTTTTTATGAAAAAGTGTTTCTCTCACTTTTTTTCATATCTGTGTACATATTCTCAACATACCGAGCAAATACTCTCGTTTTTTTGTTAATTATCTAAAGAAAGTCGAAAATCGGCAATTCAACCATAGGCTAATTCAACCCAACATTTGAAAATGTTCCACCACTTACATTTTGATGATTTTTCCTCTCATCAATAGCATATTACGTACTGTTTAATAGGATAAAAATTGGTTTGCATCCAACGCCCATAAAAGGGTGTATTCTCTAAAAAACACAGTTTTTGTGTCTAAAATGTTATCATCGAAAATGGCATTTTTGAGATTGTTTCTTCCATAAAACAGCCAAATGGCGCGATGGAAACATGATTTTTTGTCACAATCATGCCATGAATGTATTCTTTACGGTGACCATCATTTGATTAGATTTTCATTAATATTTTACATAACATGCACATTTTATCAACACTTAGACAGCTTCTGAAAGGTACAACTTTGAGGAGCCATAAAAAACAAACCAAGTGACCTAAATCTTTATACTTTATAGATTTGTGACCACAACGACATGGGCAATGCACCACCAACAGGAAATTTGAATCAGAGAAGGGGCCGTTTTGGAAACCGGCCCTTTACATTAACTTAGCTATATTACTATGAAAAAAGATACTATTACTTTTTACACCATTGTCTCGTTCATCTCATCACAGGCCAAAATGATAGATGATGCATGAACTGTTTATATATATAACATCTTCTTTTTATAGTATTTCAGAGACTACTTTACATACTTTGCTACCACATCAGGAGCCGGAAACATACTCTTTTATGCAAACAGCTGAAACTCTGGAGCAACGATTTCAGGTGTGTACGCTCGAAGTCTTTTGAGAAAACGTTTGGTGAGCAAAATTTCGTTTTTCTTTGTGTACGGCAGTTTACAATGTCCGAAGTCACACTGTCAATAATAATCTTTTCATCTGTTGCTTTTTTAAGCTACACACTATAGTTGCTATACCACCGTTTTATCCGTTAGTTGAATTAATTTCCTTATTATAAGGCAATTAACACGATAATACGATAAGGTCAGAGAGAGCTACATAGTAGTTGGAACGTACTGTTATAGTTAAGGCTGTATGCTATGCTCTAAGTGGCGTTATCCACTGACGAAGCCTTGTTCAGTTAACTTAACACAGGCATGTCTAGTTTATGATCAATTATATAAAGCCATTTACAAGAAGTAGAAAACATATCCGCATAACATAAAAATCAGACTTGTCCCTCTCCAATACGTTGCGTTGATAGACATATTACATTTAAGAAAGATCCCAATTTACTCTAAATGCGTGTTATTCAGAAGATGTTTATAGAGAAAATAAGCCTGACAGAAAGACTGTGGCGCTGGACGATGGGAGACGTGTCCCTTCCTAAACTTGATCTACTTAGACGTAAGTTTATATTTCACCATTTATGTTCAAGCTGTAGAAACAAAACAAAAACTTGCTAAAAATGTATGAAAATAATTTATTTTTCACCGTATAATGTGTAACCTTCATTTAATATACTAATACCAATTATATCATGGAAAGTCTTAGGTCCGGTAAATGCCAAACATTTTTTTTTATCATACTACAGTATTTAGAATATAATTTTTTACCGAAATGTTCCTTTTTATTTAATTACTTTCATGTCATTATACTACATTTAAGCAATGATACCGACAATGATTTTACATTCAGTGAGCCATTTCACAATTTTTTTAGATTTAAGCAGTGATACTGACAAATGTTTAATCTTTAATTACGCCTTTGTGGGACATATTTGGATAAAAAAAAATCAAGCATTTACCGTAACGACTTTGAGATACAACACTACACAATGTTGTAATTAATACCTGCGTCTGCATCATCGAGACGGACACTTGATCATGAACAACCATATCACAGACAAAATGTGTCATGTATATTTATACAATAAAAATAGGTCACAGTGACCTATATACAAATAGTGACCTACAAATACTTAAGAAATAACACTGTACATGTTTTAGGTGCTAATGAATTAATTGTGTCAAAGGTAAAAAAAAAACTTCCCAATCAATTAATGATATCATTTAACATCCCAAGTAATAAAAGTCATAATCTAATATCACAAGCAGCAATTTTAATACGACATAAGAAATCATACCGACAAAATACAATTTAAAATCTTGTTTTCTTTCCATGTGCCATTGCCGAATTCATCAACGACCTAAGCTACATACTTAAGAAATTGAAAACAAAAAATCCTTTCTGCTGTACTAGTGAAACTTTTAGAGTAAACTACAATGAAACTATAATGAACAATGATATACATGAATTGCAGGACTCATCCTTTTTCCTCTGATAAGTTTAATGTATCATTCATTCTCTGTCACAGATGCAATTTTGATTTCAGGAAGAAAGGTGTGAAGCTGATGTGCATACTTCGGGATGTATTTTTTCGAATACATGTTTCGGGGACACAGCAAGCATCAAGGGTGTGACGACACATTCAATAAAACGTCAATCTACAAGTTGTTTTCATCATTATAAAAACAACATATGATAGGTGAGAGATCAGAATGGCAATAGACAATTGAAGACAGAAATGATAATAATGATGATGACTGCAGAAACAAGACAAAACAAAACTAAACATATACTTAATATCACAAACAGACGAAAACGTGATATATCTAAAATAAAACATAAAGATCACAATGCAAAAAAGTTGTAAATAAATTAATGAAAGCTACTGGTTTATACATGTACTGTATGAAATAATAAATATCGTCTATGCTGAACTATAACTGACAAGTATCTAAATAAATAATTGGTGAGTAGGTGCATTTTAACATAGGACGGATAACAATACTGTATAATTAACCGATACTAACTAAACAGGACATTTCACATCGAAATAAAATAAAATATAATAAAACGTTAACGTTGTGCAACACTTTAAGTGGGTCACTATTGCTTAGAAGAAAATTTGGACATTTAATATGGAGAAAATATCAATGGATTTCAATGTTCAATGAATAATGTATAACATAATTTAACCCCTTAAATAACATGTACCAATAATATAATTATCACATTTTATCACAGTGCAATAATCTCGATTTTACTAAATCAAGAAATGAAAAATATGTATGGACCCATATATTCACAATTCACCACGAAGCTCAAGTTTAAATTTCATGTTTCAAAGTCAATAAAGTTTCACTTTAGAAATTTTTTTGAATACTTTTATTAACCACAAAATCACATAACTTTTATGAAATCTTTGTAAAAAAAAGTTGTTAAACCTAGCGTTTATATACAACTCTGAGCCTTTTTTGTTTCTGATGTGAATAAAAGTAGTACATCTGTATACCGATTTTCATCAGCTGGAAAAATGTACCACAAACTTCTACACTGCAAAAAACTGATACATAATCCTAATTCTTAAGTGATATGTTTGTATATGTTTAAATTTTGATTTAATGTCAACAACAAAAAAGAGGTAGTATTCCCTAGAACGATCATTTGACCTCCTTTTTATATAATTAGAAACAGAACGGTCATGTTAACATACACGGCTTCCAATTTTCTCTATATCTATTTCATTACCATTGTATTGCATTAAGGTAGAGAGTCCCAGCGCCGTGTCTTATTTCCTACATAGAAGAGTTCCAACTAGTTCCGCATCTTCTTTTGACAGGAAAATAACATTTTTTAGAACCTATAAACGGAAGTAAAATGGTGGGTCTCTACCTTTAGTTATATGTGATTATCTAAAGCATGGTTCACTATCATTTCGGTTAATCTATATAAATACAGACAGCATTAGTCAATTATTTATTTAATAAATACTTCTTTCCATATAATGAATTCTTTACAAAAAAGATTTTAGCATTACGTTGGTATAATAGTTTTAAAAGCAAAATACATAATTCACAAAGGAAATAAACAAATATTGAATATATATCTTTTAACTGCTAACGAGAAAAAACATCAATTTGATCAAAGGTAACACGAGAATATTACTATTCTATACTTAGATTTTAATCCGTTATCTATAAACTGCTTTTCGAAAGAGATAAAACAAATTCAATCTTAAACATGCATAGTGATAAAAAATACTCAGGACTATACAAACCATAAGTTGTATTAAAACAATATGTGGATTGTTTGTACATATTCAAGGAATATTTATCAGCTTCATTTCCACCCACCATGAAGTTTGGTCAGATTTCAAATTCATGGCACCAAAGTGAATTGATGCAATTAATAGTTTCACATCATGGAGTGTAGTTTTGTTTATTAAACACATCATTCACATTATTTTGTACTTAAACTTGTTACAACACACTTCAGGAACAACTGCAGTTTTCCCCAGTGTATAACATGTTTGTATAAATATTAACATACTACAACAAAGCACACGTGAAAGACTTGTGTAGGCGGTATATAATACTAAAAGTACTTTATACATCAATATGTAGACAGAATATTGTTCTTTTAACAATTTAATATAGTTTTCATTAAAAAACTGAGACAAAATAAATATTTATGTAAAACATGAAAATAAAAAACATGAAAATAAAAGAAACCTGCCTGTTACAGCGTATATACATAAGTAACGATGTTACTATCACAGGATTTGGTACGAGATACAAGTTGTAGATCATCAATCTGGACTATGATCAGCTGAACTATCTACCTCCCCAGTATATCTATTCTAATATTAAGTAATGCTACCTCTATTTCATTAAGGACAAACAATTTTCAAAGAATATAGAATTCCCTTATGTAGAAATTGTCTTTTCTGCTTTTATACAAATAGTTCTTTTTTTAACTGGTTACAAATCTTATTTATCCAGAATCAAATTTTCCAGACAACTTGATCTGAAGTTCCCCTGGCCCAGCTTGTAATATAAGAGGGACCTTTCTAATAATGATATACCTCAAATAATGAAAATAGCATACATACATTGTACCTACTCGATATCCTTAACTTGCACCAATGCAATTTAATATGAAAACAATAAAATGTAATGCAATGCTAAAGCCTTATGTAAAAGGAAATGTCATATCAAAGATTATTATTCCATAATTTACACATATTTTTCATGAACAAATAATGATGCACTACATATAATGTCAGTATGACTAATCATTCAAGTGGATAAAGAACAAATCCATAGACATTTTAACTTGATCAAGTCATTGCATGTGGTGACACTTGAAAAATATATACATGTTTAACAATTTCTTATTTACAAATCTGATGAGTTTCTATGTACCCTGGATAAGGTGTTATTGTGTGACATAGAATATAGATCAAACAAACGATTTGCACGTTTACCCTTCAATCGGACAACTGTAGTGCCCATATATAGCACTACGTCATGTGAACCCACTGCAATACACTATGTGACCATAGTAGCACTGTGATACCAATAAAACATTATCACAAATAGTAAGATGATTCTGAACTCCTTCCATCATAATTAGCCAAATGATTGGAGTACAGAACCCATTAACTCCACCGTATTTCCACTGATAGCTCGACACCATGCTTACAGTCAAGCATATCTACAAATCCAACACAATAATATTGTCTGATGATTTACTGATGAACAAGAGAAGCTAAAGTTCGCATTCCTCTATGTTGATCGTGTAACAGTCTACGGTTAGTGTATTCATTCGCTGATCAGTCATCCTCTAATTTGTACATGTTGATCCTGCAGTGACTACAAATGTTGTACTCTAGGTGACAAACCAGAAACACTCTTGTCCATTTTGAGGTGACCATGAATAATATTCTTCAACATCTAGGTGACACCAACTTGTTGCCCAAAAACCCTGGATAACAATTTGTGAATATCCACACAGCAACCCTTTAGTTAGGAGGTGACCTGGGATGTTAAAACACTATCCAATTGTACAGCTGATACGGCACAGTGCTTCCCCAAGTTAAACTTGAGGTGAGGTGGGATGTAGTTATCTAGTGGCTATAATCCCTAATCCACACAGCGACCCTGTGGTTGACCTTGAGATGACCTTGAATGTTACGATGTTATTATTGTCCCGCATATCAAAGCCACCACTTTAATTAAAATAGCGAGGCTGCAGTTGACTTTGAGATGACCTTGAATGTTTGATCTAATTTGACCTTGAAGTGACCTTGAATGTTACGACACTACCTAATCATCTAGCTGACACAGCAGAGCTACTCCTCTGTTGATCCAGTGGTTCTCCTCCATGTCTATAGGCAACATAATGGTCAGGACAAAGTTGGTGGAGTGACCGGTGGTGGACAGGGTCCCTCGCCGAGCACTGGTCTTGTAAGCTGCAGAGCAAGTGGAAATCAGTTTTATCTGGACATTACCCAAATTTATTTAGTCTGCCTAGCATTTTCATTTCACAAGAAGGTATGACATTAAATGAAAATCAGATCACCTCCAGATAAACAACGAAACCGTTTATTAATATGTGAATATGGACAGGGCTTACATAGGCTGTGCCTGTTGCCCATTCCCTTTAACAATTTGCCATCTTTGTCAATAAAATATGTTGAAATGAAAGATAAGCAATAACTGTAACATTATTTACAGATATATATTTGGAACATGCCTCGGCGGCTATACCTGTATTGACTCGTCATCAAACAAATTACTTGGGTTAAAATCTTGCCAAATACTGCAGACCTCATGCTAGACTGGAGCTGCAGATTTCAATCAACTTAACTTGAAATAGTGAAATAGAGTGTTTTTCATTTCTGAAGTGCTTTGAACAATATAGCTAAAGAAAAATTCATTTCTTTATTTCATAAAACAATCTAAAGAGCACCTGGTGTCAGATTCATTGTACTTACTGGGACAGGCGTAGGTATTTCTGAGGTCAAACTCAGCCTTATTCCCTGGCTTCAGTTGTATCTGTGTGAGTCAAGTATCAACAAAACGACACAACGAAATATATTCTTCTACAAAGAAAAACATTAAATGATTCTGAATCTTTCAAAAAGATTTGTTTCATTATATAAACAGATAAAAAGGTCTGGTTTAGTTGAATATTTCGGTACCCTTAATCGAATACCCCTAAATACTTCAAAATTAAAATAACCCTAAAAGAACTTGTTTGAGCAAGTCACTGCATTATTTATTATGGCAAATGTAAAATACATTTCGTTGTGAAATCAACATTTTTTTTTAAACAAATCAACCTGAAAAAAATGTTTGAATACAACAGTCAGATTCTTCTAATTAGTGTTACTGGCCTCTGCGGCCAATCTGCTTTCAGTATTATCTATATTTCAGAACTACTACCAGACTGACAACGTATCAGGACTGGATGTGGGAACAAACGAATGCTCTTCACTGCATCATACTGAACTCAGAAAACATTACTGCTCTTCATGGTATCATAATGAATTCGGAGAAGACGGACAATCACTTTACAACACATTGGTGAAAGGATACAACTGGCATGAGATCATAGAGGATCTTTGGGAGGGACTCCACGATGACCTTTTCAGTCCGACACCAACGGGCTCCCTCCATAAAAAGCCCCTTGATATAGGCCCCATCAGACTAAAAGAGAAACAAAGGCATAACATTGTTACATGTGTTATAAATGGACATAGAAATAAGAAGTACAAATTCATGTTTTTCATTTTTTTTTAAGAGCATGACATAATTTTGATAAGGCACTCATATTCATAAAAAAAAATCGCATTTTTTTTCTGGAAATTGCTGAAAATAGACAACAAATATGATTTTAATGTGAAGCATTTAATGATGTTTCTATAAAATCTTTATCATACAAATTGTGTAAACCCAAAATTAATTAATTAATTTGGTTTCTGATAAAGTAACAAATTTTCCAAGGATTTAATAATTGAAAATAAGCATCTGAAAGTTGAGGTTTACAGATCATTAGAGACTATATACAAACACTACGGAATTACTTACCGGTTTACTAGACATGTTAGCTTCTGATTTTGTCACCTCAAACTCGAAGCCGAGGTGATCAATGGGGATCTTGTACTTGCGGGCGTAGTTCTGCATCACCCCTGTGAGGAATGACTGGGTGAAGTAAAACCCAGAAATCCAAAACACAATGGACGGCCCTCCATATATCCAGTCCTGCAAAGGGCAAAGTTCATGCCATCAAGGGTCAAAGGTCACATGTACAACTAAATGGGTAATGATTAAAACCAAACTCAGGTATGAGGTTTTGCTTTTATTCCTTTTACATTTAAAGTACATTGTATGTCGGAGAAGCTACATATTAATCAAAAGAGTACAACAATTTTCAGATTAGAACTTGGGGTGGAGCTGTCAACAGCTTTTAAATGCGAAGCTCAGATCATTACTAGTGTCATATCATGGCTCTGTAGATGTTGAGGAGGCAGAAAGGAAACATTTAAACGTAAAGGGAAAAGAAGGTAGAGGTACAAGAACAGATATGAGTGTCAGTTTATGTACCAGTAGCTAGATATGAGTGTCAGTTTATGTACCAGTAGCTAGATATGAGTGTTAGTTTATGTACCAGTAGATATGAGTGTCAGTTTATGTACCGGTAGATATGAGTGTCAGTTTATGTACCAGTAGATATGAGTGTCAGTTTATTATGTACCAGTAGATATGAGTGTCAGTTTATGTACCAGTAGATATGAGTGTCAATTTATGTACCAGTTGATATGAGTGTCAGTTTATTATGTACCAGTAGATATGAGTGTCAGTTTATGTACCAGTAGATATGAGTGTCAGTTTATGTACCAGTAGAAATCAAACTATAATATAATCTTGTGACAAAGTCAGAGTCCCTTAGAGCCACACCTTGAAGAATGTAAGCCTTGCCAGAAGGTCGGTAACGTAGCTCCCTAGGGGCTTCAGGGACGGGTACGATTTCGCTGCCCACATAGCTGGGACCTGCAACAAGATATGAAATGAACAAATGTTGTCAATCAGGCACAAAGAACCTCCGGAATCAAATTCAAACAATGTTTGTTCTAGTTAAAAACATCTGGAAAAACAGTTCATGAATTCAACTGTCTAAGACACAGGCAATTTTTACACTATTTAACTCAGTTATGTAAAATATTCTGAAATTGAAAAATACACAATTCTTTACCAAGGCATTTCCTTTTACCTGGACAAGTAATAGTATAACAGTATTTTTTTTAAATTTGTTACCTTGCCAACCATCATGCTGTCAAAGACATCCTCAAGTTCTGAGGACATGATAACGAGACCCTTGATGGCTTTGCGGATATCCTGGAGACTGCTTCTCACAACTTGGATTAAACGATTGAACCTGATCAGTTCCTGAAGCAGCACCGTGTTCATCGACTCTTCGTAACGCACCGGGTACTTTGTCTGCAACAGCAATAATGTCACTCATCTTTATTTCATAGTCTGGATGTACAAATGTATCTTGATCAGACAACACTTTCCTTGACCTCCTTAAGGCTGAAGCATTGAGGTGTCTTTTTAAGGACATCACTTGACTTGACCTCGTTGAGGTAGAAGTCTGGAGGGATACCAATCAAGTGATAATTACTTTGATCTCCTCGAGGTTGAAGTCTTGAGGTATCTTGATCAGATGATAATAATAATTTCACCTTGACCCCACAAGGATAAAATCTGGAGGTATCTTGACCAGATCATAATTACACCTTGACCCCACCAGGATAAAGTCTGGAGGTATCATGACTAGATCATTATTACACCTTGACCCCACCAGGATAAAGTCGGGAGGTATCATGACCAGATCATAATTACACCTTGACCACACCAGGATAAAATCTGGAGGTATCTTGACCAGATCATAATTACACCTTGACCCCACCAGGATAAAGTCTGGAGGTATCATGACTAGATCATAATTACACCTTGACCCCACCAGGATAAAGTCGGGAGGTATCATGACCAGATCATAATTACACCTTGACCCCACCAGGATGAAGTCTGGAGTATCTTTGTAAGCATTTCAACATACCTTGACTTCCCCATGTTTGAAGATTTGATTTTTTTTTTTAAGGATCTCACTTACCTTGACCTTCTCAAGGTTGAAAACCGGGGCTATAACGATAAGATGACACTCACCTTGACCTTCTGAAGGTTGAAAACCAGGGCCGAGTTGTATAAAACATATCAAAGTTAAGGAAAATCAAAAGCAATGTATTGTCTATGGTAAATCTTAGACTTGAGATGTGTTATACAAGTGGGCCCTGAGCTATAACGATAAGATGACACTCACCGTGACCTCCTCAAGGTTGAAGACTGGTAGAATTTTTGTAAGCATTTTATTTTCCTTGACTTCCTCATATACAGGAGATTTTTTTAGGATTTCACTTACCTTGACCTTCTGAAGGTTGAAAACCAGGGCCCACTTGTATAAAACATATCAAAGTTAAGGAAAATCACAAGCAATGTATTGTCTATGGGAAATCTTAGACTTGAGATGTTTTATACAAGTGGGCCCAGAGCTATAACGATAAGATGACACTCACCTTGACCTCCTCAAGGTTGAAGTCTGGTGGTATCTTGGTAAGAATATCACTAGCCAGCTCCTCTATGATTTCTTGAGAGGACTTTCCACCTCCACTGGTCTGAAGAACAACAAGGAATACCAATGATGACTAAGGGTATTGGTTGTCACAAAACACGGTTGAGCCCTAGGGAAATGATCAGGTCTAAAGGTCTCTACATCTACAGAATTAGAACTAAAAGTAAAAAACTGTTTATTGTACATCTGATACAGTATGGTACAAGCTGATAAAATACATACATGTGGTTTTCAGCATAGCTGTCAACCCTCCCTCATTAGGAGGGAGACTCCCTCTTTTTGACCAAAATTTACCAATCTCTCTCGAAACTCCCTCATTCAAGTCCAAACTCACACTAACCCAAGATCTACATCCTGTGGTCAAATGATCTCCTAGTTACTGCAGGGTGTGTGTAATGATCATAACAAGTTAATGTTTTTTGGAGTTATTTTGATACATAAAAAGGGAAAGATAAATTGAGCAAAGCAGTTTCAGTCACATTTCATGCACTTTCTCCCTCATTAGAAATGTGGAATGAGGGAGATCTCCCTCATTGGAGGTTTCACAGGTTGACACCTTTTGGAGAATAGATATTTGGAGGAAAATAAATAAATAAATTAGAGGACATTACATTATGGAGGAGTGTTGGTATTACATTATTAATATAAGCCATAACATATTTTTTGTTAGAAAATATCTTTCATTTAGATCATAAATACATATAGGAGGATTACAAAATACATGATCATGATTACAATGTAATACAACTCGAATATAAACATATAGAGAAAAAGGCTATTTACTTATTGTAGCATTATAATTATCATATTCAAAATGAAAAACTCAAGTTTTTGTTATTTGAGAAATTACATGAGAAATTATTCAAATTTATTTGCATATAATAAAGAATCGGTATATTTTCCCTGTATTTGGTAAATTGATGTCAATGTCAACAGGTTCACCAGCATTAACCATCACCTTGGGTTAGAGGGTACAATATTTGTTAATCATCAACCTGGTCCGGAGGGTATAAACAAACCATGCCTATATATGCCAAACCCAACCTAGACATGCTCCATTACAACTGTACAAGGCTTCATATCAACTAAATTAAACTTATTCACCCCTGCAGACACATTTGAACTCTTCCAATTCAAAGCTTGGAATAGTTTATTATGAATTTTTAGGGGTGAATAAGTTAATGCAGGTCTTTGTGAATCATAGAGTCACCATTTGTTGATGATTTCTAGGCGTTTTCAAACTGATTAATCTCATTGTTCCTTTTCAAGATCTATAGAGGTAAAACAGTTCATTAGAAGCCTTAATTAGCTACCATCTTGGAAATTCAACGACAATTGTTCAGGGTTTTCTGATGTTAAATATTAATACATGCACAGGGTTTGGTCGGAGCACTCAATTTAAAAGAAGTTGAAAATGTCTCAAGAAATTCAGACCCTTTCTAAATTTTAAACTGCATAAAAACTGAACAACATTTCAGACAACAAAGAAAATCTTGCACTGTATTTTTGAGGAGAATTACTTGACAGAGACACAAGAAAATTAACCTAAGAAGGACAGATGTCACATTGTGGTATAAGCTTATATAAAAGAAAAAAGAAAAGTCAAAACTTAATACTACATTTATGAATACAAATTCTGAGTTTGAGTTAATTTTCAGAGTGAACAAATAATTGAAATTATTTTTAGATTTAAGCAGATTTCAGTAATGTGTAGACAAGATAAAATATAAGGTGCAAAATTGTTATTAATATGAAACTGAAATCATATATCTTTACATTAATTTACAAAAAAATAAATCAAAAAGTGCAAAATCATAAAATAAATTGTGATTCTTAAAATTCTTGTACTTGTGAATTAATAATAAAGAATATAAATATTGTAAATATTTTAATAAAATTTAAAATGGTAAATTATCAAATGTGACAACAATATTAACAAAATCTATGAAGAAATAAAACATGATACAATGATCTACCACTCACTTTCATGTATTGTTTTTTTGGTTGAATATCAATCTGAATCAAACATGCAGGATTATTAATCAAAATTCCAATTATCATTCATGATATAATTAGTCTACATTAAAAAAAAAAGAAGACAAAATCTCCTTGACACTTTTGACCTCCACATGATGCAACAAACAGCTATTTTTGTTTTCATCACTTAATTATGGAGCGATTTGTGAACTTATTTATGAAATATTCAGTCAATGAATGGGGATGATTTTACCTAAAGTTAAAAAACCTGAGTACAATTGTTACTAATGTAATGATTAATACACACTGTACCATGTCAAAGTGATGGAACTTTGTGAAGTATGGGTTCCCATGAACTTTGTGAAGTATGGGTTTCCATGAACTTTGTGAAGTATCGGTTCCCGTGAACTTTGTGAAGTATGGGTTCCCATGAACTTTGTGAAGTATGGGTTTCCATGAACTTTGTGAAGTAGCGGTTCCCGTGAACTTTGTGAAGTATGGGTTTCCATGAACTTTGTGAAGTATGGGTTTCCATGACCTTTTTGTACTTTTATCCCTATTATCCTACTTTTCTCATTATGTATAGCAAATATCTAAATATAGAATCTTTCAAAATTGATTTCATGATCAGTACTTATAGAAAGTTAAGTCTAACAATAGCCATAACACTTTGTATCATTTAAGTATCTAAGTTCTGTTGAATATCTGTAGGATTCCATCTTCAACAGAACTCAATTAATCCAGAAAATTTGAATTTTTCACTTTTCCATTATTTCCAGAATTAAAATGATATAATAATATAATTTTCCCCAAAAAATTATATTCTTATGTATCAAATATTAAGCAGATGTTGAAAACTGCAGTTCCCAAGCATTTTTACCCATTCCGGCTCTTCAGATACACATAAATTCCGGCTCTTAAGATACACATAAATTATGTACTTGTGGATTGACTTGACAAAGACATAATTTGTTGTGTGTTTATTCATTTTAATATAACCTCAATTTACCCAGATTAACAAAGTTCCACCACTTTCTACATGTGCATGTCTACATCCATATCTAAAGTCATCTGTTTCAGCAAACCCCATAACAAAGCTCGGTCAAAAACACCAAGAACCTGTAAACTGCAAACTGAAAATAAAGAGGAAGTAAAAATAGGATTTCTGTTTGATGGAAACTGTGAACAGTGATCGAAACACACCACACTGAAATTGACATGATATATAGTCAATCTGTACATTTCAAACATGTGGGGATATATCTGTGATTTACCTGGGTATTATAATGTATGTATAGCAAAGGCAATGCAGTGTTCAAGATTATATTCTTGTTTATAAGGTTAGTTTCTTTATAGAATATGATGTATTGTCAGAAATACAATCCTCACATCAAGTTTATTTCTCTGTAAAAGATGAAATTTCTTATTTCATTTTTAATCATTCTAAATGCATTTAAAATGCACTATTTTAGCATATGAAAAAACTGCTCTAAAATTAAATTATTATATTAATATATTATGTCAAGCAGGAAATAGTTTGAAACAATTTTGTCAACTGAAATTATTAGAATTCTTTAAAACTTCTATTTTTGATAAAAAATCTTGGAAATGCTACAAAAATTATATTTTTTTCAGCTAAAGTTTTAATCTACGAACACTTTGTCATCAAGATACCCATAACCATTTCAAAATATTTTAAATTTAGATTAAATAAATTAAATTAAAATGAAACAGCTGCTTTCTTTTCCCATTCAGCACACAAAGAGTTAAAGAACACCTTTCTCATAAAACAGATGCACAAGGTCAAAACTAGGTTACTTCACCCCAACAAATACAACCAAGTTCACACGGGTCTACCTCATCCTGCGATGTTGACAAAGATAGAGGTCAAAGGTCAAGCCATGCAAGGTCATCCAAATTAAAGAAAAAATTCAAACATTTGTTTTTTAATAATGGTGTACTCCAGAAAACAGTGAAATATATAATCAAATATAGTCAATGAATTCACATGCAATAAAAGTAGTAATGAGAAAATGCTTTACATGATGGCATAAGAATTGAGATATGTTTAAGGGCAGCCAATTCTGAAACAAGAAACAACAACACAAACATTTAATTTAAAAACAACAGATCTATTACAACATGATGTATCCCCAGTGTGTATTGTGCTGACAGATCTAAAGTATCAAATGACCACTACTACTGGTACAACCACGAGATGACGGTGCCTTCCTCGTCATTAACAGGTATGATTGGGGCAAAACCTGTCTGTATTCACTTAGCTATTTAGATATTATTGGCCACACTTTAAGGCTGTAACTAAGGACTGGCATGACTTTAGCTTCTATAAATCATTTCTGAACAGAAAACCATACCTTAGAAATGAGAAATAGCAGAGGTGCAATAAACAAAGTATAATCAACAACAGTGTTCTGAATGTTAAAAATAAACTGCGAGGCAAGACCGGGATTTGAACCCTAGACTTCAGATTGATATAAACCATTGCTCTACCGGGTCAACTGTAGTGTCTTCTCAAACTATGCTACAGTTTTACCCAAACGGAAGTTAATGGGAGGTTACTATATATAGGAAAACCAGGATGCATTGGGACAGGCATCCTTTAGGTAATATTGGGATAAGGAAGATATTGGTATGGTCGTTTCTTTTTTGTATATATTTTCTACAGCTGTCAAAAACATATTTTTAAATCAAATCATTACATTGGAATATGGTATATGAAAACCTTTGGTGGTTAGATTTCTAAATTATTGATAAATTGAAACATAATTTTTAATGTTACAGTTGTCTCCCTTGTTCATATGATACACCAGATAGTTTAAGAATTGGTACGAACCAAACAACGATCTGACCCGAGATTTCTACAAAAATAATCTACTGCTACTAGCCAGTGAATTTGCATAAAATTCAAAAATAATAAAATTGATATTTTCAGCCCCACATATTTGTTTGTTGATTGACAGCCCGAAAGGTTAAGGAGAAGACAACTGACTGGAAAGCTTGTGTATGGACAAGGTTCTTTCTTTCCTGTTTAACTAGCTTAAGCTACTAATTAAAGACAATATATAAAGACACAAAACAAAGCTGCAAATACTTAGCAATGGCACAATAGTTAAAAGTAAGAAACAAAATTCAATTACAATATTTAACCAATGTTGACAAATCTGATTTGAAAATTACTACAGTGTACTAACAATCATCGTTCTGATTGAAGTAAATTCCTTTTTTTAAGAGATCACAAATACGATTAAAATATCAATTTTATCCAGTGCATAATACTAACATGCAACATATGTTTCTAGAAAACGAAAATGATGAAAGATATGCTGGAATACAAATTAACATTAAAAATATATAGATTTTTTAGATCCTCTAAAATAAGAACACATATGTATTGTAACGCACTGTTTTTTTCCGTTACCTCTAGCAGCTTAATTTGCGTAAAATAAATGGCTTGGCACATGCATTATCAGCTAGCAAATGTAATCTACTGCGATCTGTTACAAGCATATGCCTAGCAGAATCGTAAATATCAAAGCAAATTCTATTACATTACCTATTACAGAACATTTATCACTTTAGCAGTAAAACATTAAAATCAATTGAAGTACCAAGCCACAATCTACAGCTGTAGGGCAACAGGTACATACTGGCAACCTTAGCACCATGGCAGTTTCTTCATAAAAATCTTCAGTGTCATAAATCACCAACGAATAATGCTTCGATTTGAAAGCTTAACATCTTTACTATGCAATTCCTTAGCAACTATTATATGACCAAAGGGAGGTAACTGACCTGTCTCGGCAACGTCAGCAGGATGCCGTCAAACAGCTGTTGAGTCTCCTGCTGGTCTTTAGATATATCAGCGTTCTCATGGAAACCATATACCTGTAGTATTAAATTCAACTGTATAGGAGGACAGCAGTTATAGATTTTCATTCAAATAAAAAGAGGAAATATAATAAACCCAGTAGAGTGATATGACTTTAAGACTCTTTCATGACGAAGGGTATAGGATAGAGAAATTCCACTTAAGTGGTTTTCATATAAGTGTAAAACCCGGACAAATCTGGAGGATAGAATTCCCCTATCCTACACCTCTGGCTATGAAAGAGTATTTTTCTCTCATTCTTATAACCAGAATTAGTTCAGAAACTACGATATCGCACCACAGTTTCTGTATCGCCTCATTGAAATGTTCCTGATTTGGTGACGTCACATCATTGTTTTCCATTTTAATGTCACACACATAAAAGGGGTGAAAGATAGAAATCTTTTAAAAGAGAAAAAGATGTTCTATTTATACCAACAGTGACCTGGGTTCATGAACCTGAAATCAGAACTCTTTTGTGGTATTTAATAGCAAGGGCATAAATAGTCATTAGCATAAGGGGAAGGAGGATGACTACAGTGTGGTGTAAGTTGAACTCACCTCGGGATGTGGTGTAAGAGGCAGGCTCTTGATGTAGGCCACATAGCTATCATACGACCCCTTTGGCGGAGCAAAGTAGATTCCCGATGATGACAGTTTGTAGTTGTCGTCTGTTATAATCTCACCAGAGTAAAATATCTTCAGGATACTCATAATGAGGCGTCGATCGTTGTCGTCGGTTACCCGGCCACCGTAGTTACATTCACCGGTCAAGTAGGACAATGCCTCCAGGGGAGGGTCTTTGTAGTCACTGATAAACATCTGGTAGGGACAGATAACACAGTGTCAGCTCAACAATAAAACAACTAAACAGGGGGATAACTTTCATCAGAAAAATACTTCAGGGAAGGATAAAATCTTAGGTTTTATGAAATACAGCTGTTATTAATAAAAAGACCATCCTCTATTGCCATAGCATGAAAAGTCTAAATTTAGTGAAATAATGCAAAATGTTCAAATGTTCTGGAGCGTCGTTTTGATATTGTACTGAAAAATTAGCCCGCAATTGGATACAAGATTTTTCCTGATTCTAAGACCACTGACAGATTCAACACCTTACCTCCAGCTGTCTGACTGATATTCGAAGGTCAGATTCATTGAACTCATATGGAATGTTCCAGCCAAGCGGTCCGAATTTCCTCCTCTCCTGAACCAGGGCATGGAAAAAGCACAAGCCAAACAGTAGCTTCTCAAACACCTATTGGAACAAATGTAAGGTGACAAGTGAAACGTATTACATTTAATGAATGAGTAATTTGTTATGTTATTTTCCTTGGGTTTTAAAAACAATGATAGATGAAAAAGATTTTGCAGCAACACAAGCATCACAGTCGAAACCTGCTCATGTGACCACCTCCATTAAAAGCCCACCTGTGTTAAGAGACCACTTTAAATGATCCTCAAAGCAGTGATTTCAATGTGAAGTTAACCTGTATTGAGAGGCAATTAACCTCCATTAAAAGACTACCTGTATTAAGAGACCACTTTAAATGAACCTCAAAGCAGTGATTTCAATGTGAAGTTAACCTGTATTGAGAGGCAATTAACCTCCATTAAAAAAACACCTGTGTTAAGAGACCACTTTAAATAATTCCAATAGCAGTGATTTCATTGTCAAGTTAACCTTTATTGAGGGACAACCTGCATTAAAAAAACACTTAGAAAATAGTACATGGAATGAAAAAAACCCACAGCAAATCACACAGCAATTATTTCTATTAATCTATTTAGAGTAAGATGAGTGCAAAGTTTCATTTTGTTTCAGTAATTTCGGAATAATAAGTTTGGACAAAGTTGTCAGTTACTAGATGGATTTATCTGAGGTGAGAATCCTCCAGGTCAGTTTTGAGACAATCTCTGTACCAGTGCTTAAACTCATTCACCCCTGAAGACACATTTGAACTCCTCTAAATCAAAGGTTGGAATAGTTCATTATGAAATTTCAGGGGTGAATGAGTTAACTAATACGGTGACCCGAACTCTTCTATACTTACATCAGGTTTATTGCACGATTTAAAGAAGGAGGGATCAGATATTGGATCGTTGAGGTAGGACCTGAGCAGGTTGGCCCTCAGTCCTTTTGGCGGCTCATTGGTCATCTTGATCCCGTTCTGTAGGACAGACACAGGGAAGTCTGGTGAGGGGTAGCTGGTCAGCCACAGACGGAAAGTAGGCTTGGTCTTTGTTGGGTCATTTATCACCTATAAACATTTGTGGGATAAAATGATAAACATTTGTACAACTACAAGTCAAGCACTGGTATGGTGTAATGAAAGTTATGAGATAACATGTATAACAGCAGTTGAAAAATTCTTCTTCTGCAGTGAGAGATATCATGATAATTCTTTTTAGAGAAATTTAATGATTACCTGATAAGAAAACAATGAGAATGGAATATTTGAACACATTTTCTGAAAGTGCAAATACTACATAGGTGTTTCAAAGTAAGGGATTATTTTTCGACTTTTAATAATGATATCTTTAGGACATAAACTGCTTATAAATCATTCAGTTTACTGTATAAAACGAAATCTTCGTTGTGTATAAATATTCGTGGTTTTTGTGGGTGTTATTGAATCATGAAAAGAAATACAACAAATTTTAATGATTTACATGTCTAATGTTTGATAATATAGGATATCCATGAAAGTTTGTACCACGAAACGATCTAAATGGCTTCAAACCATGAAGGAAAATCCCCATGAACATTGCATGTTATACAGTATGTCTAAGCAGTGCTCAGTATATCTTCAAGACCTAAATACTTTTAATAGTTCATAAGCCAATTACTTTATATTCAAGCAGTGTACAGTATCAATTTTTTGTTTCATTTATTTTTTAAAGTACAAGAATAGTTCAGCATAGACTATTTAGGAACATTTAGTGAATTAGTCACCGAAGAATTTTGCAATGGAAACTGAAACTTTAGGATTAAGGATCCAAGGAGATACTCTGATGAGATGTATGATACTCTGATGAGATGTATGATACTCTGATGAGATGTATTGGTTCTACTTACAGTTTCACAGATCCTCTCCATCTCTCCTAACCAAGACGCTGCAAGGTGACAATTCTGTAGCACCACCCAAGTACCCCCCTCTATTGCCTGTCAAAAACAAGTAAGAGGTCAAACACAATGAAGAGGTCAAACACAAGTAAGAGGTCAAACACAATGAAGAGGTCAAACACAAGTAAGAGGTCAAAAACAAGTAAGAGGTCAAACACAATGAAGAGGTCAAACACAAGTAAGAGGTCAAACACAATGAAGAGGTCAAACACAAGGAAGAGGTCAAACACAAGTAAGAGGTCAAAAACAATGAAGATGTCAACACAAGGAAGAGGTCAAACACAAGGAAGAGGTCAAAACAACAAAGAGGTCAAACATATCAAGAATAAATATTATTTTAATGAGTTTTATTAACTAGCCTTGTATAACAAATTGACAGCATGTGACTGACCTCAAGAATCATCCTCTCAGCAATAGGACCTTGACCTTGGCCCAAGGATATAGTCTTCAGTCCCTTCCCACCAGAACCTGCCGAGGAAAAAATGTTTGTTAAAAACTAAAACTCTAAAGAAAATAAAAATATAATGCAGTGTAATGCAACAGTGATGATTTATATTGGTACTTTTTCTTTTCCCAAAAAATAAATAAAAAAACAAAACATTATTCTGTACTCTGAAGCTAAAACAATGACCCTGTCCAAGCCTAAGACCAAATGAAGCATTAATTGATTTCCTTGTGGAACAACTTAAATGTAAATAAAGATAGTTTGAGTGTTAAATATATATATAACAAAAAAGTTTGGTTACGACACGTGACACTTTATTTTGAAAATACGATTATTAATGCTACACTGAATAAAATTATTGTTCTATTCCAGATTTATTTCAAAACTCATTTTACTCGGGTTAACAAGACTTTCTTTTATCGTTAGTTCAACAAATTATGAGAAATACTGATAGCATGCAGACAGATTCACTTTAATTGTCCTTACACTTATGATAAAATATATCTACATGTATAGTTGATCAATTCACTGCCATAAATAAAGCTGAAAACAACATCAATCATACAAAAATTACTCACCTAGATTCTAATGTCTAAATAAAGTATATACTCTGTATAACATAAAGTATATACTCTGTATAACATGAAGTATACTCTGTATAACATGAACTATATACTCTGTATAACATAAAGTATATATACTCTGTATAACATGAAGTATATACTCTGTATAACATGAAGTATATACTCTGTATAACATAAAGTATATACTCTGTATAACATAAAGGAATTATCAGACAAGACATTGCACCCGACTGTCCACAAGTGGCTCACAGTATCAAGTGCAGGTACCAGAATATAATAACAAGTGGCTCACAGTATCAAGTGCAGGTACCAGAATATATATGCAAGACACATGCTTGTGTTTTTCAAACGAATCAGAAAGCATGAGTTTATTGCGCGGACAAATATATTCATGAGTAATCGGAGCCAATAGTTTCCCCCTATTACCAAATACAGAAAGAGTCTTTCTGATTTGTTAGAAAAACACAAGTGTGTGGTCTTGCTTTTATCAGATACCTTCCGTATTTGGTAGAGATTGATACAAAGATTTTATAAACTTTGTTTTTTTGTGCAAATACTGGGAACTTATCAGTTCGCCATGACAAGGGTTTTCCCATAACAAGTAGTTCCGGCTAGTAGGGTGATACAACATCTTGTAGCACACATGTGTGATACAAACCGACCGAAAACATCAACCAAATTTGTTTTGTATTACTATTGTAAGATTACATAGGTGTGTGATAAAACATGTGCCACCACTGGAGTATTTGAACGGGTGGTTATAGATACAACAATACACAGTAAAACTTCCAATATAATGCTCATTGTTCGACCTTTAATATGGTCAACTTATTTCAAGGTATCATTTTTTTCCCTGAACAATTTCTTTTTATAATAATTTCCCCTCAACATCTGTATATACCTGTCGCTAGACTCTATTATGACGTCAAAAATGTTGTGGCACTCCAGAAGGTGGCAGTATTAACAAGGTGTACTGTGACTGTATATATATATATAGTCGCTACACTGGTAGATTTACAATGTGTATTCTTTGTACTTTACTGGTGAAAATATACGGTTCTCAATTAAGTCCATTATTTAAAAGCACAGCTTACATTTAGCTTAAAATCCATCAAAAAAAGAATTTTATACATACACGACAGGCCAGAATTATTTTGTAAGCCCTATATTCACATTCTAAAGGTTTAGGAATTTTATTATGGATCAAGTATGAATATTAAATATATTTATTTTATAATTTTTTATCTGCATAAAAACAAAACCTGTGTCTATTTTCAAATAAACCATTGCTGTTGTGGAAAAGTAAATCTTTTAGTAATGAGTTAAGTCTTAATTAAATGTAAGGTCCACAAACAAATTAGTCTTGCATGATATTCTAGTATGGTATGCAAAAATATACAAGAAATTCTTGTCAAATTTAAGTATCTTTTCACTTTTTATTCGATTAATTTTCAGATTAATTTTACATATTTTCCAAATCAAATTAGCCAGTGATTACATTTTAATGTGAAAATTCATGCTAGAGCAATCTGTCCGAGTTACAGAATATTTTCTTGAATTATTTTATTGTGGAGCATCAGTTTTCTGATAACTTTTAACATAATATAGGATGTAAAAAGTCACTGTGTACTATTTTTAAAAGCACATTTCAAAACTAAACAGCGAGCAAAGCTCTTATTTTTGTATTAATTTTTTAATATTAAAAATGCATTTAAGGAATATATGGTACTTTACACATTATATCTTTGATTTGTATAAGAGTTATCCCCCTTAAATTTACTTTAGAAAGTATTATCTAATTATTTCAGATTTACCTGTGTGACAGCAATTTTGTGTACCTTTTAAAATGTGTCATCAATTTTAGCTACATGTACCTTTCAAATTTGTCATCAATTCTTGTGTTCCTTTCAAATGTATCATCAGTTAATTAACTTGTCCAAATTACCATCCATAAAAGGAGTTTCACACGTTTTCTAGAGTGGAACTCTTTTAAACGGAGATTCTTGGCAAAGTAAGTTTGCATATATGCTTCACATAAAATTCAAGGATATATCCTGAATAACAATAATGCATAAACAAACATGCATATTACGTAGTAGCTACAACTTAGAACCCAGCACACCTTGGCCGTCTTACAAGTCTGAGACGCACATGCAACATGCAGCTATAAATAAAAATATACATGAAGTCTTGACCAATCAGAGGAAGGAATATGCTGTAAGAGACAGGGTGAAAGGTCATGCAATGATTTTATTGAAGCAGCTATGAACATGCATATCTGAATATTTGTGTTTATAAACGCTAACAATGAATGCAATGTGACATGTTATATGTGCTTCTAATCACTTCTAATATTGACATGTGCAACACCTAGCTGTACAGTTAGGTACATCTAACACTGATAAGGAGACCTACTCAACAATCTAGCTGTACATGTAGTACACACGTACTGTAACACTGATGACGACAAAACCTGCTCAACCGTCAGAGTAAACACCTCTATTGTGGTACATGTATTTTCATCTCAGTTTCACTTGATGAAAAATAAGTTTCATTCAAATAACCTGTTAAATCAACCTTATAAGGAATTCAATTTTATTGAATTGTTATGTACCTTAATTGACAATTTTACATCCATGTCAGCGCAATTTATTCAACCATGAGTATTTAGTATGGATGTATGAAGCATGCATATTGGATATATAGTTTTTTCCTATATTTTCCATACAAATAAAAGCATTCCAAATGTACTTTAACTTGCCAATTGTTATAGATCTTCATTTGTAAAATTTGCAAAAACTTAATCCCTCCAGAAAATTAGCAACTCTACAGGACTAAAATTTAAAAAAAAAAAAAAAAAAAAAAAAGTTTTGTAAAAAAAACCACTCAGATGTGATGACTTTAAAGAAAAGACTCCCTTTGGTTTTGTTAAAAAAGGAAAGAAAATGTGATGAATTACAGATTACAATGTGTGGTATATTGTGCCACATGTATGTCTTTGACCAACTGTATAATCACAAAGACAGGATTTAACTATAGTGTATAAATATTAGTCACATATATATATGGCTTTTCCTTGAAAATGACGACATTGTAACTTTGTGTGACTTTATTTGACTATTTTTTGGGACTTTACATGACTATGCTCTTTGTGTTAATGAGAATAGTATTTTTTTGTGAGAATAACAGAATAGGTGGTGAGAATAACAGAAAAAATATTTCAGTGAACAGAACTACTTTTTTGGTGTTGTTACTACGTTTGAGTGCCGTTAGGAACTACTTTTTGTGAGGTTAAACGGCTACGACATGTTATGTGGCACCTCTCTGTTCGGAGGAGGTACTCGACACCCCCAGGATGGAAGCAAGGTTGTGTTTAGGATCGTCTTTCTCCTTGGCACCTGCCAAGGTGGCTTCGCGTGGCAGAGTTCGAGGAATTAGACCTGCATGTCCAAGGTTAGCATGTTAAAACACACCACAATGATTCATAACAGTTATCAACACATATTTTGAGTATGTCAAGTGAGTTTTAAACATGGTTCTTTCTCCATTTCTTTCTTTTGAAATCTTGATTTTTTTCTGATTTTTTAAGCAAATGCACATCTTCATGGTTATTGGTGTTTTATTCATCCAACATAAAACGGTATCAACCAATACAAAATTCACTTGACACAAAAAATATTAATACTTCATTCCACAAGGTTAAATTGAATTCACAAATCTTCTACATTTTTTTTTTTGAAATTTTCTATCCTCCCCCACACCAATCCCTCTCTCTGCTCTAAGAAATATCAAAATTATACAAAATTACTCCATCCCAACAATAATCCTTATTTGAATTTGTCTCAGACCTATATAGTTACAAGCACATTGATCACCAACAGATGCGGTAACTGCTGATGGCCTAATGCTACGTATTAATGGTTAGATGATCAAATCGGCTAGACATTGTAGTATTATGGTATGTATTACAGCGTCCACAACTTCAGAGTTAAATCAAATGATGTCATTTAGATACTTCCCAGATGATAGTTAGAGAACTCTCAATATGTATAATGTTAAAATAATAAGATGAACACCAGACAGCCGTATGAGGAAAATCAGGTCCGTACCACCATAGAATATTAAAAAGACAAATTCTGTTATGTAATTAGGTGAACCAAAGAACCAAAAAGAAACAGATTTCCACAATACACCAATACAAAGTTAAAGTAAAGATAGCTAGTAACTCAATCACCCCTGAAATTTCATAATGAACTATTCCAACCTTTGAATTGGAAGAGTTAAAATGTTTCTTCTGAGGTGAATGAGTTAATGAATATCCATCTGAAGTATAAATCCTTATCAATATTTTTGAGTTTCGGTGAATTGTTGAGACATGTGACCATTCTGTATATGAACATACTGTATAATATCAGATTTGTTACAATTTTTCAATGTTATGAAAATTATAGCATCAGTCGAATAAACAAGAGGCCCAGGGGCCTTAATAATTAAGCTCACCTGGTATTTTATTTTTCAATTTAAAACCTGCTGAGTACCATTCAGGTTTATCAAAGGAGTACAAGTAACAAAGTTGCATCTTCCATTTATAAATATTCAATTCCCTTTGCCCAAAGATTCTCTAAAACAAGTTTGGTTAGGTTAAAATCCCTTCAACGGTACAGAAGGAGAAGGATCTTTAATGTTTTCCTCTATTTCCCCTAATGGGCCCCACTAATCTGCCCCAAAGAAGGGGAATCCACACACCTCAGTTTAAACAAAATTGATTCTTTTCTCCCTAAGCATGCTTCAGACTGCATTTGGTTTAAATCCCTTCACTTGTATAGTAGGAGAAAAAAAATCCTCTATTTCCCCTATTGGGCCCCGCTCCTATGCCGCCAGAAGGCCCACACCCTCCGTTTATACAAACTTGAGTCTCCTTTGTCCAAAGATGCTCTAGGACAAATTTGGTCAAAATCCTTCAATTGGTTGAGGAGAAGATTTTTAAAGATTTACCTATTTTCCCCTATTTGGCCCCGTCCCTCTGCCCCCAGGGGGACCATACCCTCCGTTCATACAAAACTGAGAACCCTTTGGCCAATGATGCTCCTGACCAAGCTTCAGACTGCATTTGGTTTAAATCCCTTCACTTGTATAGTAGGAGAGAAAAAATCCTCTACTTCCCCTATTTGGCCCCGCCCCTCTGCCCCCAAAGAGGCCACACCCTCCGTTTATACAAACTTGAGTCTCCTTTGTCCAAAGATGCTCTAGGACAAATTTGGTCAAAATCCTTCTATTGGTTGAGAAGAAGAAGATTTTTAAAGATTTACCTATTTTCCCCCTATTTGGCCCCGCCCCTCTGCCCCCAGGGGGGTTATACCCTCCGTTTATACAAAACTGAAAACCCTTTGGCCAATGATGCTCCTGACCAAATTTGGTCAAAATCCTCTGAGCCATTCAGGACAAGTAGCATTTTAAAGGAAAAAGTTGCCGGACGCCGGACGCTGCAACATGGGATAAGCTCACTTGGCCCTTCGGGCCAGGTGAGCTAATAAAATGGGTAGTCTGAGTTGCCAAATGACTATCATTTTAAATTAAGGAGAGAATCATACTGGAACGAGGAGGCATGGAAAGGACAGTTAATCTAATTATATAACCAAATAACACTTGCGGTTACAATCATCTGACCAAAACTGGCATGCTAATATACATTCTCTAAGCTAATAATGGCTACAAATAATTTTATTAAATATACCAATATTTCTGTGAATTATTTTCGATAACAGAAACAAACTCAAATGTCATGCGATTCCACAAAGTTTTGTTATATTATATACTCTGTGGATTTGTTCCTATGGAGATTACATATCATACAAAGTAGCAGTGTTCTAGCGTATTTGTTGATACAGCAGCATGATATTGCAATAAAACAGAATGTAAAATAAATTTTCATGAATTTAGCATTGCTATGACATATCATAATTCGTCATCTATAATATGCTTTGGTCACTAGGAACCGGTGATGCTAACTAAATATGGATACACTTGTAGAAAAGAATTCCCACCTTTTTCCTCCGCGAACTTGTAAAGTCCAGCCATCGGATCCGCTCCAGGTGACAAAACAAAAATCAGCGGTGAAAAATACTGAGAGTCTTGGTAACAAACAGAAAGGTCAAAGGTCGGGGGCTCAATATAACGCTGTCCCATTTTTTCTACAATAAATATTTGGACAGCTGGCACCATCTGAAAACAAAAAGTGTCAACATTTAAATCAACCAATCATTGAATACCAATGAAATAGGCTATCATCCAATCAAATGATTTGTAGGATAGATATACATACTATTCAACCAATCATTGAATGCTAATTAAATAGACTATCATCCAATCAAATTATAAGTAGGATAGAGATACACACCAATCAACCAATCATTGAATACTAATTAATTATTTCATCATCGAATCAAATGATTTGTAGGATACAGATACACACCATTAATCAGCCAATCACAAAGCTTGTTACATACTGACCTTGTCAGGACGTAGACATCTTAGCATGATGAGTTGCTGTAGACTGCTGAGGTTTTCTGACCAAGGTTTAGGGATGGGCTCCGTTTCGGGAGTCGGCGAATCATATAGTTCTTTCCATAAAGGCAGCTGTGTTAAGCAAAATTCAAAATTAAGAACATAATGTTTCTATTACAAATAGCCTTTCAATGAAAATAATACAACTAAACAGGATAGTTGAATGTCTTCCTGCTCATCTCTTCATGCAGATGTTGTTCAGAACATATTTATATAAGTTTCCAATATGCATACTTATATACAGCCCAATGTATCTATTTCATTGAAACTAATGAAGAAATAAAGTACAATTAAGCTTATTTTTATGATTTAAGATAATTTCAAGTTTTCTACCTAATATTTCATTAATTACGACTTTTGAGTTTGAGTGTTTGCTGTACAATTCAGTGTTCATGTGAACATACTTCCTCGAAGCCATACCTTCTGTTTGAAATGTTCCATGAAGCCCTTAAAGGCAGGGACATCTGAACAGCGAACAATTTCTCCCCACAACTTCTCTGGCAGCCAGCTTGACGCGGGGTTAGGGAACAAGTTCTCCAGGGCAACCCCTCCTGTCAGTAGAAATCTCCACTCCTGGTCGTCAACTTCTCCCCTATTTGAGTAAAAAGCCCATCAAAACATGTACATATACTTTTACCATGATGAGATATTAAGTAATATTTTATCCTTTTGCCAATTTACTAATCAAATTTATCCATGAGCCTAAATTTTCTAATCTGAAACTTGCTGATAAAGAGTTTTCAGAAAGATCAATATCATAACATGATATAAACCATGTTCTGCAACTGTCCAAGTCTTCGACCTCACGGAAAATAATTAGTTACTATTATATACAGGACATAAAATCTGCAGCAAAACTTACTGCTGCTTTGCGATGCCAATACACAACAGGAAGGAAAACAGCAGCTTGTCCTTCTCAAACAGGGAGCGACACACGTTTCTGTAGATGCTGTAGGTGAAGTGGTCATTCAGGTGAAAGATTCGTTGATCAAGGTCAGAAGATGGATCACTGTTAATGATTGACTGAAAGGTAAAGAGGAGAGATCAGGTGTGATACTGAACATGTAGCTGACACAGACATAATAAGTAATCATTCTGTATCAAAACGTAATACTGTTCAGCTCTTAAAGCAGAAATCCTAAAATAATGTCATGAAATGTGAAGTAATAAAATCCGTCAGAATCTATAATGAAGCTATGTTGTTACCGGCCAAGGAGGGATAACTGGGAGAACTGCTTCACATTGATGATCAAATTTTCATAGTCAACGACCATGACCTTACCTGTGGATACAGCTTGATGAAGGAGATGGAGCACTGGTACATGAGGTCAATGACATTGACCTTTCCCACAATGACCTTGACCTTACCTGTTGATACAGATTGATGAAGAAGTCGAAGTACAGGTACATGAGGTCAATGACATTGACCTTTCCAACAATGACCTTGACCTTACCTGTAGATACGGATTGATGAAGGAGATGGAGCACTGGTACATGAAGTCAATGACATTGACCTTTACTACAATGACCTTGACCTTACCTGTAGATACGGATTGATGAAGGAGATGGAGCACTGGTACATGAAGTCAATGACATTGACCTTTCCTACAATGACATTGACCTTTCCCACAATGACCTTGATCTTATGTATCTTATCTGAAGATACAGATTGATGAACCAGGAAAGGGAATACTGGTTCACATATTCAATAGCAATGACCTTTCCTATAATGACCTTGACCTTACCTGTAGATAAAGATTGATGAACCATGAGAGGGAATACTGGTACATGGGGTCAATGTTGGCAAGGTCAGAGATAACAAAGAATAAGATGCTCCCATGTTTGGCCACCTGTAAGTACAGAAATAATGGTTTATTGCATATTGATTTTCACTTTAAAATAGTGATCCCCCTTCATTAATGACAGTTTTCAAAATATGTCCTTGTTTGTTTCAATATAAATGTGGATAAGATCTGGTATTTCACAGCACTATTATTTTTACGATTTCACATGAAAGGAAGTTTGTTAATTATAACAGACAAAAAGCCTTGACAAGTAAAACTACAGACCAAACAAGTCTTAAAAGTGTACAAATTCAACACCAAGAATTGAATGTTTTTCAACATAAAAGTACTGCCCAGAAGAAATCTATATACAAAGTCTACAATAATTATATAAGCAGAAAATTGCTTGAACTGACCGGTTTGTATCCGTTGCGGACCTCGTCAATTTCAGCCTCTGTCTTGGTGGCGGCCACCTGTTTCTCGGAGATTTCCGAGGACAAGACTTTACTGGAGGACAGGATCTCAATGGCTGTCTCATCCTCCAAGATGTTACCCTGGGTACAAAATAGACAAACGTCACAGAAATGATCCAGAAATTTCTACAATTATGTCTGAAGAGTGGAACACACATTATGATACTCCTCCCTGATATGGTAGATACAGAGGCAGACTAGAAGAGCATGGAGTCTCATAAAATGCTTAGGTTTTTCTTGAAGATAAATAAACTCAGTCAGTGAGGGGATAGATTAGTCTTTATCAAAACTCTTTTTATCATCAAACCATCTTACAACCCAGCTTCATTTACAGGAAGGGAAGGTTACTTAGTAATCTCCTGCGAACAAAGGTATCTGGATTATCTCCTGAGAATGTAGATCACTGAATGTCTACTGACAATGAAGGAGGCTGGATTATCTACTGTGACAAAGGTATCTGGATTTTCTACGGAGAACAAAGATGGCAAGATTATCTACTGAGAATGTAGATCACTGAATGTCTACTGACAACGAAGGAGGCTAGATTATCTACTGTGACAAAGGTATCTGGATTTTCTACTGAGAACAAAGGTATCTGAGATTGAAGTTGGCGGGATTATCTATTGGTAACAAAAGTGAATGGCTGAATTATCTACTGGGAATGAAATTGGCTGAATTATCTACTGGGAAAAAAGAATATTGAGTTATCAACTGGGAATAAAGTTGGCTTGATTATCGACTGGAAATGAAGATGGCTGGATTATCGACTGGGAATGAAGGCGGCTGGATTAAAACCTATCTGCTGTACTCATTTTAGCAGTTACCTGTGATGATGATAAGACTTCCAGGATTTTGTCCTCAATCTCTTTGAGTTGGCGTCTGTTATGAGCACTCTCAATGATGAGCTGGTTCTTTTTCTCCTCCAGTTCTGGCTTCTCCTTGGCTGCAACAATCCCTAGTAACTGGTCGTCAAGGCCAAGAAGGGTGATCATGAAGTTGAGAAGAGTCACCTTGACACTGACCTCTGGGAGATAGTGGGGGTTACGGAGGCGGGTTGTGATGTAGAATTTGAAGTCACGACTGTACTCTATAATATGGTCGCCTACACGAATGTACTCCATGTTGTTCTGCAAGGTCAAATTCAAAAGTGTCAAGGTCAAGATCATTTATAACTTCAAGATATTGATAGTATTTATTTAAATTTTAAAAAATTAACAATTATGCATGAATGTTATAATAAAATATTTTTATTACTAGTTTTAAAATTGCAAAGTGTGCACTTTGAATATTTATTCATGATCAAAATATAACAGTTTGTTAAATTGTATGAGTCACTAAATACTTACTTGCTTGAATGTCTGTTTCAGAAGGATGGGATCTAGGATAGGATCTAACTCTTCTCCAACATTTTCCAGGAGACAAGGGTTTCCAAACTGGAACAAACACCCTACATCGTTATCACCAGTCACGATTGCCTACATATTTTTTTGTAACTGGGATTTTCTACAGTTAAATTTGACCTGCCTGTATTAATTGTTTTTTTTTACAAAACAGAAAAGGATTTCTATATAAATTTAACAATGAGCAAACTAATACAGCAAAATATGACTGGTTATCATTGACCTTCTTGCACCATTAAAATGTCCATGAAATGTTCAAAATTTCTCTGTACACATAGATACCTTTTTTTTTAAACATTATTTATTTAACAACAATTATGAAACAAATTGTTTCAACTGATACTTATCACTCTTGTTGGCTCGTATGATAGCTTGCAGGAGGTCTTATTGTGGGAGGAAACCGTAGTACCCACAGAAAAACCCACGTAGTCAGGCAGGTGACCCCATACCTTTTCACGTCCTATATCGGGGAATCGAACCCTGGTCGCCTTGCATTGGTGAAAGGCAGGTGCGCTAATCACTGAGCCATCCGACCACCCTTAAGATACCTTTGAGCTACCTGTACAGATTTCTCTAGTTGCCTGCTGTAGACAGACTTACAGAGACATTTCTTTAGCTACCTGCTATAGTGATGGTCAGACAGACCTACCTGTACATATTTCTCTAGTTGCCTGCTGTAGAATACTTACAGAGACTATTCTTTAACTACCTGCTATAGTGATGGTCAGACAGGCCTACCTGTACAGATTTCTCTAGTTGCCTGCTGTAGACAGTCTTACAGAGACTATTCTTTAACTACCTGCTATAGTGATGGTCAGACAGACCTACCTGCTCACAATTTTCCAGCTGCCTGCTGTAGTTAGGGTCAGACCGACCTACCTGTACACAATTTTCTAGCAACCTGCTATAGCGATGGTCAGACAGACCTACCTGTTCACAATTTTCTAGCTGCCTGCTGTAGTTAGGGTCAGACCGACCTACCTGTACACAATTTTCTAGTTGCCTGCTGTAGTTAGGGTCAGACAGACCTACGTGTACACAATTTTCTAGCAACCTGCTATAGTGATGGTCAGACAGGCCTACCTGTTCAGATTTCTCTAGTTGCCTGCTGTAGTCAGTCTTACAGAGACTATTCTTTAACTCCCTGCTATAGTGATGGTCAGACAGACCTACCTGTACACAATTTTCTAGCTACCTGCTATAGTGATGGTCAGACAGACCTACCTGCTCACAATTTTCTAGCTGCCTGCTGTAGTTAGGGTCAGACAGACCTACCTGTACACAATTTTCTAGCAACCTGCTATAGTGATGGTCAGACAGACCTACCTGTACACAATTTTCTAGTTGCCTGCTGTAGTTAGGGTCAGACAGACCTACCTGTACACAATTTTCTAGCTGCCTACTGTAGTTAGGGTCAGACAGGCCTACCTGTACAGATTTCTCTAGCTGCCTGCTGTAGACAGACTTACAGAGACTATTCTGTAACTACCTGCTATAGTGATGGTCAGACAGACCTACCTGTACACAATTTTCTAGCTGTCTGCTGTAGTTAGGGTCTGATAGTTTTATAATCTCTAGCTTGTTGGCCTTTTCCATGTTTTTGATCCACTTGTTTGCTTGACCTTGAGGGTCGATCATGAGTGGCCAGCGATTGGCACTGGTCACTATGATGGCATTTTCCACAGAGTAACTGGAATGATAATTATAATACAAGTGATATGAGTACAAGGGTTCACACAAAAAAGGTGCTACATGTCATCCTGGTTGTATTTTTGGATTATCATCAATATATGTATAGCCCCTTATCTAATCTCATTTCTTCTTAATCATTTAATTACTCTAAGGCACCTAACATTAAAGGGATACCAGGCGTATATAAGCAGCCTTACTCAAGATCATGGAAAACCATACAAATGCTTAATGACTGTACTTCAAAGACATTTTATATACAACTAAAATACAATAAAAAAAATACCTGTTTGCAAAACATAAATAAGATACATTGATAAGTACATGTTTACATTATTAATATTTGGAATATCAGGGCTACTCACTCTACTTAGCATACCCTTAATACAACTTAAACTTAACACCTAGAGAAGGGGCTTGACTCTGCTGAACTCCTGAGAAGCAACTTGACTCTAGTATTTATGGAGAAGATGAGAAATAGAATACTCTAATCTAGAGAAGAAGCTTGACTCTACTGAGCTGCAGAGAAGTGACTTGACTCTTAACTATTCCTGGAGGTGATGAGAAATAGAAGGTACTGACATAGTACATAAATAATAATTTAATTAATAAAGTATTGGGGGTAAAAACTGAAAACAGAGATTATGGTTTGAACACATATGCATAACTGATTCATAAGAAATCAAGGCTGTTGATGTATCTCAATGTACATACTTATCTACAGGGAGGCCGGCAATCTGCCAGTCACGGATCTTGACAGGATCGCCCAAGGTCGCCTGTAAGGAGAATACCTCGGACAGGGGAATACCTTTCTCCTTGCACATCCTATACCACTCCTTCACGCATTCCTGTAACAAAGGCAGTGATTGCAATCAGCACAAATGTAACTCTTCATTTCAAAGTTAATTACGCTACATGATATCAATGGTATATAGAAATAGTCAGCAAAACCACAAATAGAATAACAAGCTAAGTTTTTTGATAATATTGTAATTGTTTTTGAAAATTTGAAAATAAATTTACCTAGGAATTAAAATTTCATTCCAATCTTAATGACAATTGGTCATAAAGGATATGTTATCAAGGACAATCTGATAATTAACATAATATATCTAAGTTGTACCTGTCGGTAGTCGAGGATGAAGGGTCCAAGGTAAGCCACCACACTGGCTGACAGCAGTACATCACCGACAATGTTGTCATATGTCTCCGTCAAGTCCTCAATATTCTGTTAAAGGAAAACAAATTTTACTTTTTTTTAAAAAATTATTTCTACCTATAGCCACAGGCATTAAGTAATACCATACCCCCTGCTCCAACACGCTTTTCGGCAAATCTACATTTCTACTTTTGAGGCTTCACTTTATGTATTACATTTTAATATTGTATTCATATAAACCTTAGCAATATATCTGAAATCACATATGAAGTTTAATTAATCTTGGCAAGTAAACAAAATATAAATGAACGATAAGTGATTAACTATACTTGATACCGCCAGATGTAAATCTCTAGGAATTCAATATTGTATCATACCTGTGTCCATCTTTCTTTCTCTCCGCCCAGTCCGCTGATCAGTTTCTCCGCTCTCTCTATCTTTACTTTGGTCAGTTCTATGTTATCCTCTAGGTTCTGGAAGAAATATTAGTTTTGTTAGCACATGCACAATATTATCATAAAAATTAACAATTTTACCAAAAATCGTCACATCACAGTTTAAAATATGAGTCACAAAAGAGACTATTATATTGAAAAAAATGTTAGATTGCAAGACCAAAGACAACATATTTAATATTTAAATATTTTGTTTAGTGCTCCTTAAAGTTAACTTAAACATTAAAGTCAAACTTTTATCTGATACTTAAATAAAATCCTCTTTTGCACTGACCTTCATTTCCTCCTGTTTGACCTTGAGATTATCCAACAGCATGTTCAGTTTATCCGTCACCTCTTTCAGTTGAGCCTGTTTTTCGTGAAGTTTTGCGAGTTGCGTGGCCAGAATGGCTTCAGCTTCCGCTAGGTTTTTTCGCTTTGGGTGGACAACCTGGAATTTGAAGAGTAGTTGACACTAGTACAATATAATGTATCGATCAGCAATAATTCCCCCTTACACTATCAAGATTTTTCTACCATCCTTTTCAAGTGTAATGGGCCTCTTATTATTCTCTTTCTAAATTTTACTTTATCTAATCTTTTTTCTATCAACTTGAATGCTGAATCTTTTAAAACCCTATTGCAAATCTATGTATCATAGTGAATCACCAGGTCAAATTTTAAACATGTTGGTCCTTTGAATTTGAAGATAATCTCAGGAAATGAAAGCGTAGATGACCCGACAGATAGTTGGACACCATGTCTCTTATATAGGGCACCGTGTCTCTGATGCAGGACCCTAATTTATATTTCAATAAGAATTCTCCTCATGGCTGCTCATAGTTCTATGATGCAAGTTAATGCTGGCAACATGAGTAAAGCAGAAAGGTTTGGACATTCCCAAAAACTTAACACCCAACAACATTGTGCATCTGTAAAAAATTCTCCTTTTACACATAATGTGTACTTAGTTTGCAGACTATACGTAATAACAAAATTTAAGTGAAACTTGTAAAATTAGCATCCTGAATTTTAGATGTTGGCTATCAAACTTGTATATGATGCTTAACTCATTCACCACTGAAGACAAATTTGGACTTCAAAGCTTTGAATAGTTCATTATGAAATTTCAGGGGTGAATGACTAATGTACGTACCTTCCACACACTATCAAACACATCCATGGCCCGCACCCATCTACACAGACCCTCACAAGCAGACGACACTTTCTTGATAATGGTGGGGTCAAAATCTGGGTTGACAATGTACTTTTCCCGAACTTTCTTAATGGTTGCAGGAGGGATGTTCTCTTTATCATACTCCTTGAGTGACTCCAGGAACTTCAAATCTCCCAGCATCTGAAGAAACACAAAATAAAATGTGATGGTTTACACTTCGATAAAATGTTATTTTTAAACTACAGCACAGCATGTCATAATAAACCCACATGAACATAAAAAATAAGATTACAGGCATAATTCACATACTTACAGTACTGTAATTAATCATCTGAAATCCAATATTGGTCAATTTTTGGTATGGGTGGGGATTTTGTTTTCTTCTGCGTGGTATCTTACAGTATACTGATGCCCATTTAATATCTATTGATTAAGATCCCCGTACCACTGCCAAGAACTGTGACAAAGTGTTGGAAAAATCATAATTGAACAGAATATTAAACCATACCTTGCGTCGGGACTTTAACAAACTATAATTAACCATTGTGATTGTGTTCTGAATGTAAAAAAAAATTCAGCTGAGCTAGACCTGAATTCTAACCCTGGATTGCAGATTGTTATACTATAACTCTAACCTTCTGAGCTTCCTGGTCAACAGAAGTGTGCTGGCCCAACTGTGCTACACTTATTTCTAAATGGAAGTCAAGGGGAGATTACTGTATAAAGTGAAAATCACAGTGCAGGGACAGGGATCTTTTAATCACAAAAGTTTTAACACACAAACATTTTCCCTTTCTTATGTATCCAGGAGTTAGACATGTTCCTTCAATCAAAGCAACACATGGTGAGTTTTACCTTCTTAGCTGCTGGCCAGTAATCTTCAAATGGCTTTCCATTACTGTCCACCTTTCGGTCTGGTTTGATACCCTGGGAACAAACAGCATAGAAAATGTTACACCTGGTCAGATAATAGCATTAAGTTTATATTCTGTCATTTATAAGGTATAGCAGATGTAATTTAGAAAAGGAGAAACATTTAAATATTGTTAATGACAAGTTGATAGAAATAAGGCTGAACCAGGGCCGCTTTCACTTATCGCGTTCCAAACGGTTGGACCAGAGTTGTTCGTTTATGAAATAAGGTCGAACCTAGTAATCTGATGCTGCTTTCAGGCGAGCCTTGACAAAGCCTTGCAAGGCCTACATAAACATTTGCAGGTTTAAGCAAACAGGCCCCAAGCTATTTATAATCAGTAGAAAAAGTAGGCTTTATTTCTAACCATGAATATATTTTTTTTCTGAAAGCTTGTTTGTACCCTCCAGATGCTTGTTTATCCCTCTGGATGTTTGTTTGTATGATTTTCTTGCCATTAAGGCTTCAGTCCAGGAGAACTGAGTTTGGGGGAATAGAGAGATTGGAGGCTACAGCTCAGGAGAATAGTGAGATTGGAGGCTTCAGTCCAGGAGAATAGAGAGATTGGAGGCTACAGCTCAGGAGAATAGAGAGATTGGAGGCTACAGCTCAGGAAAATACAGAGATTGGAGTCTACAGCTCAGGAGATTACAGAGATTGGAGGCTACAGCTCAGGAGAATACAGAGATTGGAGGCTACGGCTCAGGAGAATACAGAGATTGGAGGCCGAGAACACTTAAATGACCACCTACCTTCATGATACAGACAGACTCCATTACAAGTTTCACACCAAGGGGAGGGTTGTTCATGGTCTTGACGAGGGTGATGTCATTCTGGTTAAGGGTGTCAAGGGCCGACACAGCAGCATTTAGGGCAGGCATTGCTATGGCTAGCTTCTCCTCACACTCGATCTAAACACAAATATGAAACATTCTATTTATAGAAGATGATAACTATACTGTAGGTGGATGTGAACAGCTATACATATACAAATATTAAACATTAATGTTGTATTCCCTTGCCTGTAATTCTTACTTCCACTTTGACTTTATATCTCGTGAGTCATTAAGAGCCATGTTAAGAGACCTTGACCTTGACCTACTTTTATGGATCGTGCGTCACCGGCTGCAGCGTTGGCAGCTGCTTCGTCCTTCTCTACCACGGCCTTGACAGACTCCACCTCTATCCGTTCCTTCTCAATGTACTTGATGAGGTCCTCCGTGTCGCGACTCGTCTCTTCCAGCTTCGGTTTCAGCTCCACAAGCTCTTGCTGCATGATGTTCACCTGTATCCATGGAAACCAAAAATGTAACTGATGCACTCTTCTTCAGCATTTATGATAAGAGGATATAAGGCAGCCAAGGATTATAAAACTGTTTTCGCATAGATTCTTTAGAAATATTTTTATAAGATTTTTGTAAAAAAGAATCCCATGGAAATGAAATCCCTGCACCAGATTAGAAGGAATGTTGACTAATTGAAACTTATCAACGAAAAGGCATAAAGTATAATAAATGCTTTTCTGTTATTGTAAGATTATTATAACTGCACTGAAACCCGGTGATTTTTCATAACTTATTATCCGAAAACAAGTCAAACAACAGCAGCCATAGAATACATTTGGCCATGCATCAATCCTGAGTGAAGGTCTTTGGCATTAAGCACACATGATAGGTTTCATAAAATTCCATTAACTCCCTCAATAGATATTGTCTGGAATCAAATCTCTATACCGATGATGACAATGATGTATCATGATAACGTACTTGCTATCTGCCTTTGAAGAAGACACAACAAATTAGTGTTTTGCCTCTAAAGTTTGCCTATAAATTTAAATGTGTGTGACCATCATTATTTTCAAGGGCTACAACTGATGAATGATGCACTTAACATTATATCTTCTGGAGCTTCAGATAATACATGTACTGGTCAGTGTAAATTACCTGCTGTTCAGAGAAGTTGAGTTTTTCCAAACCAACTTGGTATCTGTTTTTCAGAGTGAGTATTTCCAGTCGTTTCTTGTTCAGTAGATTTTTAAATGTCTTTATAAGTTCTAGGTACGATGTTGGGGTCACATAGTTTCTTCTCCTTAGAATATCATAGTACCTGAAAATGGCAAAAATATACATCATGTCTCAATCACAGAGTTTGGAAGTATAATGGAAAGCTCCTGAATATCATACAACTGCTATCATGAACAAAAAATCAACACCTGAAAATGGCAGAACAGTACATCATATTTCAATTGCAGACATTTTAGTGTAGCGAAAAATTCTTGAAAATCGTACAACTGCTTTCATGCACAAAAAAACAACATATTAAGAAATTTTCCATGTGACCTACTTTTCTGAAAGAGCTCGTACACTCTCGTGGAAGTGTTTACACATCACGACCGTCTCCTCACGCACCGACTGTGACATTTCTACATCATCCAAGAACTTGTTAGCCACCAATTCTAAAGCATCCTCAGGCCAGGCCTGAAAATAAAGAGATACCACATTTGATTTAGGGCGATGACACACTGGTATAAGGGAGATAACATCTCCATACATGGGAGATAACCCATCTGTATAAGGGAGATAGCATGTTTGTATAAGCGAGATAACACATCTATATAACGAAAATTTAAAAAAACTCTGTATAAAGGAAAATCACTTCTGCATAAGCGAGATAACACATCTGCACAATGGACATAACACATCTCTATATGGGAAATAACACCTATGTATAAGGGAGATAACACCCCTGTATAAGAAAGATAACACATTTGTATAAAGGAAAGAAGACCTCTGTATAAGGGATATAACACCTTTGTATCAGAGAGATAACATATCTGCATAAGGGAGATAACACCTCTGTATAAGGAGGATAACATACTTGTATAAGAGTTATAGGGGAAATAACACCAATATAAGTGATAAACGACTTAATAAGGGAGATAACACCTCTGTATAAGGAGGATAACATACTTGTATAAGAGTTATAGGGGAAATAACACCAATATAAGTGATAAAACACTTAATAAGGGAGATAACACCTCTGTATAAGGGGGATAACACATCTGTATCTCCAGATGTTGAGAGAAAATTATTTCATGAATATTATTTTAGTTGGACTAGACATACACATGTATATTTAAGACTTATGGGCTATTTGCTACAGATGAGTGCTTGTTCTCTGAAAGCTTATGCCCACCTGTACATACAGTAAAATATATAGTAATTTTGCTAGTTCAGGGTTTTGTGTCCTTGCAATACCAAAGGTCATATGAAGACAGCATATATATTCATAGTAGATGTCCTTATATTGTTAAATACACACAACAAATATGGTTCTCTGAGTAGAATTAATATATAGGCCCAAGTTCCATTAATATACAGTATGACTTAATTACTTAACATGCTAATTGACTTAATTACTGAAGTGTTAATTAGAAAGGAGGTTCCTACCTTGAACCAATCTATCGTACAACAGTTAATGAGAGATGGGAACATGCGAATACGGTTGCGGAAGGCATCCCCGATGGGACTGAACGCCAGGACCACGTGGAGGTTACGTCGGATACGTTCTATAAACATGTTGTACATGTTTAGTGGAGTCATCTCCATCACCAGGTTCTGCTGCTGACACAGGGTCTGCATCTGTGGTACAGAAAAAGGGGAATTACATTATACATCTGTGGTACAGAAAAAGGGGAATTACATTATACATCTGTAGTACAGAAAAAGGGGAATCACAGCATACATCTGTGGTACAGAAAAAGGTGAATTACGGTATACACCATTATACATCTGTGGTATAGAAAAAGGGGAATTACGGTATACAACTGTGGTACAGAAAAAGGGGAATTACATTATACATCTGTGGTACAGAAAAAGGGGCATTACATTATACATCTGTGGTACAGAAAAAGGGGAATTACATTATACATCTGTAGTACAGAAAAAGGGGAATCACAGCATACATCTGTGGTACAGAAAAAGGGGAATCACAGCATACATTTGTGGTACAGATAAAGGGGAATCACGGTATACATCTGTGGTACAGAAAAAGGGGAATTACGGTATACATCTGTGGTACAGAAAAAGGGGAATTACAGTATATATATCTGTGGTACAGAAAAAGGGGAATTACGGTATATATCTGTGGTACAGAAAAAGGGGAATCACAGTATACATCTGTGGAACAGAAAAAGGGGAATCACGGTATACATCTGTGGTACAGAAAAAAGGGAATGATGGTATACATCTGTGGGACAGAAAAAGGGGAATTACAGTATATATATCTGTGGTACAGAAAAAGGGGAATTACGGTATATATCTGTGGTACAGAAAAAGGGGAATCACAGTATACATCTGTGGTACATAAAAAGGGGAATTATGGTATACATCTGTGGTACAGCAAAAGGGGAATTACATTATACATCTGTAGTACAGAAAAAGGGAAATCACAGTATATACCTGTGGTACAGAAAAAAGGGAATTACATTATACATCTGTGGTACAGAAAAAGGGGAATAACAGTATATATCTGTGGTACAGAAAAAGGGGAATCACAGTATACATCTGTGGTACAGATAAAGGGGAATTATGGTATACATCTGTGGTACAGCAAAAGGGGAATTACATTATACATCTGTAGTACAGAAAAAGGGGAATCACAGCATACATCTGTGGTACAGAAAAAGGGGAATCACAGTATACATCTGTGGTACATAAAAAGGGGAATTATGGTATACATCTGTGGTACAGCAAAAGGGGAATTACATTATACATCTGTAGTACAGAAAAAGGGGAATAACAGTATATATCTGTGGTACAGAAAAAGGGGAATCACAGTATACATCTGTGGTACATAAAAAGGGGAATTATGGTATACATCTGTGGTACAGCAAAAGGGGAATTACATTATACATCTGTAGTACAGAAAAAGGGAAATCACAGTATATACCTGTGGTACGGAAAAAGGGGAATTACATTATACATCTGTGGTATAGAAAAAGGGGAATTACGGTATACAACTGTGGTACAGAAAAAGGGGAATTACATTATACATCTGTAGTACAGAAAAAGGGAAATCACAGTATATACCTGTGGTACAGAAAAAGGGGAATTACATTATACATCTGTAGTACAGTAAAAGGGAAATCACAGTATATACCTGTGGTACAGAAAAAGGGGAATTACATTATACATCTGTAGTACAGAAAAAGGGAAATCACAGTATATACCTGTGGTACAGAAAAAGGGGAATTACATTATACATCTGTAGTACAGAAAAAGGGAAATCACAGTATATACCTGTGGTACAGAAAAAGGGGAATTACATTATACATCTGTGGTACAGAAAAAGGGGAATCACAGTATACATCTGTGGAACAGAAAAAGGGGAATCACGGTATACATCTGTGGTACAGAAAAAAGGGAATGATGGTATACATCTGTGGAACAGAAAAAGGGGAATTACGGTATACATCTGTGGTACAGAAAAAGGTGAATTACGGTATACACCTGTGGTACAGAAAAAGGTGAATTACGGTATACATCTGTGGTACAGAAAAAGGAGAATTACGGTATACATCTGTGGTACAGAAAAAGGGGAATTACGGTTTATCTGATGGTGGTCCTACCTTACTCATCATCTAAAGTAATTACAACAATGTAAAAATAACCCTCATTGCAGTAGTCAAGGTGGAGGCCTTTATTTAGGCGTAACACTCCATATCATACTTGAAGGTCAGTTTATGATAAATGTTTCAATTGTTATCAATTATTAAATGCAAGGCTCTATTCTGAATTACAAAACTCATTTGCGCTTAAGATCATATTGTCTTTTTTTTTATTTAGTTTTTATCCATGTTAATACTCCACTGAATCTATACATATTATATACATAGTAAATCATTGAGGATGGATAACTTTATTCATTTGTGTGTTTTAATACTACAAATCAACTAAGAAAAAAGGTGATCTAGTTTTCTACCCATGCACTCCTTATTTGGATACGAAGCAATAAAGACTTTACCCTTTCAATGATGGCCAGCCTGTCCTCGTTCTCGTACAAGTTGGGGATGTCCCCAGTATTAAGGATCATGTTCACATCCTCAAGGAAGGACTCATCCTAAACAAAGAGGAAATCTCAAGTATTTTCAATATTAATCTATACTTAATTCATGTTCAGAAAAAATGAACTAATGTATACTGGGAAATTTTCGCCAGTTTTACTTTTACCTTTTTTACCCTCCATCATTGAGGGCGAATATATCATGCCAACGAATATTGGTTCACAACATACAATGTATAGTCATAGGGCAAACTTAACACTGGGCAAAACAATGTATAGTCATAGGGTAAAATTAACGCTGGGCAAAACAATGTATAGTCATAGGACAAACTTAACAGTGGGCAAAACAATGTATAGTCACAGGGCAAAATTAACACTGGGCAAGCAATGTATAGTCATAGGGCAAAATTAACGCTGGGAAAACAATGTATAGTCACAGGGCAAACTTAACACTGGGCAAACAATGTATTGTCATAGGGTAAAATTAACACTGGGCAAAACAATGTATAGTCATAGGACAAACTTAACACTGGGCAAAACAATGTATAGTCACAGGGCAAAATTAACACTGGGCAAACAATGTATAGTCATAGGGCAAAATTAACACTGGGCAAAACGATGTATAGTCGTAGGGCAAAATTAACACTGGGCAAAACAATGTATAGTCATAGGGCAACATTAACACTGGGCAAAACGATGTATGGTCGTAGGGCAAAATTAACACTGGGCTAACAATGTATAGTCATAGGACAAACTTAACACTGGGCAAAAAAATGTATAGTCATAGGGCAAAATTAACGCTGGGCAAAACGATGTATAGTCACAGGGCAAAATTACCACTGGGCAAACAATGTATAGTCACAGTGCAAACTTAACACTGGGCAAAAAATGAATAGTCATAGGGTAAAATTAACACTGGGGGAAACAATGTATAGTCATAGAGCAAAATTAACACTGGGCAAACAATGTATAGGCATAGGGCAAAATTAACACGGGGCAAAACAATGTATAGTTTGTCCTATGACTATACACTGGGCAAAACAATGTGTAGTCACAGGGCAAAATTAACACTGGGCGAAACAATGTATAGTCATAGGGTAAAATTAACACTGGGGGAAACAATGTATAGTCATAGGGCAAACTTAACACTGGGCAAAACAATGTATAGTCATAGGGCAAAATTAACACGGGGCAAAACAATGTATAGTCATTGGGCAAAATTAACACTGGGTAAATCAATGTATAGTCATAGGGCAAACTTACCACTGGGCAAAACAATGTATAGCCATAGGGCAAACTTAACACTGGGAAAAACAATGTATAGTCATAGGTTAAAATTAACACTGGGGGAAACAATGTATAGTCATGGGGCAAACTTAACACTGGGCAAAAAAATGTATAGTCATAGGGCAAACTTAACACTGTGCAAAAAAATGTATAGTCATAGGGCAAAATTAACACGGGGCAAAACAATGTATAGTCATTGGGCAAAATTAACACTGGGTAAATCAATGTATAGTCATAGGGCAAACTTAACACTGTGCAAAAAAATGTATAGTCATAGGGCAAACTTAACACTTGGCAAAACAATGTATAGTCATTGGGCAAAATTAACACTGGGCCAAACAATGTATAGTCATAGGGAAAAATTAACACTGGGCAAAACAAAGTATAGTCATAGGGCAAAATTAACACGGGGCAAAACAATGTATAGTCATAGGGCAAACTTAACACTGGGCAAACATGGATTTTATATCAGCAAAGGGTGAATATTTGACTGGGTGAAAAAATTCCCCGTATACAGTATTTAATGTATTACAAAATAATAAAACATTAGCTGATCCTTCTAGCATTGTCTTCACATTGTATGTTAAAAAAAAATAATCTAAATACAAACGTACCATACTACTGTACTAACACTGACATCAGATGAAAGAAACATCCGTAAGTACAAAACAAAGCAAATCACAATGAATATGATGTAGGGACACAAATATATGTAATGTTAACACAGGAAAATACTTATTAGAAATTTCTGAACTCTGACCTTGATCTGGTGGTCGCCAAACAGGAACACCATGGACACGCCCTCGTCACCAGCACGCCTCATCATGCGTCTAAGGTCCTCACGCCACTCAGACGTTGTGTAGTTCTTTGTGATCTCAATCTGGAACAGCTCAAAGTCTGACATGAAGGCTGATAACTTGGCAGCACTCTGACGACCACTGCCTCCAATACCTGCAAAAAAAATTACATATAGTTATAAAAAATGTAATGACTATCTCTGTATACTAAGTAACATTTTAACGGTTCAGAAATTATAAATATGAATAAGATATCAATAAAACTAATTCACGAATTATGATAAACGAAGAGCCTGTAAAAAATGTTAGAAATTGCATCAATTTTCTGTTTATCACTGAAAAATAATAGAACAGATCCCATAGACAAAACTGTCACAACAGCTTTAAATAATCTGTGTATGCATAGTTGCATTTCTTAATTTTAACGCAAGGTTTTATCTCCATTTGTTTTTCACTAATATACAAATGTATATACCTATATGTATCTAAAGTGCTAAATCATTATCTGGGTTAATTCATACCCGTCTCATTTTAAACGAACACAGTGTAACCTGTTTGAAACAAGAGGCTGCTGGGCCTGTATCACTTAGATATTGGCATGACATCATGGTAGGACAATATTGGCCTAGGATACCAACAAAACACTACCTACAGTACATAATAAAGCTCCAAATGACTTACGATAAATCAGCTAGAACTACATACTATATTGTATATATAACGGTACTAGGTAATAATTATCTTAATTTCATTGACCTTACTCTACATGTAATTTATGGATCGAGATATCAGCTCCATTACTTACCAACAAGTAAACAGTGTCCATTGGGCTGTTTGAGGACGCGACTGATGCGAGATATATGTTCTATGGCGAACCTGAACATGACGAGGCTCATTGGAGCCTTACTCATCATATTGTACTCATCCAGGTAGTTCTCTATAGTCTGGTAAAGGAAAGATCATAGTGTTTACAAATGGGTAGACTGTATGAATAAAACTATAAATGATCAATTAACAAATTCAACAAATGTATCAAATTGAAGAAAAGGCCCTATGCAAATCTTTTTAATCTCAAAAAATTTTTTTTTTGAAACAAGCTTTTGTTTCAGATTCAAGGGAAATTGCATACACAGAGATTAGTTCTTGCTTTCAAAAATGATCTTAGGGACAGTTACACATATAACGTTTGATATTCTCTGTAGTTCTAAGCATAAAGAAACACATATGGATCCTTTCTGTTTTCTAACTCACCTCTCTAAGCTCATCCATGCTGGATATTTCATCATAGAGTTTCTCCTCCTTGCCCTTTGAGAGGTAATCCCCAAACAGGAGACTGCGGATGTCGTCATCAATGACCGTCACCCGCTCAGCCTCCTTTGGTAGAAGGTGCTTGAATAGGTTGTTCATCTTCTCCTTGAACTGTGTTTCTATACAGTGCTGTCATGGAAACAGGGAGGATTTATAGAAATCATCACTCAGGTATAATGTAGAGATAGAAATCTAAAACTTTATTTTGGAAAGGTCTACCTGTGTCTAGATTACTGGTGCTGAAGGCAAGGCAAGACAACTTATCTCATCAACATTGAATCCAATTTGTTGTTAAATAAACTTCATTACTTACCTTGACAAGACCGAAGTAGACCTCGCGGTCAGTTTCATCAACCAAACGGTCATAGAAGACACGGTAAACTTCATGTACCCACAATCTCATGATTTTTAGTGAAGCCTCATTTCCCTCAGGCGGCATCACATCTGGCTTCAACAGGAGGATACCCTACAACAAGCATCAAATAACCTACAACAATGTCATGAACTCAAACACATGGGGATACCCTACAACAAGCATCGAATAACCTACACCAATATCATAAACTCAAACACATGGGGAGACCCGACAACAAGCATCAAATAACCTACAACAACGTCATGAACTCAAACACATGGGGATACCCTACAACAAGAATCAAATAACCTACAACAATGTCATGAACTCAAACACATGGGGATACCCTACAACAAGCATCGAATAACCTACACCAATATCATAAACTCAAACACATGGGGAGACCCGACAACAAGCATCAAATAACCTACAACAATGTCATGAACTCAAACACCGGGGGATACCCTACAACAAGCATCAAATAACCTACAACAACGTCATGAACTCAAACACATGGGGATACCTACAACAAGCATCAAATAACCTACAACAACGTCATGAACTCAAACACATGGGGATACCCTACAACAAGAATCAAATAACCTACAACAATGTCATGAACTTAAACACATGGGGATACCCTACAACAAGCATCGAATAACCTACACCAATATCATAAACTCAAACACATGGGGATACCCTACAACAAGCATCGAATAACCTACACCAATATCATAAACTCAAACACATGGGGAGACCCGACAACAAGCATCAAATAACCTACAACAATGTTATGAACTCAAACACAGGGGGATACCCTACAACAAGCATCAAACAACCTACAACAATGTCATGAACTCAAACACCGGGGGATACCCTACAACAAGCATCAAACAACCTACAACAATGTCATGAACTCAAACACATGGGGATGCCCTACAACAAGCATCAAATAACCTACACCAATGTCATAAACTCAAACACATGGGGATACCCTACAGCAAGCATCAAATAACCTACACCAATATCATAAACTCAAACACATGGGGAGACCCGACAACAAGCATCAAATAACCTACAACAACGTCATGAACTCAAACACATGGGGATACCCTACAACAAGCATCAAATAACCTACACCAATATCATAAACTCAAACACATGGGGATACCCTACAACAAGCATCAAATAACCTACACCAATGTCATAAACTCAAACACAGGGGGATACTCTACAACAAGCATCAAATAACCTACAACAATTTCATGAACTCAAACACAGCGGGATACCCTACAACAAGCATCAAATAACCTACACCAATGTCATAAACTCAAACACAGGGGGATACCCTACAACAAGCATCAAACAACCTACAACAATGTCATGAACTCAAACACATGGGGATGCCCTACAACAAGCATCAAATAACCTACACCAATGTCATAAACTCAAACACAGGGGGATACTCTACAACAAGCATCAAATAACCTACAACAATGTTATGAACTCAAACACAGGGGGATACCCTACAACAAACATCAAATAACCTACAACAATTTCATGAACTCCAACACAGGGGGATACCCGACAACAAGCATCAAATAACCTACAACAATGTCATGAACTCAAACACAGGGGGATACCCTACAACAAGCATCAAACAACCTACAACAATGTCATGAACTCAAACACATGGGGATCCCCTACAACAAGCATCAAATAACCTACAACAATTTCATGAACTCCAACACAGGGGGATACCCGACAACAAGCATCAAATAACCTACAACAATGTCATGAACTTAAATACATGGGGATACCCTACAACAAGCATCAAATAAACTACAACAATGTCATATACTCAAACACAGGAGGATACCCTAAAACAAGCATCAAATAACCTACAACAATGCAATATACTCAAACACCGGGGGCTACCCTACAACAAGCATCAAATAACCTACAACAATGACATGAACTCAAACACATGGGGATACCCTACAGCAAGCATCAAATAACCTACAACAATGTCATAAGCTCAAACACAGGGGGATCCCCTACAACAAGCATCAAATAACCTACAACAATGCCATAAACTCAAACACAGGGGGATACCCTACAACAAGCATCAAATACCCTACAACAATGTCATAAACTCAAACACAGGGGGATACTCTACAACAAGCATCAAATAACCTACAACAATGTCATGAACTCAAACACAGGGGGATACCCTACAACAAACATCAAATAACCTACAACAATTTCATGAACTCAAACACAGCGGGATACCCTACAACAAGCATCAAATAACCTACAACCATGCAATATACTCAAACACAGGGGGATACCCTACAACAAACGTCATAAATTCTACAACAGTCTACAACAATGTCATGAACTCAAACACATGGGGATGCCCTACAACAAGCATCAAATAACCTACACCAATATCATAAACTCAAACACATGGGGATCCCCTACAACAAGCATCAAATAACCTACAACAATTTCATGAACTCCAACACAGGGGGATACCCGACAACAAGCATCAAATAACCTACAACAATGTCATAAACTCAAACACAGGAGGATACCCTACAACAAGCATCAAATAACCTCCAACAATGCAATATACTCAAACACAGGGGGATACCCTACAACAAACGTCATAAATTCTACAACAGTTATCAGCTTTATATTTCAACCTGTGAGATCTTTGAAAATCAATGTACATTGCAAAATTGCCTCCTACGCATTTCTGAAATGCCTTCCTACTGCAAATGGTATTGAAAACTCTGAATCAAAGATAATGTTTTTCAACAGAGGTCAAGGAAACCCAATAACAGAGATCAGGGACACCTGATAATAGAGGTCAAGACATCCAACAACAGGGAAGGTCAAGGATGCCTGATAAGAGTGGTTAAAGACACCTTAGAACTGAATTCAAGGACACCTAAAATGTATAGCTACAGAGGAGGCAAAGGATACAGAACAGTAGGTCAAAACACCAAATAACAAAACTGTAGAAGAAGTCAAGCATACCCTGCAACACAGACGTCTAAACATGTCAGTATGATTTCACAATTACTTTTTTATGTCTAAAATAGGTGTGTTATGACAGGAACACCTGACTCCTTACCTGTACAACCCTGGCAAAGTCCCGGAGGTTGAACACATAGTGTGATCTTGAAGGACTGGGTAGGAATTTCACTATGGCACTGTTGTATATCTCCATAGTGCTCACCAGGATCAGCTGTCAACAAAGCATATGAACAGTCATAATGATAAACTTTATTTATTTTACAACAATTATGAAACAAGTTATTTCAACTTATATTAATCACTCTTCTTGGCCCGGATGGAAGTGCGCGAAGGGTCTTAATGTGGGAGGAAACAGGAGTACCCAGGAAAACCCACGTGGTCGGGCAGGTGACCATATACCTTTTCACGTCCGATCGGGGGGGAAACCCTGGTCGCCTTGGTGAAAAGCGAGTCGCTATCCGCTGCACCACCCGACCACCCAAACAGTCAAATACTGACACATGTTGCATCAGTTAAAAACGTTTTACTTTTATATTTGTACAATTATACCTAGAAAATATGAAACTTTTGATTTGAATACACATTCAGTTTGAGTGAAATCATTAATTTCTTTTTCAATGAAGATAATTCCGATTTAAAGGAAGGACTTCTGAAACACATTTGGAACAGGAGTAAACCCCAGCTGTATGATTTTAAATAATGATTGTTTATCAAGTATCACTTAAAACCTTAAATGCTAAGTACAGGTGTTAAAATCAAGAGAGACTCTAAAATGGGTTTATAAATTGGCTACTGCTTACCCTTGAGAACCTACGAAGAGTTGTTTCAAAGAAGTTGAAATGCCAGTCAAGAATCGGGGAGAAGATATTCTTCATGGTCTCCTCATCAAACGACTCTATCCCAATGATGTTGAAGTGTCGCGTAAATCGGGGCGTGACGTTGTTCCGTCCTCCACCAGGAGGGCCCATGGCAGACACCATGACTATATCAACCAGCTCCAGGATAGTGGTGTCCTTCCTGTATAACAAAACCATTGTAGATTGAAGTAATATGTATATGGTATGCCAACTTTTTCTTTATTCCTGCGAGTTGTGCTAGAGTTATCTCCCTTTATATAAGCATATCATCAATGGTAATTGGTAATGGCCTGTCCACTGTTCGAGATAAAACTTTACTTCTCAAACAAGAAGGTGGAATCCATTGTCAGAGAATCTCTATGAGGGGGCTGGGCCGAGGTGAAACCTTACCTGTCAAACCAGTACTTGTGGTCCATCCACTGTCTGAGAATCTCTATGGGGGGCTGGGCTCCATACTTCTCCTTGGCGGGCATATTCAGGTCATCAACAAACACACACAGCTTTTTGCCCAGTGTGGGGCCATATATACCCTTCTTCCTCCTGTAAAACAATAGGAATTGCAGTCAGTCTTCTGGTACTTTTCATATATAAACATTAATTTTCTTCAATCTGATCTCTATGAAATGGATAGAATTCTTCAAAATATCTTCTGACACCAATATAGAAATTGCCAATAAAACTGTCTGAGAAAGAATCCATTACTTAGGGTTGGTCGGTTTATGGCAAAATATTGCTATTCTAATTCAGGCCTATTGAGCTAAAATTCTTAATCCTTTTGCTTAAGCACAGTCCAACAATATTATGTCACCAACTAAGTGTTGGCTGAACCAACAGAGCTTCACTGTATAAAGTAAAAGAAAAAATAACTAAATAAATATAGAACATTTGATATAGCAACCTATCTGGCTAGAATAAGTTACTTTAAAGCGCTTTACAGTAAATATATATACAATTTATACAATATACAATTAACATATACATTAAATAATATATTAATCAAAACAATTTTGAGGAATTCACAGGAGCTGCCTTATCAGGCGCTAACTACTAGTCCTATGCCACCTGTCTAATATCTCATTATGTGTATATGCCTGAGTGTGTGCTGGAGAGGTATTGTGTTCTGTTTGTAATGATTCAATATCTGTTCTTCTACCTGTTAAGCACCTAGATATATCAACAAATTATAATATGGATATTTATATGACCATGCCAACCTGTCAAGCTTGGAGAAGATGATGTCCTGTGTCTGACTAGCCGAGGTCTGGGCAGAAAAGTTGATGTTGGTGATGATATACTTGTCCTTTGGTAGCTGAAGCAGGAAGCTGTTAGTGATGGCCGACTTGCCAGTCCCTGTGGGGCCCACAAATAATGTTGGGATGTCCTGCATTATCAGGCGGTCAAGGAAGTATCGCTGTCTTTCTGTCTCCACGGTATTTATAATCAGCTCGTTAATCTACACAGGTAAAGACAGGTAACAAGGATAATTAATTAACAGGTAGTAGTGTGATGAAGATTAAATTAATGAGGTGAAGTTTTACATTATATTGATTTACTTAAAATAAATGAAATGACATGTGGATTGATGGGATGGATATGTTAACTCTAACTATAAACCTTTTTTCTGCGGTCACCTTGCTAAACTACAAGTCTCAGCCAAACAAACAAAGCTAGCATGAAAACTGCACCGCAACCGAAATCAAGACAATCACTTTTTGATTAATGACTACAACTTTTTACAGCTATTCATACTTTGAGCATGGCAAACAATTGTTTAATTAGCATGACATTATTGTGTAAATAAAATGGTTACAATTCCTAATTTTCTTCTTCCACCTTGTTTATCGAACATAACAAAAATTGAATGCGAAGTGAAAACCAACAGCTAGCATGATCAAAGTTTCATTTTGTACTGATACAATTATTTGTTTTATGCTGAGAGCAATTTTCTGTGTAATCTATTCAAAACTAATTTTAGTGCTGTCGATACCTCTTGTTTTTTTGCATTTCCTATTGTTTAAAGTTTGTTCTATTTTTTGGCGTATAAAAAATGCAAGTGACGACCAATATGGATTCAAGTGATGCACAATACTTGTTGACATATATGAAAATCAACAGTCAAAGCATGTGATAATTATCATGCAAACATTTCAGACATTATCATAGTGGGTTTTTTCCTAAATATCATCAGTCCGAAAAAACGGTCAATTTAAAAAGATAAATAAAAAATATTTTTTTTTATAGAACTTGTCTTTTATATTCAAAATCGTCTTACCATGATGCGGAGTTCACGATCTCTCTGTATCACACATAAATGGTGAGAAGAAAGAAAACTGGTTAGTAAAATAAACACTGCAAACATCAAACCAACCAACAGGTCATTGATATCAAGAACAATCTCCGATGTAAACACACCAGTTCAAGGTCAGCACAAAAGGTCACAAGGTCAACAGAAAAAGTTACGAAAATTTGAAAATAAAATTGTCATCAAAATTATCTTCAGGAAACAGTCCTGAAATTCAAAAATGTTTGTGTTCTAATCTGTTTTCATAAAATGAGCTTTGGCTACTTTTCAGCTATAACATGACTAAGAGTTACCTTCAGCAAATTTTGTATTACATTTATATGATATTTAGGTGTGTTTTTTTACGAAATAATTTATTTATTTTTCTGCCAGGTGTTCTTATTGGAAAAACGTAAAACTGTTTTGACAATTTTTAAAACTTGGAAAAAAATTCCATTTAGCCAGTTAATATCCTTACTTAAGTCTAAATGCTACAACAGATACCAACTGATCTACCAAAGATTCTGGAGTAAAATGAAAACCTGATGCTATGATCAGAATGACATTTGATACAAAAATGCCTGAAACATTGTGAGCAATAGTACTGAGTCTGTGACTGGTGTGTTTACATCCGAGCTTGGATAACGACATACAGACAAGCTTCCAGGAAGAAACGTTAATGTCGCAGGTTTAACAGGATCGTGACTGTTACATGTGAGGATTCGTGGAGGAAACATCGAAAAATTGTTTGGGAATCTGGGAAGAAAACATCCAGGATTGCTAGGATTGTTGGTCAATCATGGTAGGATCATAAAAGGATTGAGGATCGGGGAATGGAACACCTCAGGATTGCTAGGATTGTAAGTGGATGACGTGGGAGCGATACAGATTGTAGGTGATTGGTAGATGGGAACATATAAAATGATGGTGGGTGGCTAAGGGTCGGAACATTACATAAATATTGTTTGGAACATCATTGGATGGTTGGTTGACTGAGGTAGTTAGTTTTGTCAGTATCATATGTATGGGTACTGGATGGACAGGTATCGGATACAGCAGGACTGGGGGTTTAAAGGATAACAAACACATCTTCCTGGAAACTCACATTAAGCGGAACACAGACTTGTAAAATATCAAATTAAATTAATATAGAATTAGATTTACAGGAAAACATTTAAATCTGTGATGTCAATGAACAATGTACCTAAGTCATATACAATGCTGTGACCTTGCAATGAACTTTAAAACCTATCATTTGTTGGCATATGTACATTTTTGTTTGGAAAAAAGATTAAATCCTGCAGGTGAACCATTTCCAAAAGGTGTGTCAGTAGTTTTGACTTTTCAATAAGTTTATTGGAATTTCCTAAATATTTTTCAAACATCCAAGAGAAACGTAAACCAACATGTATTTTTTTTTTCTTTTTTCTTTTACTTTATGGTTCATGCATCTCCAACCCCCTTCCCATCCATCTACATTATCATTTAATTTAGAAGAATGATTTGGTGAATGATAAGGGACTGTATTTGACAAAGGTAGAGACCGTAAACAATTACATTGACACCACACACAAATAATAACGCTCTAGGGTTTAAACAGACTCCACGTTTAATTCAATATAAGAAGTAGAAAAAATGAAAAATAGTAACAGTTTTTATATTTACATTTCGGAGAACCAAACTGAACTGACTATGGTACAGTAGGTAAATACAATTTACTGTTTATAAAATAAAATCACTCAATTGGAAAATTTGATAAAATTTTGAACACAGCTGTGATATTTTACAAAGCCTTTTTACAGAGTATTCTACCTGTACCTTGGACAATTGCACCAATTTCATTTAAAAGTGAAGGTACAGGTAAGATACTCTATCAACATTTCATTTCCTCAATCAATGTCTGCAGTTTTTATAAAAAAATAATGCTGCAACTCTAACGAGACACACATTGTACTCTCATCTATGTAGCTAAAGCTGGAACTACAAACGTATAAACACCACACAAAACTTCAGTATTCACCTAACTATCTGACCATGATATATATTTTTTATTGTAAAAATATTTTTAATATTCCTACAAAGAAAATGCAGACAAAATACAATACAGTTGTTTATCTAGATAATTTATCATTTTTCTATCATAAAAACTATAAATCTTGAATATCATATGTGAAATACAGATTTAAAGTTAAATATTAAGAATAAAAGTTCATCTGATTAAGAGTAATAAGATAGACATACTGAATATACTCTAAGATTGATTCAGGATTTTTAATCATTGGTCTAACAACTAAAGCTAGGAAGATATCTAAAATCTGTACTGCTAAATACTTTTATTTTATAAATTGAAGCCAAGTTTTAGATTTTCTCTTTAATAGTCTTCATTATTTTCACATATGCATTTCTTGAATGAAAACATCCTATTTGAAATTCAATCAGCATATATAACTATATATAACTGTATCTTATTTTTCAACTTACCACGTTAAAAAAAATGAAAATTATAAGTTGTCTTTACTTTGAAAAATTTGAACTACACTTTATTTGGAGTTGTAACTCAAATATTAGAACAAATCAAAATTAAATAAAAAAGTAAAATAATTAAAAATAAAAATTACAATAAAAATTTACTGTAGCAGTTTTAGAACTTAAGCTGAAGGTCTTGAATAAGAAACATATTAAGATGTTAGACAAGGTATTTTAAGGTGGGATGACACTAGAGAATTACATGGTACAGTGTAATATAACTACTAACAGTTGTAGAGAGATTGAGAACAACCTAGCTACTCGGTTAAAATCTCTGTTTACAGGTAGATCTAACATGCACCCTTGTCCACGCTCATCATGCACATGGACATTCTACAAGAGCTGTATGTTATTTTTTTACTACATTAGTTGTACATTTCTCTGGCACATGCAATGCCCATGCAAATGATAGAATGGAAATAGAACGCTTAGTATTTACGCTAAGTATTTACGAAAAAGGTAATTGAACATGAAGTAACCTTAAACTTGTTTATCCCTCTTTCAGAAGCAAAATCAAAAGCATGTTACTGTCAATTACGGAACTTTTCCCATAATGATTTAATGAAAGAAAACCTTCTATAGCCTAACTGTATCAATGAACAATAACCATCTCTTAACAGGAAATCCGTTCTCAAAATCTTCCTGTATTTATCCAGCAATAGCCCATGCCTGGTAATAAGCCCACCCATATTTTTTCACAGTTTAGTAGATTTGAAATGTTACAAAAGTGCTATTTCAATGCCCTGTAATAAGCCTCTCCCCTATTTTAAACCAGAGATTATGTGTTGGCCCTAGGCTTATTGCAGGATAAATACGGTATAGAACATAGTGTTTCCGGATTACGTAAGTTCTGTTGAGTTGAATTCCAATGACTCAGCATGTCATCTGAAATTAGCGAAGTATCTGAATTTCTAACCAAGAGATACTGTCATTTTGAATATAAGCACGGAAGTATCAACATTACCGTACTTACTGTAATAATAACCCTGTAGAGAGTTATAAATACCAGTAACAGATATATTCTATAAACATTTGTCTCCATACACAAATTAAGATCTCTACTCTCAAAAGTGTTTGTGAAGGTTCATTTATAGTGATAAAACGAGTGTAATGCTATATATTGCTCTGGGTACAGAGAAGATAATATACCAATATATATATATATACATGTGTATGAAATTGGTACAAATCAATAATAACAAAATTATACATGCATTCACTGAAGTAGAAATGTAAATTTCCTGTTGTTTGACATATTTACAAAGAAAATAAGTATTATTGTCAATAATTCAGCAGAGACACACTGTATGAGGTCATGAGCTTTTCAAGCACTGAACTTTCTATAGAATGTTACATCTAAACTAAATTTGTAAAAAATAGATGTTCCAGGACTTAAGTCCACCAGACAAATTGACTGGCAAGGTCTAGAGCTTCCTCTATGGAATACAGGAAAAGATAACCCTGGAGACCTTTTAGCGTCAACTTCAGACTACTCTAATTTTTAGGAGAAAGTTGTGAAACTACATTTGATCAAATTGTGGATTTGATAAATTCCGCTTAGATATATACTGTAGGAAGGATCTACCAAACGGTATTAAATAAGATCAGGAGGATTATTACATGTTCTCCTCTACGTTTCTCCACATTTCTACTTGTTACGGTTGTGATACACTTGTTATAAACAATACAAACGCATGCATATATAATAAGTCCTGACCAGGTGTGTATACACAAATAGTACAGGTGACCTGTGTATACAATGTCTTACCATCTCCTGAGTGGCTAATACACTCTTGGGTTTTTCCTTATGTTAGCAAAATGTAATGACAAACCAATTAAAATTAATAAAACATAAAAGCATTATTTTTGTTATGAGGATGTTATGACATTAACTTTTATCAAATATATTTATTAAAGTGATGACCAAAAATAGTGAGGAAATTTATATTTTTTTTCTAAATGAAGTTAAAAGTAGTATTATGTATTGAAATTGTTATTAAGATCTACCCTTTCATTAAAAGACAAGTATACCATGAATTCACAATTGTCATGAATGTCCGGAAAAATCTCTTGGCAAATGATTCGGTATATGAGGCTGATAGTTAAGGTACATTTTGAATAATGTAAATTTAATATATTTAATATGTCAATCAATTAATTAAAGGTACACATGTTGAAATGAAGTCAATTTATCACTTTTAATTAAAATAATAAAAAGTTTTGCAGTGTAGTATTTAGTGAAAGTGTGATGATAATTATTAATTTATTAGAAATACAAGCTTTGTAATTATAAGTGATAGGAACCTTACATCTCTCTCTATTGATACAGAAATTACACAAAAGCACAAACACGTACTAATGTCATATGCAGACAGAACTAAAGAAAAATCACTGAATTCATCTAAAATCAGACATAACCCAGCTGTACTTAACCCTTTCACCCCTATGTACCTTTAGTAGACTCTACCATGCATTGATCTGGATGAGTCCATTATGGACTACAGAGGTAAATAGATTAATGGCAAAACATTTAGGACATAAACAGTACATATATATCTAGGAGAAAAGAGAACCCAACGGTCAGACCAGGATTCGAACCCAGGACCCTCTAAACTCTACTAATTGAGCTACCTCAGGGCACCGGCCATCAACTCAGTACAGCTTCCCTACATTCCTCCCTCCTTTTTTTAAGTCTTTGCCCCTATTGCTTGAAACAAGGGTTGAAAAGCCTACCAATTTTGTGTTCAGTGAATGGGAAATGTAACAGCCGAACTGGGATTCGAATCCAGGACCCTCTGAACTCTAGACAAATGCTCTACCTTGTCACCGACAATCGACCCAGTCCAGTTCCACTAAATATAATTTGCTGAAGAATCAGATGTTCAAGTCCCAAGGTTGATTCAACAGAGGAATAAAATATGTATTCCCCTTTAACTTGATGGGATTTATTCCTGTTATCTATGGGGGACACACTGAAGGTACCCAATAGGGTACAATATGTTATAAAGCCATCAGACCGTAACATTCCATGGATTATAAAACATGATTAACGATGGACACTCGCAAAGTCTGTATGCTTGCTATAAAAATAACATTTGATGTGACCCCTTAACTAATGATAGGTTTATAAATTATCGAAATATTTTGAAATGTCATGTGACATTGCTATTTCCATGCATAACAACAAGTTTGATGGAGTATATGATTAACTCCTATAGACATTTAACATTCCAATGTCACATACAATCGGTGTGGTAGAACATTCCCGTATATGAATCATGCTACAGAAATCTTTCCTTGCATGGTCACATCGTGACTGGAATAACATATCTAATTGTGACTGATCATTCTTAATATGATGTGAACTTTTCAAAGTCATGTGACTGTTCTCTGGTGTCATGTGACATACATTTGTGTCATTCAACTTGCAGAGCAATTCTCATAAAAAAACATCCTGAATAATAAAGAGTGCAACACTTTTTGTCATGTGACCAATAAAAAGGATGACATCACTTCCTGTGCAGGACATCTTACCTTTGGCTTAACAGACCTTTCCCCCATCAAACTGGGGCTCTGTGGCTTTTTTTTGTTGTCCTAATATTGTAAGATTGTAAATACTTTGGTATTCATGCAAGATCCAACATCAAATTCCACAAATGCTTTCTCGAGTCAATTATTGCCTCAATTTATAAAAACAAATTTATTTGTACAATATACAGTAAGGTTTAATATTTACACCAGTATCAAAACCTAATGATGCACTATATGCAAAATTAAGAATTATCACTATGTGGAAACTTTCAAAATTCTTATCCATAAATACTATCCAGTCCTTCAGGATCCCAAATGAGCTAGGATTTCTGTAGAAACTTATAGATCTATCTATAGAATTGATAGATAAGCTGAGTAACTAGAGAGAGACTTTGAAGGCGGCTAAGTACACCCAGAATGACCTGTCACATCAACCTTTTATCATTCTATTGGTTACAGGTGTAAAACACATCTGCACTGACATCTGTACTGACATCTGCACTGACATCTGTACTGACATCTCCACTGACATCTGTACTGACATCTGCACTGACATCTGTACTGACCATTGCATTCAAAGTTTAAAGCTTCTTTTTTGTCTGCAAAATAATCAAATTAACATGTCTCTCTTTTTATCATTTTAAACTATGAGGCAATGTTCTGACACCGTTCATAGACCTACCAATCGATTGACCTAAAGAGAAATCACCCAGAGGGTGAGTTGGTTTCATATAAGGTTTCATATAAGGTAACCAACATGACAAAATCAATTGCAACATATGTCATTCGTCCTATCTGACAATAAATGACATTTTCTGGAAATATTCTGTGAATTACTTAAATCTTATTCAAAAGGATAGGGTTTATAGACACAAGGTTTGAATGCGAGGCTTTAAATTTGTGAAAAGTCGCATGTTCCTCCTTTACTATGTCGGATATTTAAATTCCCGATAATCTTTGTGAAAATATAAGTCTCACAATTAAAGTGATTTACAGGGTTCCAGCAATGGAAATGGGCAGTCAACGTATATGTATTAACGTTAAAGATACTCATTGGTATGTTGAAAATTTATTAAAATTATGAGAGTGGTTTGATGTATCAAAGCTGTAAAAAATAATAATCTACAAAGGACAGAGGTCAGAATGTCTCTAAATAGTTCAAAGGTCATATGCATTAGAAGTTCAAAGGTCATGCAATAGAAGTTCAAAGGTCATGCAATAGAAGTTCAAAGGTCATGCATTAGCTAGAGATGCTTGAAGTGTCTTAACTAGACCAAATCTAAAATCGTAATACAATTTGAAAGTTTTTATCCTCATCCTCAACACATTGGCTATTTTTTTTTTTTTTTTTAAACAAGTGAGGCTGTATATTAACTGCCACAGTTTACATAAACGGTTATACCACCATTGGAGTCATCGTCAAGGAAATGGATTCAGTAACGACACCAACAATAATCTAAGTACAAAATTGCTTTAAAAATAGTGTTGATAAAAAATAATTAACGATTTGTATACTTTGCAGGTCAAAGGTCATGGAAATAAAGCAGGTAAAACAAGGGTGATTTTATTATATTAGCGGTATATTATAACATGAAAATAAAGCTTTCTTTCCCTGCATGCATAGGGAATAAGTTGGTTTTTATTTTGTGCATCATATAATGAACTTAAAATTAGCCAACACCCATAACCAACTAGACTGCTAAAGATTTGTATAGGAAAATAGAATGAAGTTCGCATGGAAGTAAATTACAGGTCAAATGAAAGTCAAATGATGATCAAAGGTCACAACCTTTCATCTATAATACAGCAATGTTAAGTTACTTGTTGCTATAGCAACAAGTGTGTTTAGACATTACCTGAAGATTCTGTAGTAAAACAAAATAAAAAAATAACACCATAAATATGACGAAATATCAATTGGTAAAATTGTCCGCTTGGTATGTTGATATTCCTAATATGCTACGCAGGGAATAAAATCTTCTGCATAATAAAAAGGTTAGTGTGAAAAACTGTGCAATTTGTGCACCACTGTAATATGTGGAGGTAAATTTTGGAGCGGAAAATGCTGAAAAAAGCTTCTATACTCGTATACACTGCAAATTAGATTCTTCCAGCAAAATCAATGTTCAGAATTCTTTGAGAAAAAAATATAAGAAAATGTTCCAAGCATATCAGAAATTAAAAAAAATCACATTCTTTTACACAAAAAAAAAGCAAGCCAAACAAAATTAAAACAAGAGGCATATAGCCCATTAATGGTTGCCCGATTGATACACATACTTATAACAACCAGCAGTAGGATAGTAAAATCTTCAATTGAGTAAAAGCTAAGTGGGGCAAGTGGCTCTAAATGTTGACATGTTTCATAAAAATTTGACCTGATCGAATCTACCAAAAAATATAATGTCATTTGAAGATTTACACTAAGAAATCCCTTCTAAGATTCCTGGAGGGTAACCTGTTTCTGAAGTATAAATTGTGATCATAATTGTCCTCTACGGATTATTTATGACACCTGCAAGTTTAAGAGGGGATTGTTTTTGAAGGTTTTGTCCCCTGTAACACCTTATTATCCTATCCTGCCCCTCAGCTCCCCTCCATGAACTTAAATTATGATCCTAGTCTAAATCCACCAGCAACTTTCAGAGTAGATATTGACACCTACTAAGCCCCATCCGACTCCCTAGGATTACGCCCCTTATAGAGTATAGATTCTGATCCTCATCATGTACAAGATCATGTGATCAAATGTTGATGACAGTTCAACAGTAAGTTTCAGAGATGTTTTTTGAAGGTTTTGCACCAAGTGCATGACCCCCTTATAGTCCCACTCAGAGTCTTTTGGTTGGTCAGCCAACTTCAGAGTAGATGATGATCCTCATCAGCTAGGATCACTTGATGAAATTTTGATCAAAATTTCCAACAGCAAATTTCAGAGGATTTGTCCTTATTAAAAAGTGTTTGCACTAAATGACTACCAAAAGCCCTGCCCAGCAGTCCCCTAGGGGGCCTTCATTCATAATATTGAAAGTAATTAGTGCTAAAAAATCATTTGAGTTAAGCATTTTTTTTGAGTTAATTCTAAGAAATAGTTTTTATTTATTTTTAAGGCACATTATATTAAATACCGAAGCAGTTTCTCCAAGCATTATTTATCCACTTTACTAAGGGGGACACTTAAACAGGAAAATAAATTATAAATATACATCACACTAATTAAGCCATACAAAAAAATCATGCTGATTTAAAAAAAAAAATCTTGAACTAAGGATATCTCTTGTAAAATTAGGTAAAAATTAGATAAGTTAAGTAAAATGAGTAAGGTGTAATATATAAATAAACATTAAATTATTAATAGTTAAATAATATGCACAAATATTTGTTATTGCAATCTACTTAGTATGGTTAACTGAAAAAATACATTTTGATGATAACGATAAAAGATACCAAGATATTAAAAATGTATATGAATTTAAAATCAAAACACACTCAAGAAAAAACCAAATATATTTTTGAAATAATTTCTCACGTAACTTGTATCATGTTTGTATATATATCTATAAGACTATGTGATCTGTCATTTTCTTAATATCATAATCAACATCAAATTCAATGGCTGATTATCGCTTTCCCAGCTTCTTGAATTTCTGTAATTCCTTCACTTTCACATTGAAGTTACTCAGCATGATGTTTTACTATGTCACTACAGATCTAGCTAGCTGCTTATCAAATCATCAAGATTTCCAGATTAATGATTTTGATTGACACAAGACACATATAACAAATACAAGTTATTTATGTGAGAAATAAGTTTACTCATTTATGACAATGTAATACCAAAACAACATTTAAGACTTTTTCTCTAAAACTTTTCATTTATTAACTTAGCTGAAATTAATTTGTGCACATTGTCAATAATGAGATAGCCATCATATTAATCACTAGATGATAAATATGTAAAACAAGCACCAAAAACGTTCACACATTAAATAAATCTTCAGCCAATCAGAAGAAGGCTTACGTGTGTTTTATTGACCCACCTTAGCTTTGTCGCCAATCTTGAACGGTTGGATGAGGCTACCCCACGTGTACCAGGAGCCGAACTGTTTGCGAATGTACACGTGGTCGTACACTAGACCCTTCTTGGGGATCATCAGTCCCCTGGAGAACTTCAGATCCTTAGGCCTGTAGGGGTGACAGAAGTCAGAGGTCAATGTTAGGTCAATTCAGGTCATAGATGTCAATATGGAGTCAATAAGGGCACACAAATACTGAAGCACATTGTAGGAAAATCAAAATGAAATCGCTATACTAAGGTACAAATGAATGAGAATTGAAATCGCTATACTAAGGTACAAATGAATGAGAATTGAAATCACTATACTAAGGTACAAATGAATGAGAAATGAAAATGTTACGTGGGATTCGTGTCTGGAAGAGAATTAAACTACGGTCAACATGATGTACCATACACTGACTCAGGGTATCTCTTAGTTTACAAATAAAACATTAGTATCATAATCATCTTATTTACAGTTATAGTAAGTTAGATTAAATAAGTCACCATTTTATCCAAGAACAGTTTGTTTAATGTTTTTAATCAGAAGTCCATTAAAATTTAATTCAAGCCATGTTGGACCACTCTCATTCAATGCTTAAAGTCCACACAGGAATGATGGGGACAAAACAACCTAAAAATATATAGTCAACACAATAAATAATGGGTATATGGAATTCAAGGATGATAGAAACTAACCAAATAGAGAATACATATGGATGGAGAAGATTGGGGTTAAGAATCATATTGCTTTTTGTGATTTCAAAAGAACTTAATTTTATACTTTCAAAATCAACACCTTTTTAGGGCAAGATAACTAAAAATCAGTTTTGATGAAATAAGTAACATAAAGGACAGAAGTTGTAAGCAGATCAAAGATTCCCAGCTATTTAGTTAAAGCTGAAAGCAGGTAAAGCCACACAAATCAGACTTTTGTTTATTCTTTTCCTGATCAATATAAATTTCACTTAATTGGTATAAAGCCTGTAGCTCTTAAAAAAATTGTTACTCCTTTTTATTATGTATACATGTCCTCCAAATTTTCTGAGAAAATATGAACAAACATCAGTTGTGACCTTTGACCCCTGACAGTGCCTTGACTTTTGACCCCTTTTCCAGTCTTCTTTCCATGCACTGTGCTTAGTTACAGTGTAGCCTTTTTGCACCATTTATACATGTATTTTACCAAAATAATGTTGATGTTGCCTTTTGGGTAGTTCTAGTAAAAAAATAAACATGCTGTTTTATAAAAATAAACCACACATCATGATCTTGATGAAGTTGTTCACGGTACATAAATGAACTATACAAAATATTGGTAAAGTATTCTTGGTTTATAATATCGTTTTGCGTCAATGACAAAAAATCATAAGAAATATATTTAAAAAATAAATAATTAGAGATCGATGTTCGGAGAATGAACATCGTTTTTTCCCCAATTTTTTTGGGTGCGCAAAATATTCGAGTAGAAGCTTTTTTCCAGATTTTCAGCCTCAAAAAGTACCTGCGCAAATTACATAGGTGCGCAAATTACATGGGGTTTTACGGTAAATTAATTATTGTAATTTGAACATAAAGTTTTTAATAGAGTCCTTTTTTTTATATCTGAGATGATAATTTACTTCCGTGACAAATTTACTGATTATTGACAAGCATACAGTAATGATCAACAGGCATATTTACTCAATAAATAATGTCATTTGAAATTTCAAAAATGGACGAAAACCTCAAAAACCCAGATAGTATTTTCCACAGTGTATATATGCGCATGAGAATGACTATATATTGTTAGATGACATGCGATGTATCAAACACGGACATTTATACCATATCAGAGTGCACAGACATGTGTACAGGTATTACGATAAAGATGCTTGGACAAATATTGACGACGATAACAATATGTATCTATGGTGTTGATGAGTATTGCAAACATTAATCTATAGTCCCCAACCTCAAGACATACTTTGATATTAAAATTTAACGAAGGGTAATTACTCTGTACATTGTGCAGTATGCAGTGGCGTAGCAAATCATTTTTTGGAGTGTATGCTTACAGATGGTCCAGCGTCCAAAGCGCATAGCGCCGGAGGATAGGGAGGGTAAGGAAGCTGAATAAAAAACCTACTAGGTCATCGAAGCAATCGCCCTTGTTCTGGGGACTCCTTTTAGTCTGATTATTAACAAGTAAACCCCAATTTTTTAAATTAATAATATTAAATTTTGTACTTCACTAAGAAGCTTTTGATTTACATAAACCTTTGAGATTTGTCAATGTGTATAGACATAACATAATATAACAGCACCATTTTATCAGGCTAAAATTTTCAAACAGATTTTTTTTTATTTCTTTCCTCTTTATGATTGATACGGACGGTCCATGTTAATCATAAAATAAGAAATTAATGAAAATACATGATAAAAAAGTCATCTTGAAAATGTTAGTGCATGCTTGAGCATACAAGCATACATGTACGCTATGCCACTGGTATCAGACCTGACTTTGATGCATGACACTTTGCCATCGCAACACCTACTCACATCCAAATTTCCCAAAATTCCCATCAAAGTGACAATTAGTTAACAAAGGGCCATAACTTTGTATAAGATGGGGCATAAGATCTGATTTTGAGTATGTACCATTCCGTCATCTGCACAGGTACTCCCATACAAAATTTGTTTATTGTTATTGACAGATTATACAAGACATGCCCTGGACAATGTGAAACAGTGAAAAAAGGGCAATAACTCTTTATATTTAATGGAGCACAAGACCTGATATTCGCGACACTCTGTCATTCCAAGAGGTGCTCGCATACAAATTTTGGCAATTGTTAAATAAAGAGCATGTTAGATACGCCCCAGACAAATGATGCACTGATAGAGGAATTGAAACCTATATAATAATGTCCCTTCTGGCACTGCCAGTGGGAGGGGCTAATAATTCAAATTTAAAATCAATCAGTAATTAAAATTTCCATCAGGTAGCAAAAGTGAGGTTGGACTGCACATATTATCAGAGGTAATGATTTTTCGTAGGATCAGTGATCAAAGCTGAAATGCAACAATAATTTTACAACAATAAATGGTGTCAAGAAAAACATGGCAGCACACTATTTATACCCATTACCATAGAAACCGTTCCTCCACCACTGTCCCGCACTCAGTACCACATGTGTCCAGGTGACCACAAAAACAGAGGTTTGTTTGGATTTTCAAGTTTTATAAGGTCTTTGTATAATTTCAAGACTCAACAAACAATTTTCAGTTTTTGTTTCTAGACACACAGCAAAACTAGTAATTTAAAACATATAGGAACGAAAAATATAAAAGGAAAGACTTTTGCATGAAACAAATAAATAGGGTTTTTTGTCTATTGTTTTTCCTGTTTGAATACTTCTTATTTATTTAAGTTCCTAAGTAAAAATATCTTGGTACGTATCATTTTCAATCACTTATGAAATTATTCTCCCAAATCAACCCAACTCTATGGAAGAAATGAAAATGCCAATCATTGATTTATGAATATGTTGCATGATTCAGCCTTAAAACATCCAGTTGTTTTTGTGGTAAATATTTTGTTCTACATTGTTATGGTACGTTTTCAAAATTCTGTTTTTGCTGGTCACCTGGACACACAACCTACACCAAAGGGACTTTAAATGTGTCCACTGACTTACCGCGTTATACTGCCCAGCCTGAATGTTAAAGTGTAAGTATACAAATATTATATCTAGGCTTTACCCACATAACCTGAAGGTTGAAAGTTTAATTAAACAAAAAAGAAATAACTAAATATATATATATTTGTGTGCTATATCTGCACAATCTATAATTTGAAATTTGTACATACACACACAAAATATTGTAATCACATACACATAATGTTATAATCACATACACATAATGTTATAATCACATACACATAATGTTATAATATATACACATAATGTTATATGTAAAAACATACACAAAACATTATAATACATCAACTACAAATATACCCAGCGTCCATATATATAATGTATAATATAAACAAATAAAGCAGAAGGCATAAAGTGATATACTATATATATATACAAAATAAGCATAGCTTATACACCAGGTAATGTAAGCAAAGCTTTAGTGTGGCTTCCACTGATCATACAGGTTCTGTAGAGATTGACCCTCACATACAGGTTCTGTCGTAGTGACCCTCAGATACAGGTTCTGTCGGGAGTGACCCTCAGATACAGGTTCTGTCAGGAGAGACCCTCAGATACAGGTTCTGTAGGGAGTGACCCTCAGATACAGGTTCTGTCATAGTGACCCTCAGATACAGGTTCTGTCATAGTGACCCTCAGATACAGGTTTTGTGGGGAGTGACCCTCAGATACAGGTTCTGTCGAGAGAGACCCTCAGATACAGGTTCTGCTGGGAGAGACCCTCAGATACAGGTTCTGTCGGGAGTGACCCTCAGATACAGGTTCTGTCGGGAGAGACCCTCAGATACAGGTTCTGTCGGGAGTGACCCTCAGATACAGGTTCTGTCAGGAGAGACCCTCAGATACAGGTTCTGTGGGGAGTGACCCTCAGATACAGGTTCTGTCGGGAGTGACCCTCAGATACAGGTTCTGTCGGGAGAGACCCTCAGATACAGGTTCTGTCGGGAGTGACCCTCAGATACAGGTTCTGTCGGGAGAGACCCTCAGATACAGGTTCTGTCGGGAGTGACCCTCAGATACAGGTTCTGTCGGGAGAGACCCTCAGATACAGGTTCTGTCGGGAGTGACCCTCAGATACAGGTTCTGTCGGGAGAGACCCTCAGATACAGGTTCTGTCGGGAGTGACCCTCAGATACAGGTTCTGTCGGGAGAGACCCTCAGATACAGGTTCTGTCGGGAGTGACCCTCAGATACAGGTTCTGTCGGGAGAGACCCTCAGATACAGGTTCTGTCGGGAGTGACCCTCAGATACAGGTTCTGTCGGGAGAGACCCTCAGATACAGGTTCTGTCGGGAGTGACCCTCAGATACAGGTTCTGTCGGGAGAGACCCTCAGATACAGGTTCTGTCGGGAGTGACCCTCAGATACAGGTTCTGTCGGGAGAGACCCTCAGATACAGGTTCTGTCGGGAGTGACCCTCAGATACAGGTTCTGTCGGGAGAGACCCTCAGATACAGGTTCTGTCGGGAGTGACCCTCAGATACAGGTTCTGTCGGGAGAGACCCTCAGATACAGGTTCTGTCGGGAGTGACCCTCAGATACAGGTTCTGTCGGGAGAGACCCTCAGATACAGGTTCTGTCGGGAGTGACCCTCAGATACAGGTTCTGTCGGGAGAGACCCTCAGATACAGGTTCTGTCGGGAGTGACCCTCAGATACAGGTTCTGTCGGGAGAGACCCTCAGATACAGGTTCTGTCGGGAGTGACCCTCAGATACAGGTTCTGTCGGGAGAGACCCTCAGATACAGGTTCTGTCGGGAGTGACCCTCAGATACAGGTTCTGTCGGGAGAGACCCTCAGATACAGGTTCTGTCGGGAGTGACCCTCAGATACAGGTTCTGTCGGGAGAGACCCTCAGATACAGGTTCTGTCGGGAGTGACCCTCAGATACAGGTTCTGTCGGGAGAGACCCTCAGATACAGGTTCTGTCGGGAGTGACCCTCAGATACAGGTTCTGTCGGGAGAGACCCTCAGATACAGGTTCTGTCGGGAGTGACCCTCAGATACAGGTTCTGTCGGGAGAGACCCTCAGATACAGGTTCTGTCGGGAGTGACCCTCAGATACAGGTTCTGTCGGGAGTGACCCTCAGATACAGGTTCTGTCAGGAGAGACCCTCAGATACAGGTTCTGTGGGGAGTGACCCTCAGATACAGGTTCTGTCAGGAGTGATCCTCAGATACAGGTTCTGTCGGGAGTGACTCTCAGATACAGGTTCTGTCGGGAGAGACCCTCAGATACAGGTTCTGTCGGGAGTGACCCTCAGATACAGGTTCTGTCGTAGTGACCCTCAGATACAGGTTCTGTCGGGAGTGACCCTTAGATACAGGTTCTGTCAAGAGTGACCCTCAGATACAGGTTCTGTCGGGAGAGACCCTCAGATACAGGTTCTGTCGGGAGTGACCCTAAGATACAGGTTCTGTCATAGTGACCCTCAAATCAGGTTCTGTGGGGAGTGACCCTCAGATACAGGCTCTGTCGTAGTGACCCTCAGATACAGGTTCGGTCGGGAGTGACCCTTAGATACAGGGTCTGTCAAGAGTGACCCTCAGATACAGGGTCTGTAGGGAGTGACCCTCAGATACAGGTTCTGTCATAGTGACCCTCAGATCGGGTTCTGTGGGGAGTGACCCTCAGATACAGGTTCTGTCGGGAGTGACCCTAAGATACAGGTTCTGTCATAGTGTCCCTCAGATCGGGTTCTGTGGGGAGTGACCCCCAGATACAGGTTCTGTCGGTAGATACCCTCAGATACAGGTTCTATCGGGAGTGACCCTCAGATGCAGGTTCTGTCAGGAGAGACCATCAGATACAGGTTCTGTGGGGAGTGACCCCCAGATACAGGTTCTGTCATAGTGCCCCTCAGATCGGGTTCTGTGGGGAGTGACCCCCAGATACAGGTTCTGCTGGGAGAGACCCTAAGATACAGGTTCTGTCGAGAGAGACCCTCAGAGATAGGTGCTGCTGGGAGAGACCCTCAGATCCAGGTTCTGTCGGGAGTGAGCCTCAGATACAGGTTCTGTAGTGAGTGACCCTCAGATACAGGTTCTATCGGGAGTGACCCTCAGATGCAGGTTCTGTCAGGAGAGACCCTGAGATACAGGTTCTGTGGGGAGTGACCCCCAGATACAGGTTCTGCTGGGAGAGTCCCTCAGATACAGGTTCTGTCATAGCGACCCTCAGATCGGGTTCTGTGGGGAGTGACCCCCAGATACAGGTTCTGCTGGGAGAGTCCCTCAGATACAGGTTCTGTCATAGTGTCCCTCAGATCGGGTTCTGTGGGGAGTGACCCCCAGATACAGGTTCTGTCATAGTGCCCCTCAGATCGGGTTCTGTGGGGAGTGAACCTCAGATACAGGTTCTGTCTGGAGTGACCCTCAGATACAGGTTCTGTCAGGAGAAATACTCAGATACAGGTTCTGTGGGGAGTGACCCTCAGATACAGGTTCTGTTGGGAGAGACCCTCAGATACAGGTTCTGTAGGGAGTGACCCTCAGATACAGGTTCTATCGTAGTGACCCTCAGATACAGGTTCTGTCATAGTGACCCTCAGATACAGGTTCTGTGGGGAGTGACCCTCAGGTACAGGTTCTGTCGAGAGAGACCGTCAGATACAGGTTCTGTCGGGAGAGACCCTCAGATACAGGTTCTGTAGGGAGTGACCCTCAGATACAGGTTCTATCGTAGTGACCCTCAGATACAGGTTCTGTCATAGTGACCCTCAGATACAGGTTCTGTGGGGAGTGACCCTCAGGTACAGGTTCTGTCGAGAGAGACCGTCAGATACAGGTTCTGTCGGGAGAGACCCTCAGATACAGGTTCTGTAGGGAGTGACCCTCAGATACAGGTTCTATCGTAGTGACCCTCAGATACAGGTTCTGTCATAGTGACCCTCAGATACAGGTTCTGTGGGGAGTGACCCTCAGATACAGGTTCGGTCGAGAGAGACCCTCAGATACAGGTTCTGTCGGGAGAGACCCTCAGATACAGGTTCTGTAGGGAGTGACCCTCAGATACAGGTTCTATCGTAGTGACCCTCAGATACAGGTTCTGTCATAGTGACCCTCAGATACAGGTTCTGTGGGGAGTGACCCTCAGGTACAGGTTCTGTCGAGAGAGACCGTCAGATACAGGTTCTGTCGGGAGAGACCCTCAGATACAGGTTCTGTAGGGAGTGACCCTCAGATACAGGTTCTATCGTAGTGACCCTCAGATACAGGTTCTGTCATAGTGACCCTCAGATACAGGTTCTGTGGGGAGTGACCCTCAGGTACAGGTTCTGTCGAGAGAGACCGTCAGATACAGGTTCTGTCGGGAGAGACCCTCAGATACAGGTTCTGTAGGGAGTGACCCTCAGATACAGGTTCTATCGTAGTGACCCTCAGATACAGGTTCTGTCATAGTGACCCTCAGATACAGGTTCTGTGGGGAGTGACCCTCAGATACAGGTTCGGTCGAGAGAGACCCTCAGATACAGGTTCTGTCGGGAGAGACCCTCAGATACAGGTTCTGTCGGGAGAGACCCTCAGATACAGGTTCTGTCGGGAGAGACCCTCAGATACAGGTTCTGTCGGGAGAGACCCTCAGATACAGGTTCTGTCGGGAGAGACCCTCAGATACAGGTTCTGTCGGGAGTGACCCTCAGATACAGGTTCTGCTGGGAGTGACCCTCAGATACAGGTTCTGTCGTGAGAGACACTCAGATACAGGTTCTGTCGGGAGTGACCCTCAGATACAGGTTCTGTCGGGAGAGACCCTCTGATACAGGTTTTGTCGAGAGTGACCCTCAGATACAGGTTCTGTCGGGAATGACCCTCAGATACAGGTTCTGTCGGGAGTGACCCTCAGATACAGGTTCTGTCGGGAGTGACCCTCAGATACAGGTTCTGTTCCTCAGAAAGATTTGTTTTCTTTTTAATGTTTTGCTTTAGGAGCGTTTTCTCTGATGTCACCATCAGATACAGGTGTCCCTGCAAAAGTGTTTTTCTTCTTTTTTCACAACTCTGCAACAACCCTAATGCATTATCTATGAAACGGTGCATTAATGCAGTACCAAACTAGAAATTCGTTTTTGTGAACAAAAACATGTCTTCCAATATAAGCCAATATGCATATTTGGAAGAATAGAAAGATGCATAAATATGGTAAGTTTGGTCAATGTAGGTGAAACAACATGGAAAATAAACAAAGGACCATTACTCTGTATAAAGTGGGGCGCAAGAACCCATTTCAGTGCAAGGGATTCCGCTTTCCCAAGACAAATAAATATGGTAAGTTTGGTAAACGCGTAGGTGAAATAACATAAAACTTATGCTCCGGATAAACTTCGGTATTAAAAATAAACAAAGGGCCATAACTCTGTATATAGTGGGGCACAAGACCTAATTCCAGTGCACTGCACACTTTCACGGGTGATGCAGGTATAATTCAAGTTTGAGCAAGATATCTTTTAACAGATTAAAATTTACGAACTTCACAAGAATTTACTGAAAATGATGTACTCATTTGACCTTTGACCTTGAGGTAAAGGTTTTAAATGAAATGATCAAGTTTTAACTATTTTTCTTCCTTTGACTAAATATCTTAGAAAGAAATCACCAATATTCTTTCAAATTACTAAAAAAATAAATTAAACCCACATTTTACTAAAAGCTGTAATTTTTGAATGTGTAGATTTAGTATGTGATAAGCTACCAAGACTTAACTGTGTTTCTTCCTTTGTCTGAAAAGATCTCATAAAAAAAACACCAATATTATTCCAAATAAAAGTATGTTATATGAAGCCACACCATACTAAAAGCTATATATTTTCTGTGTATATTAAGTAAGCAAATAGCTAAGTGATATATCACCAAAGCACTGGAGTCTATGAAGAAGGAAGACAACTCACTTAGGGTATTTGCTAACTGTCCCTCCAGCTTCTGCATCACATAGATTTCGGAAAAACTCGTCAAATTTGATCCGTGAGTTGCCATCCAGAGCTCCTCCTATAGACCAAACAACGGAGAAGAAGAAATAACTGATCAACATGTTTGTGCGCTCTTCAATGATCTTCTGGTCGTTCATTGAAATAGGTTTCTCCTTAGCCTCCTCTTCCTCATCATCATCCTCAATGATTTCATCTTCCTCCTCCTCCTCTGCCCCGATGGCCCTGTAAATTGGGTAGGATACATTATATCACATGTACCAATTTCTAAGACAGATTTGAAATTATTTATGGCAGGGAATATCTTGTGAATTTTTTCCATGAAATATGAAAGTTATATCTACTACATAATGTTATATTTTAGTAAAATCAACTTCTTTTGAAATCTTTTATTACATATATATATATATAGAAAAGAAAATTAATTCAATAATGCATAGAAAAATAAGTAAAACAGAGTAACCCTCAGTCATTGTGGCATGAGCGTTTCCTCTAAAAATAATCTTTCCTAATAAGCATTGAAATCCCTGCCTTATAAAAGTTTTTGCATAATGAGAGTCAATTAGCTAGGATAAGCATAATTGTGTTATACAATGAAATATCAATTAACTGACACAAAAGGTGAAAAGTCGGATATGACTTGGTCGGTAAATCCAGGGAAATCCATGTTTTTGTGGCCTAAATGAGTTGTACTTACTTGACATCCAGCATGAGACACCCGTAGAGTCGGAGCAGACATGTGGTGTGGTGGAGAGGGTGACAGGATAGGAGAGGCTTACAGTACTTAGAAACAAACATCAGACAAGGAGGCAGCAGCCAATCGAAAAGCATCTGTAATACAACCAAGTATTATAATCAGCATAAAACAAATCAAAATGTGGAGATTTTTTCTTTCTTTCAAATTCTTAAATATTGATGATTCAACCAAGTGAACTGGAGCCCCTATTTAGCTTGTTCTACTGTTGGCTAATCGAGCAAATGACAGATCATGTTTCAACATTTACACCTTTAACCAACGGATGAGGGTATTTTGCTATGACATATTCCAGGGGTGCAGAGAGCAAAAGCTAGCATAACCCCTGGAGCCTCGAGGATGAGCTACTTGGTGGTCCCTTGAGATTGTCCCGAGTCCAGCTCTGCTAAATATATTTATGTTACATGTATCACCATTTATCTGAACATATTAAATAATCATTGCCACGTTGATTTTTTACCTTGATGATGCCACGTTGATCTGCGTTGAGGTTATCAGGAAGATCATTCTCCATCCACGATTGGACAAATGGCTCCCAGCCAAGCTGTAGGGGGTCCATGTAGATCATACCACATCTGTCACAGTTATAATATGTTGATCAAGTATAACCTTATCAATTGCTATTATTTTGTTTGCAAGTTCTTATGCATTAGACAATGTAACCACAGCAAAAACATTTAAATATTGAAGAAAAATATACGAATATTAATCCGCAAGTTGTTCAAAAATAAAGCCATATTTTTTAGACAGAAATAGCCCTTTTTGCTATTGTGATATTAATGAGATTCAAAATATTTTCCTTTGAATATTTGGATAAGCAAGGTAATGGAGTAATAAGAAAGCAAGTTCCAATTTTCAGAGTGATATGATCAATCCGTGACAAACATGTGACGTACCTGCTGACTGTGGCGGGTGATGCCTGTTCCAGATCCTGTGGCTCAAAGATCATGTTCTGTTTGTTACTCATCTGTATGATTTCTCCACTCATCAGACACAGCTGTGGAGATGAACAGGAATGTGTATTACACCAATCCTACACATTATATATATATATATCTAATGGCGGAAAAACCCTTCTTGTATACTGCAGATCATATACTAAATAGTTAACTTAACTCATTCACCCCTAAAGATACATTTGAACTCTTCCAATTCAAAGGTTGGAATAGTTCATTATGAACTTTCAGGAGTGAATGCGTTAATGAAAATTAAAAGATACTTAACACCACAAAAACGGTTTGTGATCTTCACTTCTAGGCTACATGTTTTGGCCGACAAAGCCACCAGAATAAACTTTTAAAACATCATACAAAAATCTCTCAAAACTTGTTATTTATGAATAATTGTTTATGGTTGGTAATTATATTCTTAGCTATAATTCCGCAGTAAGAATAGGCAACAAAATATGTTTACAGAGTTATAAACTCACAACGATGAGTTTTCCAGAAATTCCAGCAACATACCTTCTTGTTGTCATCAAGGACTGTGTTCATGTTTTCTATCCACACTGCGTCCACAGGTCCATCAAAGACAATCCACTTCCTGTAGTCTGATGTGCTTGACGCATGCTCACGGAATGTATTGGCCAGTACACCTAAAACAGATAGGGTAAGAATGTGTATAAAGGGTAAGAATGTGTGTATAAAGGGTAAGAATGTGTGCATAAAGGGTAAGAATGTGTGTATAATTCCACTCCACTGGAGTTTTTAGCAGCAATTTGGCTTTTAGATATTTTTTGATACTCTAAAGGGTCTAATTTTCATAATAAATAGATCCTGCAAGACCATTCCAGTGAACCGCAAAAAGTAGGGACCTCGACAACTTTTACAAACGTAAAATGTATCTGCCAGAAGACATCTTTTCTATGGTTATGTATTGATCTCTATTTCAAAAGACATAAAATGTTTAATAAAAATGACATCAGAAATATTTCATCAAGAACATTACCTACCTTTATTTTGAATGCTAGCTATCACAGATTTCAGCTTGATCTTAAAAGAATTTTAAAATCATTTAATACTGAAATTATTCACCAACTACCTACCATCAAACCATTCGTGAGATACAGGGTCAAATCGTCCATATAACTGACCCATCGTTATGGCCTTTGGGTTGATAATTCTAAACTGGACCTGAAACAATAACATGGTTTAATTTTGTTAAAAATAATCAAAACACTTATTTAACTTCATTTCTATTCATTCTTACATCTCTTGACAAAGGTGTCAACATCAAAACCTCCATCAGTAATTCTTTGCTTAATTTTATCTGTCTAGAATAGGTATTGTTTGTGTCTTTGAAGTTTACATCCTATTAACAGCTATGATCATTTAAGGATGTGGCTGGTTTTGTTGGTGAAGGAAAGCCAGAGTATCTGGAAAAAAACCACCGACCTACGGCCAGTACCTGGCAACTGCCCCACGTAGGCCAAAAAATCCGAGACCCGGTGTTGGAGGGCCAGTTATAGCAGAATGTCAGATGGCTTAACCACTCGGCCACCACAGCACCTGCTTATAATATGTACAATTTCAACTTAAGATAGACAGGCATCATTCAGACAGAGTAACTGACCTTATTTTCATCCATCTTGCCACTCTTACAGAGATCACCCAGAGTTGCGGCGAGGGCCTTGAAGGCGCTGGTTTTCCCTCCCAGAGGATCCCCGACGATCATCAGGCCGTGTCGAACCAGGATCATGTCATATATCTGTAACAGACCATGTTACACCACATTCACTACCAATACATCGTAAAGTTTTCATTGGCCACAATTTGTTATTTAACCACTTAGAAAACTATCAAATACCAGACAGTTTTGAATAGTAATATTTTAATTTTTTGTCCAAAAGATGCCTAAAAATTAAATGTGATGAAATGCTCACCTGTAAGACAGCAAAAATTTCAACTGTAACATTGTTTAATAAATTATATCCCTGTATGATGAAATCTGAAATTGTACAACAAAACATTTACCTGTATAATAATTACCTGTGTGATAAACTATTTACCTGTATGATAACTACCAGTGTGATAAACTATTTACCTGTGTGATAACTACCTGTGTAATAAACTATTTACCTGTATGATAACTACCAGTGTGATAAACTATTTACCTGTATGATAACTACCAGTGTGATAAACTATTTACCTGTATGATAACTACCTGTGTGATAAACTATTTACCTGTATGATCTTATCTAGGTACCATGGCACGGCCTGGAGTTTACTTTTCTTGAGGTTTTCTATGAGAGCCTGCTGTAAGTCACCGTAGTCCATGGCTGGTAACTCTATTCCTGGGAACAAGTCGGATATGATTCCCTCAAATAGGGGGATGTCTTGGGATAAAAACTACAAAACAAACGAAGAAAATTATACAAACATCATACAAGACCAGATACCTTGGCCTTAAAGGTTTCAACATTTTTTTTTATATTTTTCTCGTGAGTTAAAACAAAAAACCCTTTAAGATTAACATTTCAATGCTCCAGAGAATGAAATACAGGAGAAAATTTATGGAGTTTCTCTTTAAAAGTAAATACAAGGGGAAATGAGATCCAAAGTTCCCTAGTGGATGTTCAGTGAAGGTCTGCGTACTCCGGTTGATGGATTACTGAATATAATTCCCTAGTCCGGCCATAAGAGTAATGTAATTCACTAGTCCGTCCATAAGAGTAATGGAATTCACTAGTCCGGCCATAAGAGTAATGGAATTCACTAGTCCGGCCATAAGAGTAATGGAATTCACTAGTCCGGCCATGAGAGTAATGGAATTCACTAGTCCGGCCATAAGAGTAGTGGAATTCACTAGTCCGGCCATAAGAGTGATGGAATTCACTAGTCCGGCCATGAGAGTAATGGAATTCACTAGTCCGGCCATAAGAGTAGTGGAATTCACTAGTCCGGCCATAAGATTAACGGAATTCACTAGTCCGGCCATAAGAGTAATGGAATTCACTAGTCCGGCCATGAGAGTAATGGAATTCACTAGTACGGCCATAAGAGTAGTGGAATTCACTAGTCCGGCCATAAGAGTGATGGAATTCACTAGTCCAGCCATGAGAGTAATGGAATTTACTAGTCCGGCCATGAGAGTAATGTAATTCACTAGTCCGGCCATAAGAGTAATGGAATTCACTAGTCCGGCCATAAGAGTAAAGGAATTCACTAGTCCGTCCATAACAGACCTGCTACCCTTTGAATCTCCCAATGGGGGTCATGATCCCCATTGGGAAATTCTGTGGGGGGGTGATAACGCGCGAACGAAAATTTGTGTATAAATTTAATAATTTCGCGGGGTCTCGGCTTTACGGCGTATTATGTTTTGTCTTCTGGCAAGATCAATGACTTTTTTGAAATTAACAAAACATTTTATCACACATTCATTGTTTTATTACATATTCGTTTTGAACATAACAAAGCACATATTGTATCATTTCCTAATTCAGATCTCCCTTCTGTCGGGATCTTCTTCAACATGTAAAATGTTCTCTCAGAGTCAGCATTACTCACTGAAAGAACCAAACATGCCTTCATTAGCCTACACAACACACCAAACCTAAGATCATTCTCAAAGGGTTCTTTAACTGCATGCCTTTTGATATCGTACGTAGCACCCGAAGCTACCGAAAAATGATTGGTACACAGTTTACAATAGGCATGATCGGGTCCAATATTAGTCTTCTGAAGCCAGTCATAATTTTATTCCCGCGAAGCATTGTAATTACAGGCATACTTTTTCTTTTTTGACGATGAACACTAAAATAACGAACGTTTTCTCGGGTTAGAAGCCATTTGTGAAAGTGAAATGACAAGCGCTACGATCGAGATTATATGCATTGTAGTAACAGTGAACAGTACTCATCTTTAGAATTTGCCAGGCTGGTTCCGAAACAGGGATGCCATTGTGAAAACAAATCACTTAGTATACGGACTTTACCTATAACTGAAAGCTAAACTTCCGAGAGACACGAACGGAACATTTCCGGAAGTACGGAGATCCTAATAAAAGTCGCGGATGCGGGTGATTGCGGGTCATATTTACGGAATGCGGGAGATACTTATGACCCGCACGGGTCATAAGATCGTCGTGGGTGATAGGTTCATTTTGCGGGTGTGACCCGCAGAATGCGGGTCATTTAGCAAGTATGCCATAAGAGTAATGGAATTCACTAGTCCGTCCATAAGAGTAATGGAATTCACTAGTACAGCCATAAGAGTAATGTAATTTACTAGTCCGTCCATAAGAGTAATGGAATTCACTAGTCCGGCCATAAGAGTAATGGAATTCACTAGTCCGTCCATAAGAGTAATGGAATTCACTAGTCTGTCCATAAGAGTAATGGAATTCACTAGTACAGCCATAAGAGTAATGGAATTCACTAGTCCGGCTATAAGAGTAATGTAATTCACTAGTCCGGCCATAAGAGTAATGGAATTCACTAGTCCGTCCATAAGAGTAATGGAATTCACTAGTACAGTCATAAGAGTAATGGAATTCACTAGTCCGGCTAGAAGAGTAATGTAATTCACTAGTCCGGCCATAAGAGTAATGTAATTCACTAGTCCGGCCATAACAGTGATGGAATTCACTAGTCCGGCCATAAGAGTAATGTAATTCACTAGTCCGTCCATAAGAGTAATGTAATTCACTAGTCTGTCCATAAGAGTAATGTAATTCACTAGTCCGTCCATAAGAGTAAGGAATTCACTAGTCCGGCCATAAGAGTAATGGAATTCACTAGTCTGGCCATAAGAGTAATGGAATTCACTAGTCCGGCTATAAGAGTTTCTTTTTAAGTAAATTAAGAATGGAGTAGTATAAAACATTTTTTTAAATAAGGTTTTTATCATTTAATTATCAATAATGATAATAGTAATAATAATAATAATAATTTGAGGTTCTTATATACCGCTTTATCACAACCTAGTTCGTAGGTCGTCTCAAAGCGGTTCACAATTTATTTGTGGTTATAGGGCCTTTGCAAAAAATATTGCTGTTCTGAACTGCTGTATCGTACAAAATGTTTCTGACATACCTTAGGGAGATTAATGTCATTGATTGATTTCAGCACCAACACATCTTCCCGCTGCTCTGGGTATTTCAGTTTCAGACTTCCAGCGGCTGTCAACACAGACTTTACAGCACGCATACCGTAGTCATAGTGATGCTGTGACGACAAAAGCTCAGAACACAGTCTATACGTTGCCACGATTTTGGTTGACATGCTGCGGGCGTCCACAAATCCCATGGAATAGAGTGATATTTCAGCAATCATGGCATAGTCCGGTACCATCATAGCAACAGTACGAAACAACACTTTCAAATTGTCCGGCAGTTCCGCTCGCCCTGCGTACCCAGGGTTCATTGTGATAAATATTGTACATGTAGGATCGATAGAAATGTTGGTACCCTCAAACATAAACATCTTGACCTGCTCGGCGATGGCTCTCTGTATCGTTTGGACTTGCTGGGCAATAACAGACAATACCTGTTAACAAAATGGCAACATGTAGAGGCAAGGAAACCATGGGAGGAAAGAGATTATTGTACTCACAGTAACAAGGACCTTGATCTTTGACCAACTGACTCTAAATTTAACATTCGAGTCCAGCAAACTTGACCTGAAAATCTATTTTTAGTAAGTGGCCTTGACCATTGACCTGTTACAGTAAATTCAATCCCAAATATCCTGGTTCTATAAACAATCTGTATCAACATGTTTGCCAACTTTAAAAAAAAAATATGGTGGATAAACTAGCTGTGTCACAAAATCTAACAATGTTTAAAATTTGCTCACAAAGAATTTGATTCATGATTTGAGCTGTTCTATGCAACAAATTAATTTATTTTGATTAAAAGCAAGATGTAGTGAATTTCGCTGCTTTCAAGAGTTAAAATAAATGATGAAAAATCAAAAGTCTCCATCTATAAGGGAAATTCAATAAGTCTTCCTCCAGTAGGGAGACTTCACATATATGTGTCCATTACATCTGTGACAACTGTACAATAATGGGAATAGACAGCAGAGAACAGAAAGAGATATTCTGTTAACAGGTGTACACAGGTAGATACCGAGACCCTTTATCAAAAGCCCTATTTATCAGATGTATGTAACAAAGCTTTCCTTGGGCGATTCAGCAAAAGTAATTAAATCACAATGGCTTGTGAAACTCAGCTGAACTTTCACCGCCATACTGTTATCCACACAAGATAAGTGGAATACAGACACTAAGATGGCAGTGTTGATGTGTTACCTCAAGTTCTATCCTGTTGAACTCATCAAAACATGCCCACGCTCCGGACTGGGCCAGGCCCTTGAAGAACTTGCCCATGGCCTTGTAGTCGAGGCCGTCAGAGCAGTTAAAAACCACACACTGCAAAGTCAATCACAATCAAATCAAATTGCTGGTATATATCGATTAAAGATATAACGCTGTATTTAAAAAAAGATTAATAATACTATTTAAGGAATCACAAATAGCAAAGAATATAAGAAGCAAGGACTGGTAGAAATGTCTTTTACATCTAGGTACCAGGATAGAATATTAAATTCTGTTAAGCAACATTTTATCTAGCCTCCAGAATACATATAAGTTGTGTACCTGTTTAGCGACAGCCTTGGCTAGATCTTTGGATGTCTCAGTTTTGCCGGTTCCAGCTGGTCCCTCTGGAGCTCCTCCCAGATTTAACAGTAAAGCTCCCATTAGGGTTCTGTTGGTATCAAAACAGAATATAGCACAAATGAAATATGGAAGTTATAATGTCCAGATAAAATTTTGGACAATAATCTGTTTGGAAAAATAACATGGGAATGAAAATTGATTTTACCTTGGAAAATTCTTTTAAAATTCAATTATTTTAACATTTAAAGAAATCTAGTCTTCGCCTTAAATTTGATTATAAGATTATGAATTTTTTCAAAGTTAAGAACTTCTGTGAAATTGGAGACTTAATAAGATGTCACTGGATTTTAATTCTAATTTTTTAAAAGAGATTTAGAAAACAAATCTTGTGGACAACCAAAATCTTGATGGTTTCTCACAGTAGGTTCCACTGTCAACCCTGAAACACACCTGTAACACCTGTCCGTGAGTGGGGTGATGACTAGACGCCCAGTGTTACCCAGGTACTCGTAAGCATAAGCTACAGTCGTGGTGATCATTTTCACCATCACAGACTCGTCCTCAAAGTAGTAGCGCAGCTGACTGATCCAGGAGAAGTCTACAGGACTGCTCATCTCTATCTTGGCTAGGTTCGCTATTACATCTCGGGCTACAGGTATAAATATAACATAATTTGAACCTCTATTTAAAATATCAGTTTAAGGCCCTCACACTTGTTAAGGTCGTATGAAGATGGGTTCCTAGCGGCTAAAGGGAGATAAGAAAGGAAAGAGAAGAGAAATTTGGAAAGAAAAGATTAAGATCTTGGGTGAAGCAATGAGGGCAGGAGATCAATTAGGGTTTCTTCCATGTCCCCTTAGCAGATGACGAGGAAGAAAAACCCAAACTCTGCGGGGTGCCCTACATGAGTTGGCTCTTTAGACACGCAGTGGGATACAGCAGGCCAATTCTGGGCCCGTAATCATGAAACCATTCTCATGCTCAAGCATGGACTCTGTGCTCAACCCAATTTCCTTGTAACTTGCACAAGTCATGAGAAACGTTAAAATAGGTTATTTGTAACATTTGAAATGGTATTCGGGCTTGAAGTCTCTCCAAAATTCTTCCAAATCATTAACCAAATATTAAGTTTAAATTTATCACCAGAACAAGAAATTGGGCTTGAGCACAGAATCGGAGTTTGAGCATGAGAATGGTTTCATGAATACGAATAGCTCAACTTTTTGTTGTTGTGAAATCACTAATTTTCGTGGGTTTTTTTAAATTTTGTTGGTAATCTTCATCCAAGAATTCATAGGTCAATGAAGTAATTTCAATTTTGACATAAAACAATTCTTCGTTTGAGCGGGTACTTGTAATAAACAATTTCATGTACAGAATTATGAATTACTTTGTTAATGAAAATATTCCCCAGTGAACAGGGATTTGGACACCTGAGTTTAGGAGCTATACAACGATTGTCTAGTGAACACAGTTGCCTACTGACCGTGTACATCTATGACGATGAGAGCCTCCAGTGTGATCCTGGCCATCTTTGTTAAGGAGCCTCGTACCATCTGTACCACCTCGTCTATCTGTTTATTACTTTTAGCCAGGTATGGCCCAAGGTAGTTACTGTTGATAGCCTGCAAACAAATCAGAATTTTTCTCAAATATTTGTCAATTATTTAATTATCCAAGATGTCAGAGGTTATGCTGAATGTTTGTGTCCCAACTTTCGGTCAATCTTTTTTCACTCGGGATGGGGCACCGTTACAGTCAACTATGGTAACGGAGAACAAAGTAGTAACTGGTTCTTTATGGGCACTCTTGTTGCAAAATTTAATAAATACAGGCTAATTAAGTTGAATACAATAACAGAACGCCAATGCATTTGCCTGCATGACCTTTCTATTTGGCTGTGTGACCTCTGTATTTACCTGTGTGACTACTGTATTTACCTGTATGACCTCTGTATTTACCAGTATAACCTTTGTATTTGCCTGTATGACCTCCGTATTTGCCTTTATGACCTCTGTATGTACCTGTGTGACCTCTATATTTACCTGTATGACCTCTATATTTACCTGTATGACCTCTATATTTACCTGTGTGACTACTGTATTTACCTGTATGACCTCTGTATTTACCTGTATGACCTCTGTATTTGCCTTTATGACCTCTGTATGTACATGTGTGACCTCTATATTTACTTGTATGACCTCTATATTTACCTGTATGACCTCTGTATTTGCCTTTATGACCTCTGTCTGTACATGTGTGACCTCTATATTTACTTGTATGACCTCTATATTTACCTGTATGACCTCTGTATTTTCCAGGATGACCTCTGTATTTACCTGTATGACCTTTGTATTTGCATGTGTGACTTCCGTATTTACCTGTGTGACTCTTGTATTTACCTGTATGATCTCTTTATTTACCTGTATGATCTCTCTATTTACCAGTGGGACCTCCATATTTTCCTGCCTGACCTCTGTAATTACCTGTGTGACCTCTGTATTAACCTGTATGACCTCTGTATTTACCCAAAGGACATCTGTATTTACCTGTATGACCTCTATCTTTAATTACTTGTATGGCTTCTCTTCATCTTTATGAACTCTAGTATGACAACTTTTTACCTGTATATCTTGTAATTACCTGTATGACATCTTTTTACCTGTGTAACCTTAGTTTTTACCTGTATGACATCTATTTACCTGTGTAACTTGTTTTTACCTGTATAGAATATATTTACCTGTGTGACTTCTGAGGTCCAGTGGATCTGACTGGCGGCCAGTACTACCTGTCCGGGCCACTGTAGTACCCACTCGCGCCGCGGGTTATTTGGGTATGCTTTCACAGCCTTGATGCATACCTCCCTAAGACTGAGCTTCATCACTTCCTCAACCTGCAGCCAAGCACCATCACATTTCAATACCAGACATTTAAATTGTAATGTAGATATCAAAGATATGAACTTTATCAACATAACTATACCTGATAAATTTAGCTATTTCAGCAAATACCTAAATACAATGTCTATATGACTTCATCAATCAATATTCAATCAATCAATTAGCATCATCAATATTCAATACACCTGTAACAATGGAATCTCATCAGTCTTGACTTAAAAAGGTATCACTTTTTGGTGTTGACGGAGTTAACATGTTTTCAACTCCAGTAAATATTTAGGACGAGAAGCAACACAATACATAACTATTATTAACATTTTATTTCTGATATTTCCAACTGTTCTTAATAATTCAATTTCCATCAATCTAAAGGAAAATAGTTTGCTCGTGTGAAAAGCTGTGTGGAAAATGTCTACTCTATATGGACAGCTGACCTGACTACCCCATATAATGTACCATGTCTAGCACGTCTATATCACTAACCTGTAACAGCCATCGCTCCACAAGGCCACAAGCATCGGCAGGGATGATGGTCTTTGAAAATGTCACAATCTCTTTCTCTGCAGATTCCATGGCAGTGATGACCTTGTTGGGATCGAAGCTGAGCTGGGCGATGCCCTCAAAGCACTTCTTTAGATGAGGCTGTACCCTCAGGGGATCTTTGGTCTCGGACAGAATCTCCAATAGTTCATCATTGGACAGGAAGAAAAACCTACGAAAAGCAACGGAAGTATGGTATGGTTAGTGGTTACCGTAACTGTTTGCTTCTGTCTGTTTATATTCTTTCTTTAACAAGAGAATATTTTCAAAATAATATTTTGTAATGCATATCAGATACTTTTATTAAACACGTGGCTCGATAGCCTTGTATTACTCACCATCTGTGACTTTCTAAGCGGGCCAAGGTCAAATTCATTTAACTATCGGTATAATAATTATCATTACAGATTTTAACTAATATGACCTTCAAAGTTGGTCCAGGTGATTCATTAAATTCGTTTATCCCTGTGACCCTGAAAGTAAGTAAATTTCATATCTTTGAACAAACTTCATTTCCTTTCGTCTTATTATATATATGCTACCAGCCAAATATCACCACCCTAGGCCTCTTGGTTATTGACAAGAGTTGATTTAAACGTTTTTACAAATTTGACTCCTGTGACCTTTAAAGTTATTCAAGGTCATTCATTTAAACAAATATTATATAGCCATTTATGACACCATCTTACATGCCATACATCATCACCTTGTTACAGTAAACTCACTGTAATCATTATTATAGTCCTTGTCGGTTTGGTAAGATGAGTAGATCATGTATTATATAGAGTTCTGTGTGATGTAAAATTTACTGACCTTGGGAAGAACAGTCTCTTCTTTTCCAAGTAATCATTCAGTCCCCTCTGGATATCATCTAACATAGCCTAAAATCAAAGGGAAGATAGAAAAAAAATGTTATCATGACATTTAAACTTGTATCTTTGAACTTAAGTTCCTTTTTCATTAAAGCAAGGAATTGAATTTTTGACTTCAAACATCCAACCTCTTTTCCATATGTTGACAGATGTATTATGAATATTGGTAGCACTTTCCTTACCCTACCTTTAAGACTTGTTTATATTTCAAATTTATCCTATTATCTGTTTATATTATATTATATTATATGAATATTTCATGTTCAAAATGCACAGTAACATCTTTGTTTCCAATAAAATGTCTCCACTTTGTAATGATGTAAACGTACCTCAGACTTCTGTAAGTTTTCCAGCATCTGATCTTGTGAGCACACCACGAGGGCTTTGGTGTTCTGTACGGCATGCTCCATGATACTTTTCCTGTAGATGATAACTCCAGTTACACATAACCATTACACAATACTCTATTTAAGTATTCATATCATGTAACACTCATTCAGGTTGATAACATGCTCTTAGCAACCATTTCTGTCAAAGATTTATAACTAAATCTAAGACTTTCCCTTTGAAAATGGAATCCATGACACATAAAAACAATGGGAGTTTGGGCTTACAGAGATACAGTTGTATAAGCCTATCCCTGGATCAGGAACTCAAATGTGGTCAAGTGTGACCTTTGATCCTACAACCTTGAAAGATGACCACTAATATATAATCTGGTGATGAACCTGATGTTAACATAATATGATGTAAATATAAATTAAATATGTGGCGGGGTTACAAAGTGAATACTATGTATTCTTAACTTCTCCCCCTGAAATAAATGGGGGTATAACTATATATATATGATCTCCCTGACTTACCAGTGTCCATCTACCTCCTCAAAAAGTTTGCCCTCTACCGGGATCTGGTTCCTTATGTCCTGTGAACCAAAGATTGGCTCTAGGTACAACCAGGCAGATTGTACCTTCAGCCAAGAGTCTAGGATGTCTTTCATACGATGCTGTAATAAAATAAACATAACGAACTTCAGGAAAACACAGACAAGGACATTAACCAAGAATTACAGAGCGTGATATTGAACCCATCCATCGCCTGCTTTGTAACAATTACTGGGAATTCACTCATTGTCATGGTTTTTTTAATTTGGTCGATTTCGTGGTAATCTTCGTTCACAAATTTGTGGGTCCACGTAGTTTGATATAAATCAATTCTCCTTTTGAGTGGGTACTTGTAATCCATGAATTCATACACTAACGAAATGGTGTTTTATCAGGAAACCATGAAATCATACACTCACGAAATGGTGTTTTATCAGGAAACCATGAAATCATACACTAACGAAATGGTGTTTTATCAGGAAACCATGAATTTTGGGTCCTACAAAAATATCTGATTTCACAATATTTTACAGCACACTATCAAATTTGGTTCTGAATAAAATACTTTTTATCAATCACTATTGCCAATAGCTGCTATTTGATACTTTATAACAAAGCCACTTACAAGGAGGATGTCCCATTCATTGATCTGTGTCTCAAACGGACCTATGAATGGGGATCCTTTCATGGTTGTTGTCTTGACGATGTGATCGTCAAGGAGAACCTGTATTTCGTCTGGTGCAGAAAGAATGTTGATTCCCGTATCTTTGTACGGGACAAAGCCGAAATGCATATTCTCCCAATCATCCTTCATCTTGGTCAGAGCCTGCAAAAGGGTGTATTATAGTGGGACATACTTATGATTTAGATATACCGGTAATGTAGATTGGATTTGATTGATCTACACAAACAATGAAATCTGCCAAAGATTATCTCCTGTACAAACTTCTTGAAATTTCATGCTTATGTTATGTTCTGGTATATGTTTGTGAATATGATAGAGGTTTTAGAAAATGTTCCACTTGTTTTATTATTGTTAACTTAACTGATCATATCAACATTTCATTTTTTCAGAACAGAAAACCCTGATGTTTTTATCCAAATGAGGTGTACCTTTTCGAGGGCAAACTCTTTGCTGGCCTGAGAGCTGATTTCCATTAGAACATCAAGGTATTTATCCAGCTCCATCTGTAGGACCTCAATGAGGGGCGTTTCCTCCGACGGTGCCATGTTAAACCCAACCTAGATACAAATAGTACATTATACCACATAGGTGTAAAGTATGTTTTTTACATCGTAAATAAGGTAAAAAATATTTATAAAACTATAAATATCAGAATATCAGACTTTTAATGATTGAGGTACTTGTTGTGCAATTTAGATAATCTAAAAAAACGAATTATACACTGTAAGTCGCAATTTCTATTAATTTTTATATATTTTTTTGTAATATTTCATATTTCTGATGTTTCTAACATTAAAACTATCTTGAAGTAATTTTGTTCATATAATGAAATATGAAATGTGAATACTAATTTCCAAACTTTGTGCAGTACCTTCTCATTCATCATGTCCCAGTGACGTTTCTTGATACCAGGATTACAGAGGGCATTGATCAGCGGCATGTTGATTTTAAACTTTTCAAGTTTTGATTTGATAGAGATCGATGCCCTCATCGGTCCCTTGAAATCTGGGTGAGCAAACTGCTTGGTGAGTTTGTAGGCAGTTCTCCACAGTGTTTGTACCTATTGACAATAAGTGTTAGCATGTGCAGTCAAAATTCTATTTATAAAGTACGATATCAGTTGTAATATGGCTTTCAGAATCCCGAATTTCACTTCGGTGTCATGAAGCATGACAATGATTTTACAACATAATAATGACAATGAATACGATACGAAACACACATTCAGGTGAAAAAACAAAACATTTACTGCCTTTTACTTAATATGATGCAATATAGAAGAAAAAAAGTAATTTGTGATCAAATATAAATACTTTTCATTTTCCTACTTCTAATGACAAAAGAAGACCACATACCTCTTCCTCTACGACCTCAGCGTTGACCTCAAGGAGAGGCCCATTCATCCACTTATCGTGTTCCTTGTGGAAGGTGACGGCAGTGTTCCAGAGCTTCTCGTATGGCTCGCGGGCCAACATGATGTCCTGGATCTGGTTGTATGGTGTCACAGTCTCCAGTTCTAGCAGCTGTTCCTCGCGGTTAATCTTCGCTTTCTGCCCGAACATAAAATACAAAGCTGATGAAAACCAAGATTTTCATTTCTCACGATTTTGTATTTTGTTTTCGGAGAGCAGGCGAACATCAATCGTAGGAAAATTAGAGGAAGGACAATATATTCCAGTCACATGTTAGACAGTGTGAAAATGTTCGTCAGTGCTTTACAACAGTATAAACAAACAACAACCAACTTAAAAACAAGGAGATCATTTTTTGGCACGACAATTTACTCAATTATAAGTTAAATATATATCTTAAAAGGTTTGAGGTTGCCAAATATTATCACTTTATAATATCAATGCATGCTGTAATAAATAAAAGTCCTGATATTTATGTGGGGTAGATTTCAATGTAGAATTTTGAATAAATGCAAAATGATCAGGAGCATATCTAGCTATCTATCCCTGCAAGAAGTTACAAAGAACAGTTTGAGATGATGAGCTTGCAGTAAAAGCTCATTTATCGATAATTTTGTGAATTTACAAAAACATAGCACAACAGTGGTGTGATCCATGTATCGGAGGAAAGTGTGTACATTAAATGAAACACAACATCACATTTATTGAGATTTTTTCCCTGGATTTATCTCAACCTAAGAAAAGATCTATGTTTCAGGACTGATTTCTACGAGCTCCTCTGCTAACCTCCTCCAGGAATCCATCCAGTCGCTGTTCTATATCACGCAGGTCCTGCACGTAGTTCTCCGCCTCCGCCATTCGGTCTCGGTGAGCAAAACTCGCCACCTGCTTGGCAGTCTCATCAAGCTGGTTCTGGAAATTTTTCTTTTTGTCTCGTAACTTCTGACAATAAATGTCGTGTTCACGTTGGAGTTTGTTTTCACTGTAAATAAATATTAACATGATGACGAGGCTTATTTTACCAAATTAATAAAAAAAAAATCCATTTGTATGTCAAAATCTACCTACAGATGTGTGATTTTGTACAATGCCTTTAAATTTTAAGACCCGAGTGAACATGATACCAAAATGCATTGATGTAACACACAAGATAACCTTGACCAATAGAAGACTACAGTATAATGGGAAATTTTCCGTGGAGTTTAATCTTCGCCTTTTTCGCCCTCCCTGATGAGGGCAAATGTATCATTACAGAAAACATTTGTAAACAATATATTAACAATAGTAATTAAATGTGTAGGGCAAATTTAAAATTGGGCAAAAATGGATTTTACCATCGAAGAGCGAAAATCTGTCAGTGCGAAAGTTTCCCAGTATTCAGTATGACCCACACTATAAAACCTTGACCCTTGAAATCAACTCAGCTTTATTAGTTGGTACAGATATAATAATTTTATCTACAAATGCCTTGCAACCTAACTGGCCTGCCAAAATGTAACAAGGATATTTTGTTACTGTTGGTGTATAACCTTGACCTTTTGACTTACGTGTTGGTGATGATGGGGACGATGCGGTCGGCCCAGGAGAAGGTGCTATTGTTGAGGATGATGTCATCCTTTGGGAGATAGGTGTACTCTAATAGAAACATCAGGTTTCCAGCGGCTACCTCCTGTTTGTCCTGAAACACAAAATTTTCCCTTCTTTATTTACTTCATCAATGGAATATGTTGCCAATAAAAACAAGTAACTTTTTTATTTTAATTACAAAGAATTTGTCATACGAAGCAAGTCTTAGCCAAAAAGAAAGTAATAATGTTGCTTCATCTTAAATATAGGTGATGTTGTTTACATAATGCATCCAGGTGTGACACCAGATCCCGGGGGGCATAAAACATGCCTTCTTACTATCATTTGCTTATGATTTTTATGTGACAGTGGCCAAAATAAAATCATTTTAAGTTGAATTCACATCAAAACAAGTGACAATAACATAATTGAATTACATAGATTATATAGTAGAAAAAAGTGCAATAAGAAAATGTGATAATAACCGAAAAGTGACATTAAGTGAGGTGATATTAAGTGAAAAGTACTGTATATGGGAGAATACTCAAAGTCAAAAATAATGCTCTGAAGAAGAAGTTTTCTTCTCAGTAATAACTGGTGCAGTGGTGTTCTTTAACTTAACTCATTCACCCCTGAAATTTCATAATGAACTTTTCCATCCTTTGAACTGGAAGAGTTAAAATGTGTCTTCAGGGATGAAAAAGTTAAGGTAGCATATATAACCTTAAGAAAAAAATCTTACACAACATGACAAAAACTGACCTTGAGCTCCAGGAGCTCTCCACACTTGAGACTGTCAACGTAGTTCTTGAGCTTGACAAGTTGTTCAGTGTTCTCCGCGTGCTTGGCCACACTTTTTACGATCGTGTCATACTGTTTACAGATGCCGCGGTTAAACTTGTGACTCGTGTCCATGATATTGGTCACCAGAATCTCTATCAGGTGACGGGCGCGGTCAATCAGCCACTGAAATAATATCACACACATACTGTACACTGATGGGCAAAAAAACGAATGCTTTATTTGAATCACTTTTCATACTTACCAACTTTCCCTAGTTTGGAAGGAGACTCTCGATCGTGAATTAGCTAACTATTTCTATATTATAAGATCTATAATTATTTCATCTGCAAACAACTCAAAATATGCAATTTCAAAGTGTTGATTTTTCCTCTTAGGTAAATTCTACACACATTTTGATTTATGTTTTTAATTTTGAGCATGTGGAACATCCCCCATGGAATTTTTCAAAGGATTGGCAAGTTTGATATTTTTTGTTTTCAGCTTGGATTGCATGTATAATTAACTCATTCACCACCGAAATTCAAAATGAACTATTCCAACCTCCTTTGAATTGGAAGAGTTCAAATGTGTCTTTAGGGGTGAATGAGTTAAAGTATCTCTGGACAGGATCAAAATAATTTATTAATAACATTTCAAGTGGTTTTAAGGAAAATAAAAAATAACATTTTAAATAAGAAATGAATCTAACAGGATTGAGTGATATTTTAAGACCCAGAGGAATCCATAATTCTCACCTTATTGATGTGGTTACAGTCCAGTAAGAAGAAATGCATAGGTATGAACACAGGAAGGGATCCAATCTCCGAGGCCATCTTCTTCAAGACCTCAATCTCTTTGACATATTCTCTGAGGGGTCGCTCTCGGCTTACAAACTTCTGTATTTTCTGAACCATTTCCACAGAGAGCAGGTGCTTGTAGGGTTGGTACACTGCCTTGTAGCTGTAATGTACCGTAACAATTCAAACTTACTATAAATCACTTTTATTACAAAAGATACATATTGTCTTTTTGGTTCCATAAAAGAGAAACTTCCGGGAATTTTAAGACTACAAAATGTATAACTCAAATGATTGTCAGAAACTCCCGGATTTTTTCTATTCCAGATTTAAATGTTTTTTAAATGGAAGTAGGTTGGTTCGTAGTCGGAGGGCTTTCACCACTAATTAAATGATACTGTACACCAATTTATTATCAAAGCTGCCTTTGAACATTACCTGTTGATACAGTGATGAAATCAATCCTTCTGAATGATAAACTAATTTTATAAATGGGGAATTTAATTTGGGAATTAGAAACAAGAGATCCCAGAGGGATCTTGGCGCCCACCTTTGTACCATCTTCATTAGTTCTTTGTTAGTTCGATCTTTTCTCTTCTTTCCTCTAATCTGTTTGATCGAGTCATGTTAACAGTAAATGCACCTTGAGGTAACTTTTGATCTAAACTTAATACTGATGTGTATGAAAGCCAACCTTCAAAGTGAGTTTGTCATTTCACATATTTACTAGTACAGTACTTAATGTGAAAGAAATAGAATCGATCATTGCAATATGAGAAAGATCTGTTTAGTTCTTCTTTTAATCCATTTTGTTTTTATGATCAGTCTCAAAATATAACATACACAACGAGGGATCAAGGGGAACCTACATTTAAAATTTGAGAAAGATCCCTCCCGTACTTCCTGAGAAATAGCGATAACAAACTTTCACTATCAAAATCCAAGATGGCTGCCTGTCGGCCATGTTGTTTATCCGATCAGTCTCAAAAGTTGCCCTGCACAGCTAAGGACCAAGGGGAACCTACATATAAAATTTGAGAAAGATCCCTCTGATACTTCCCGAGAAATAGCGATAACACTTTCACTATCAAAATCCAAGATGGCTGCCTGTCGGCCATGTTGTTTATCCGATCAGTCTCAAAAGTTGCCCTGCACAGCTAAGGACCAAGTGGAACCTACATATAAAATTTGAGAAAGATCCCTTTAGTACTTCTTGAGAAATAGCGATAACAAACTTTCACTATCAAAATCCAAGATGGCTGCCTGTCGGCCATGTTGTTTATCAGATCAGTCTCAAAAGTTGCCCTGCACAGCTTAGGACCAAGGGGAACCTGCATATAAAATTTGAGAAAGATCTCAGGTACTTCTTGAGAAATACCGATAACAAGAATTGTTTACGGACGGACGACGGATGACGGACGACGGACAACGGACGGACGACGGACCACGGACGTAGGGTGATTTGAATAGCCCACCATCAGATGATGGGGGGCTAAAAATAGCTAAACGTGGCCACTCATCGTTTACTGGCACCTGGTGCACTTATGTCAATAATGGTATTTACATATTAATTCAAACAGAGTGTTGATCAAGATTTCATTAATATCTTGTCTTGTAAATTTTTATTCAGACCCGAATGAAGAACAGACAGACTATGTTAGTAAGAGAAGCGATAATTTTTTTAAAGCCCACCTTGTCGGTCCGAACTCATTGGCCTTGATAACTGTTCGGATCCTCTCCTTTGAAGTCGCAACTAGCTCCTCCTCAATTAAAACAGTGGAGATGGTTTGAGCTTCAGCATCCTCGTACGTCTGGAATAGCAGGCCATTGATACAGGGAAGGTTCTGGACAGAGGTCACCATTAGGTCGATGATGAGACAGAAAAAGTCACAGATGTCGGGGATCGGAGGTTTGAACTTCAGACTAGCCTTGGGCTCGTCTTCTTCCTGTCATTATCAAGTGGTTTGACATAAATCAACATGACAGATTATTATACCTTATCTTTATAACAGTATGTCTGATTGGATAATACTGGTCACATGACAAGGCAATAAAACATCATGTCGCCTTCACACGCTCTAGTTTCCCTGATCATATTTCCATTATTCAGAGCCTTTCTAGAAAAATGCACAAGAGCCATCATGAGATATCCCTGTCTGAGGTGCAAGAATATCTTAACCCTTACTGTGAAGAATTGGATGAGTGCATTTTCCTTACCATAAAGAACTTGACGGGGTGCATTTTCAGCGGCAGGGCGAGGCCTTCCATGATGTTGTACACACCCTTGTACTTGTTGCCTTCGTAATACTCCTCCACAAGTTCAACAAGGTCAAGGATAGACTTTTTCACACAGCTCCTAAGCAAATTCGACATCAGAGAAGAAACACATGCAAAGAAGTGTTCCATCTTCACCATCCGTAGTTTCTGTAAATACACATAGTTATTACTTTACTGTTTTTTACAGGTAAAATCATATGTTCATCCTCAAACTCTGTAAAACTAGTCCAGTGTTAACGTAAAACAAGCCACCTAAGATTTTTTTTATTTATCACTCGGTTTTTATGTTTCCCTTTTTTTTCCCTTTAAATATTTTTAACCCCCATGACCTTGAAAGTATGCCTAGGTAATTCATTTGACCAAATCAGTGAATGAAGAATAAATGTTTGAAACATATTTGACAGCTGTTCAAGGTCATGCGATTGAACAAAATACATAAACCCTTCACCCTAGCAAGCTACAATGTATACGATAAACTTCACAACTCTATAGAACTATTTATTTAAGTTTTCAATATATATGACACTTGTGCACTTGAAAGTGGGTCAAGGTCATTTTTTTGAAACTTGATAGCAAGCTACAGGCCAAATATAATGATTCTACACTTCAGTCCTATAAAAGTTGCTAAACATTAAACATAGGACATCTTTGACCTTTGATCTCCAACTTACGTCAAAATTATTTATTTAAGTTAGTCCTTTTCCACAACAAGCTGTTTGACCCTTGTGACCTTGAAAAGGGTTAAATTCTAATGAAAACCTTGCAAATAAAATCCAATGCAAACATTTCTATCCACAACAAGGTAATCGTAAAAGCGGAACATAATTTGCCCGTCACACATTAAATGACCAATTGTCTGTATGGTTGTACATAAAGGGCCATAACTCCATAAATTAAGCTATCATGATAATGAACCTTCCTATTAAGTTAGTCAATACGTTGAAAAAAACTCGAAATATCAAGTGGACACTAGTTTGGCAATTGAATAAAGGGCCACAACTCCGTAAATTACGGTCCGATAATTAGGGTTATCAAACTTGTCCGAGGTATTATGACAATAAACCTTCCTATAACGTTTGAAATTAATCTGTTGAAAACTACTTTAGATATCGATAGCACACCCTTCGTGAACATCATTTGACAGGTGTAAACAATTATTAACTATACATATATAGTATTTATCTGCTTTCCTATGATCTCTCTCTTAATGCAAATAAACTAAGGGAAACATAAAATAAAAACATTACTGCAATATATGTGTTTACAAAAAAACGTTAAAAGTACAGTGCATATCAACTTTATCAATATTCACAAAAGTTGAGTCATCTGCATATTTATAAGAGTTATCTCGAGGAGGAGCCACAGTTTCTCATCGTAAAAATCTACGTACTGGATCATCGTGAGGCATCCATCTCTCAACCTCGTCCCGACGACTGTCCACCAGATCACAGCATTCCTGTAGCCACACTTTACGTAACATCTCGGACCCTGCCTGACTCGAGTTCTGTACATGCTTTAAAAATGTTTCCATTGTAATAGGCATTATCTGCCGGAGTCCTGGCAGATCAATCAGTCTGAACTGGCCATATCTGTGCAGGGGAGACAATCCAATTTAATGTCACAATTTACCACATCCACAAATACATTTACATACAACAAAGTATGAATTTCCTCTTTTTCATATTCTCATATTAGATTGTCTTATCTTATCAGAATCAGAATTATCACATTAGTTGTAAGTAGCACCCATTGAAAAACAGGTTGAAGGGGTGTAAGATAACCAACCATATAGGCTGCAGCAGCTCTGAAGGGAGCGTACACTACTGGACAATACCATTGAGAATATGTTCAGGAAAAGGGGTGCTTATAATATTTTAATAATTTAAAAGCTCTAATATGGGAAGGGATGCTTGTAAGGGCAGGGGAGCAAATAACAGTGGATACAGTAATATACATTCAATTTTGTTTTCTGTTATTTCCTATATAAAAGCCTAGATATACAGTAGATGTTGATTAACTGGATCTAGGTTGAATTAGGACAATCTTTCCTAGCTCAATACTTCAGCCTCTACCGACACTTAAACCTTGCTGTTCTCCTGAACACTCTTGTAAACAACTCGAAAAGTGGTTCTCTGTTGTGCTGAATTCAAACTCAACTGATATTACAGATTAATTATGTTAAATGAAGGAAATTGGACAATTACTTTGACTCAAAATGGAAGAGGATGGTGTACATTATGGGATGGGTAATGTACAGGTCTTTCGTCATAAAATCTCGCCGTTCTAGGACTGTCTGATGCCAGGGAAACACCTCTCTGCCAGCAGAGTTAGATGGCTGCAAGCATATAAAAAAGAATTTGATAATTTCTATTTTTTCGTGATGAACAATTAATGTTTCTCCTGAAATTACCAAAATGAATGTGACAGAGATTTATTTCCCTTACCTTAAAGAATATAACAGAGGTTAATTTTCTCTTATAAAGAAGAAGATGACAAAGTATATTTGACCTTGCAATCGAGAATTTGACAAAATGGCTTTCCTTGACTAAGAACTCAAGCTGACTAAGAACTACTTCCTTATCAATAAGAACTCGGACGTATGTTACTTCCTTATCAATAAGAACTCGGAGGAATGTTACTTCCTTATCAATAAGAACTCGGAGGTATGTTACTTCATTATCAATAAGAACTCGGAGGTATGTTACTTCCTTATCAATAAGAACTCGGAGGAATGTTACTTCCTTATCAATAAGAACTCAGAGGAATGTTACTTCCTTATCAATAAGAACTCGGAGGTATGTTACTTCATTATCAATAAGAACTCGGAGGTATGTTACTTCCTTATCAATAAGAACTCGGAGGAATGTTACTTCCTTATCAATAAGAACTCAGAGGAATGTTACTTCCTTATCAATAAGAACTCGGAGGTATGTTACTTCCTTATCAATAAGAACTCGGAGGTATGTTACTTCCTTATCAATAAGAACTCGGAGGTATGTTACTTCCTTATCAATAAGAACTCGGAGGTATGTTACTTCCTTATCAATAAGAACTCGGAGGTATGTTACTTCCTTATCAATAAGAACTCGGAGGTATGTTACTTCCTTATCAATAAGAACTCGGAGGTATGTTACTTCCTTATCAATAAGAACTCGGAGGTATGTTACTTCCTTATCAATAAGAACTCGGAGGTATGTTACTTCCTTATCAATAAGAACTCGGAGGTATGTTACTTCCTTATCAATAAGAACTCGGAGGTATGTTACTTCCTTATCAATAAGAACTCGGAGGTATGTTACTTCCTTATCAATAAGAACTCGGAGGTATGTTACTTCCTTATCAATAAGAACTCGGAGGTATGTTACTTCCTTATCAATAAGAACTCGGAGGAATGTTACTTCCTTATCAATAAGAACTCGGAGGAATGTTACTTCCTTATCAATAAGAACTCGGAGGTATGTTACTTCCTTATCAATAAGAACTCGGAGGAATATTACTTCCTTATCAACAAGAACTCGGAGGAATGTTACTTCATTATCAATAAGAACTCGGAGGAATGTTACTTCATTATCAATAAGAACTTGACAGGATATATTTTACAAGAACCTGGCGTGGCAAAAGAATTGGATCAGAACAAAATATCCTTACTTTCTCCGGCATCCAGACACCAAGTCTCTCCTGTTCCTTAGGATCGAGGAGAATATAATCCAGGATGGCTTTCTTTATGGCATACTTTCTGTCCTCATCCATCTCCTGAAGATCAAAACAACAAAAATAAGCATTTTACTCTCACTGGTTGTGCTATATGAAACTGTATCCCATCTCCCGAAAAGTCACAAATTGTATAATCAAACAACAAATGCTATCAAAAGATGTTTAGAAGAAATGAAACTTAAACATTGAATACACTATGACATTTCTACACAAATTAAACAGTTCCATCTTTATAAAGTCAAACCTTGTTTATTGTTTGATTATTTTCTGGATGACCAAATTTACAGGTAAGCAAAACTCCACTTTTGTTAATTGTGTCTTAGGTTTTATTTTTATTAGTGCATTTATTTACCAGTACTAAAAAAGGATTCAAGTGTCTGGTTGTTCACCATTTCATTACAAACTTTACTGTAGGCATTTGATATCTGGACAAAACTTCCGTGTTGGATATGATTTGTATAGGAACCATGACAATCTGTTTACACTGTAACACATTCTGGGTCCAGAACCTAGATCTCCGGTTTGCCGAGTACAGTAATTATGCTGTGGAAATTCATTTCGTAGAACAAGAGTCCAGTTATAACAGAGCTCGCGTTAAGGAGGTTTTACATAAATCAACACTGAGAGGACTGTGTATTTAGAAAGTTTACCTTGAGGAAGTGTTTACAGGCTGAGGGTACTGACGTACTGTAGATTTACCTTGAGGAAGTGTTTACAGGCTGTGGGTACTGACGTACTGTAGATTTACCTTGAGGAAGTGTTTACAGGCTGTGGGTACCGACGTACTGTAGACTAACCTTGAGGAAGTGTTTACAGGCTGTGGGTACCGACGTACTGTAGACTAACCTTGAGGAAGTGTTTACAGGCTCTGGGTACTGACATACTGTAGACTTACCTTGAGGAAGTGTTTACAGGCTGTGGGTACTGACGTACTGTAGACTTACCTTGAGGAAGTGTTTACAGGCTGTGGGTACTGACGTACTGTAGACTTACCTTGAGGAAGTGTTTACAGGCTGTGGGTACTGACGTACTGTAGACTTACCTTGAGGAAGTGTTTACAGGCTGTGGGTACTGACGTACTGTAGACTTACCTTGAGGAAGTGTTTACAGGCTGTGGGTACTGACGTACTGTAGACTTACCTTGAGGAAGTGTTTACAGGCTGTGGGTACTGACGTACTGTAGACTTACCTTGAGGAAGTGTTTACAGGCTGTGGGTACTGACGTACTGTAGACTTACCTTGAGGAAGTGTTTACAGGCTGTGGGTACTGACGTACTGTAGACTTACCTTGAGGAAGTGTTTACAGGCTGTGGGTACTGACGTACTGTAGACTTACCTTGAGGAAGTGTTTACAGGCTGTGGGTACTGACGTACTGTAGACTTACCTTGAGGAAGTGTTTACAGGCTGTGGGTACTGACGTACTGTAGACTTACCTTGAGGAAGTGTTTACAGGCTGTGGGTACTGACGTACTGTAGACTTACCTTGAGGAAGTGTTTACAGGCTGTGGGTACTGACGTACTGTAGACTTACCTTGAGGAAGTGTTTACAGGCTGTGGGTACTGACGTACTGTAGACTTACCTTGAGGAAGTGTTTACAGGCTGTGGGTACTGACGTACTGTAGACTTACCTTGAGGAAGTGTTTACAGGCTGTGGGTACTGACGTACTGTAGACTTACCTTGAGGAAGTGTTTACAGGCTGTGGGTACTGACGTACTGTAGACTTACCTTGAGGAAGTGTTTACAGGCTGAGGGTACTGACGTACTGTAGACTTACCTTGAGGAAGTGTTTACAGGCTGTGGGTACTGACGTACTGTAGACTTACCTTGAGGAAGTGTTTACAGGCTGTGGGTACTGACGTACTGTAGACTTACCTTGAGGAAGTGTTTACAGGCTGTGGGTACTGACGTACTGTAGACTTACCTTGAGGAAGTGTTTACAGGCTGTGGGTACTGACGTACTGTAGACTTACCTTGAGGAAGTGTTTACAGGCTGTGGGTACTGACGTACTGTAGACTTACCTTGAGGAAGTGTTTACAGGCTGTGGGTACTGACGTACTGTAGACTTACCTTGAGGAAGTGTTTACAGGCTGTGGGTACTGACGTACTGTAGACTTACCTTGAGGAAGTGTTTACAGGCTGTGGGTACTGACGTACTGTAGACTTACCTTGAGGAAGTGTTTACAGGCTGTGGGTACTGACGTACTGTAGACTTACCTTGAGGAAGTGTTTACAGGCTGTGGGTACTGACGTACTGTAGACTTACCTTGAGGAAGTGTTTACAGGCTGTGGGTACTGACGTACTGTAGACTTACCTTGAGGAAGTGTTTACAGGCTGTGGGTACTGACGTACTGTAGACTTACCTTGAGGAAGTGTTTACAGGCTGTGGGTACTGACGTACTGTAGACTTACCTTGAGGAAGTGTTTACAGGCTGTGGGTACTGACGTACTGTAGATTTACCTTGAGGAAGTGTTTACAGGCTGGGGGTACTGACATACTGTAGACTTACCTTGAGGAAGTGTTTACAGGCTGTGGGTACTGATGTACTGTAGATTTACCTTGAGGAAGTGTTTACAGGCTGCTGGTACTGACGTACGTAGGTCCTTGGGGACAAAGTTGTAGATACCCTGGATTGTCTCCTTCTGTACCGGTGAGATCATGTAGGAGTCGATCGCCTTTTCCACCAACTGGTAATACCTGTGGCAAGGAAACACTTCGTATAGTGATACCTGTGGCAAGGAAACACTTCGTATAGTAATACCTGTGGCAAGGAAACACTTCGTATAGTGATACCTGTGGCAAGGAAACACTTCGTAGAGTGATACCTGTTCCAAGGAAACACTTCGTATAGTGATACCTGTGCCAAGGAAACACTTCGTATAGTGATACCTGTGGCAAGGAAACACTTCATAAAGTGATACCTGTGGCAAGGAAACACTTCGTATAGTGATACCTGTGCCAAGGAAACACTTCGTATAGTGATACCTGTTCTACCCAATGTATCAGAGTACAGATTTACAAACAATGTGTGACCAAAAATACAACGTGTTTGTTAGGTATCGAATACATTACTACGCGCACAATGCCCTCTTACCTTGGTTTGTCCTCCTCTGTCGGAGTGCAGGGGCGTGACAGCCCATGTGTGGAGAAGTAAAAGGGAGGGAAGACGACCTTAAGAACTGACAAAGTCATGTCATCATATCCTGTTGACAAGCGTAATTCGTCATCGTCTACACCACCAGAGTCAGCATCCTCATCAGACTCTTCTATATATAGAATGGAAAATTAATTTTGTGATGTTGTCTCATCATTTAACTCATTTCCTTCGCGTGGAGTAACAGAGTAGTTTATGTAATGCTAACTAATGACCTAATTAAATCATGCTACACTGACTCCATTAATGGCATCAAATAGTATACCTTTTAATATTGTCCTGCATTGTGTGCAATGGTAGGTAGGCTATAGGAGTTATTGCCCTTTATACCATCATCACAGGGAAAGGCATGAGAGGGGACCCAACATTGGAATGGGATGAAAAGGTTAAGGATGAAAGTTGAGTTGTACAGGGAGGGGGATGGTAATGTATGAAAGGGTGGAGGGGGTGGGGGAAGAGGAACAGAGTGTATAAGGGGGTGATGGTAAGTTATTGGAAGGGGAAAGGATGGTATGGAGAATTTGTTGGGTTAGGGGTAGGGGTAGGGGGAGTGAAAATAAAAAGTATGAGGAGGTACGCAGGAAGGATTGGTTAGGTTTTAAAAAAAATTACATCCTATTAACAGCTAAGGTCATTGCCTCCATGTGTATATTGTATGCATGCTTGCATGGAGACAGGGTATCTTGGTGTGCTTGCCTCCTTGTGATAGAGCGGATCTGATGGAAAACTGATGAGACACTAGGTGTGGGAGGAGATGGAATGGGTGTAGGAGGAGATGGGACAGGTGTGGGAGGAGATGGGACAGGTGTGGGAGGATATAGGACAGGTGTGGGAGGAGATGGGATGGGTGTTGGAGGAGATGGGATGGGTGAGGGAGGATATGGGACAGGTGTGGGAGGAGATGGGATGGATGTGGGTGGAGATGGGACAGGTGTGGGAGGAGATGGGACAGGTGTGGGAGGAGATGGGATGGGTTAATAACCCTAGTTCCTGACCTTGTGACTGATCTTCCTGAAGTACAGGCATGTCGTGTATAAATGGCGGTGAAGAAGGGCGGCCACTGTCCACGCTGTCGTCGACACTGACCGAGCTGAACCTGGTCGTCTCGCCAGCCCCGCCTGAACTGCTGGTGTGGTGGTGGGAACTTCCTGTGTAACTCTGTGACAGGGTTCCTGGAATTAGATCAAAATATCCATTTTTTTCTTCAGATGTGACTTAAGAACAATACACCAGCTTATGTACCATAGTCATACAAACCTACTTCTAATGACAGAAAACTGAGCTACGTTTGAGAAGTTTCAATCACTCATGTGTGATTGATACCTTACCAGCATTAAGCTAGAAAATGTGTCCAGGAAATAAAGATGTAGTTTAAAATTAATATCTAATAATTAATACACAAGATATCTATTTTCAGAATCATACAAAAACACAATTGAATGTGACTTAGAATATCTCAATATTACAGATAGCTGTTTATATTATAGTATGCTTATTTTCTGAATATCTGTCCTCAAAAGCATGCTCGCCAAACTAAGTATTCATGATAAAGATGTCATTTTACAGTAGCAATAGGACCAAAAAAAATCAATGAGGCCTTATCTTTATTGAATTAACAGTCTGACCATTTTTTAGTTAATTTTAATGATTTCTCTGTTGATTTTATTTTGACAGGCCAGGTACAGGCCATTTTGGAAAAAAGGACCATCATTTTGAAATAACCTTAACTTTTACCACTACCTTTTTATTAAACTAAACATTGTTTATATAGATGTTATCAAAGGCAATAAGACAAGGGTCATATGGAGGTGAAGACAATTTAATTACAACATAGCTTGTTTAGTCCTGCTTCAAATAAGGTATTTAAATCAAATGTGATTTGAAAAAACCCACATATAATTTGCTTTAAATCCTTCTGGTTCAGTTACACTTGAATAATTGTTGCTACCATGTATGGTTGATCAAAAGATGAAAATTAAACATTCCGTACCAGACGAATACATCAGTGACCCTGGTTGTTATGTTGACTGTCTCAATCACTGTTTGGGCTAACCATGTTTGGTCAAGCTTCATTCATTTAATTTCTGTTTCATAGCTAATTATTTTGTAAATGGGCTTTCTGAGTTCACCGTGAAAGACCTTTAATGCTGAAATATAAACACAGTATAATAACCGATTTGAAAAAACATGTCAACTCAAAAATAGTGCTAGTCATAGCAGTATTTGTTGTGTAGTCAACATAACGCAGAATACTGTGAGCAAACTCCGGAGATGCTAATGTTGGAGATCTCACTCAACTTGAATTTTCATTGTTGGAGATCTAACATGACAACATTTTTTATCAATGTCATAAAATATCATGAAGCATCATGAAGCATTGGCAGATTCATCAATATATATACAACATTTGATAAAGCGCCCTATCTAGCTAACATAAGCCACTCTAAAGTGCTTTACAGTACATAGAAATACAAATGATACAATTAGCATATACATTTATTCAATACAATTTTTGTTTGAGGAATTTGCAGGAGCTGCCTTATCAGATGCTTACTACTACCGGTAGGCCTATGCCACCTGGCTAATATCTCCCCATGTGTGTATGCCTGCGGCGCGTGTGTCATGGCAGAAGACCTGGTCTACACTCAAGGCAGCCAAGATTTAACAAATGGTAAATGCAGCCACTGTTATAGAGATACGAGAGTACTTTCCTGATTCTTTAGATAACAAGAGTTTCTCTGGTCTTTCATGATAGCAAAAATGTCAGTCGCAAAACTCCCAACTTTCCATTTAATGACCCTGTAGGTTCAATTCCATACAATTTGGTGTAAAACAGTAGACAACACAGCTGTATAGAAAAGGTCGTTAACTGACTAAGCTTTGTAATGTTGTGACAAAAGGGTTTTATGTATAGAATTCAAAACCTGGATACATTTTTTCCACAGAAAAACAATTTCTGTTAATATAATGGTTCCCTTTATATCTCTTTTTCCTCTGTCTAACAACACATGACATTAAAAGGAGTTCACTGATGCATGTTAATGGTAAAGATGTCTTACTGTGGTCATTTACCTTTATCAAAATCAATTGATAGTCAATGGACGGAATTCATGGGGAAATGAACATGTGCTACCATTCTGAATTTCAATTTACATCACAGCTTCTTACATATAGAGTAAATTTACGTTTTGTCAAAATAAATTTCTCATTACAATATAGAGCCAGCAATACCTCCAGCCTAATGAAATCAATTTTACCTGATTTGAATGAAAATAGATGCATTCATGGGAACTAGCTTGAACAGAAGATAACACTTACCAATTAGTAAGGTTTTAGAGTATATAAAAGAAACAGGGACCCTCAAGAAATGTAGGATAAATACAGTAATCAATAAATAATAATAATACACAATTGAAAAAATAAATTGTTGTCTGAGGGATTAGACAATCTTGACAGAGTGAAATGATTAATACACTATGGCTGGAGGCAACATTGATCTCCTATATTAGATCAGGGTAGTAAAGAATTCTTTCAAATTCAAAATGGTTAAAAGATTTCAAACAAGTAAGAGTGGAATATTTAAAGTCTATTAATCTTAAAAGGTTTAAAAGGTTTTTCTGTAACCTAATTCCTAAAGAAAACACAGGCTTAGTCCAGCACAGACCATTTATAAACACTGCGGAATAAAGGTTAAACGGGATCTGTATAGAGCAGTCAAGTTTACAGACTTAATGGACAGGACCCCATTAATGGTCGAATCACTTCAGTATACATAGGGAAAAGTATGGAACCTTATAGCACACAAATGTTGTGTACAAAGCTTAAACATTCATTACAAAAAAACATAGATCAAAACCCAAATGTCTTCTAAAAGCAATATATTATTGGGGGGTTTTCAGTAACTGTCAATGAATTGAAGGTTACTTGACTTGCTGTGAAATCAGATATTTTCGTGGGGCGCAAATTTCGTGGTTTCCCGACAAAACACCATTTCATTGGTACATGAATTCGTGGATTACGAATACCCACTCAAATGGAAAATTGCTTCATATCATACTTGTAATTACTTCTTGGGCCTATCAATTCGTGGATGAATATAACCTACCGATTCAACAAAATTAAAACCCCACAAAAATGAGTGAATACATAGTATATATAGTATTCAACGGAAACTTGTCTTCATTGTTCAGTTGATATTTTAAACATTTAAGTATCTTGAGAATTTCGTCACTAAATGAAAATAGAAAATGGCAGCATGTAGAAGTGTTGAATAGAAAGTAAAACCCTTTGATATTCACCGCCAACACACATGTGGTCATGTATAGATATAAATACTTTGACCACTTGGCTTACAAAGTAAGTCTAGGATAAAAGTCCCCCTACTCAGCAAACTCTTGAATTAAACTTCCAAGCCTGATTAACTATGTAACACATTTCTTATTTCCTAAATGTTACTCATTATCATCTATAAACTTCTCTCAAATAATATCTGCGGATTTACAGTCTGGACAAGCCTTGCTGTGATAAGTAACAGTCTAGACAAGTATTGCAGTGATTTGACCTCTTACCTATTTTAGTGACCTTTAACTTGAGGTATTTACTGACCTGTATGTAATATGTGACACGCTATCTTGTCATAACACACAAACCTATGAGGAAACATCGAGTTAAATCACCAGTGGTTCAGGAGTTATCGTCCAGACAATATGCAAATGGACCAATACCGCCATCCCCCTTAATTATGTAGTGACGGGAGGAATAATTCAGAGAAAGGACAGTTTATTGCATCATAATGTAGGCAGTTACAATGGTGATGTGTTCTGTGACCTAAAAAGACCTTAATAAATTAAACCTAAAACATGTTTTGAGTCAAAGGTAAAAAAATCAGTAAATATTTTAGTGTAAACAAATAACTCCACCAACAGATTTGTTTTTAATTAACTAGATAACAGGTAAGGTATTTATATGTGTCAAAAAAACATTTGTCTTATCAATATTTATGAGGAAATGTTTTGCATAAATAACCATGATTTAGTATGTAGATCTCATCATTTTAAATTAATTAAACACTTACCAGACATAAAATACTTATTTTAATTAAAGCTTATAAAAACAACAGCTCTATATAAAAATGGTCTTATTTTGTTGGTTGCGATTTGCTGTGCAATCATTTTGGAAATCAACAAGAACCTTTAAAAACGGAAGACTGAGAAAATTTAATGTAACAGTTTTGCCCTGGGTATAAATTGGATTTCAATATACTTGATGACCAGTAGCAATATTAATATTGTAGATTGTAAAATAAAATAAAATAACACTATATATATATCCTCAATTGTTCACTGTATTTTACTGTTGATNGGGGGGCTTGGAGTGGGGTAGGGGGGCCTATTACCGGATAATTATGAGTCTGTGTTTTACCAGTCATAGGCCCAGACTGGCCATTACGGTCCGCCATTTGGTTCCGGATATCACAGCTTACCAAATCAGAACTGGGAGTAGATCGTTTTATATCTATAGCACGTAAATGTTACATTTCATATTGTAAATAAAACAGAAATTAATGAAATTAATAAACATATGGGAACTTTCCATTTAAGAGTGGCGACCAATAGTTTTGAAGTACATTTTGTAAATAACATGTAAAACTGAAAATGTATTTGGAAAGATATGATAAGTAAATTCAAGTTCAATTCTTTATAAGACATTGGTAACGATCCGGCTTTCCTTATCAGTTGAAAAATGAAGCACTTATATCAAACGAGGTAATTACAAGTGCTTAAAAAACTTCTGTATGAAATGTTTTTCTTACCTTACCTGGTAGTCAATAGAGATAAGATCATATAGGCCTTCATAATAAATATTGACATTTCACTTTTTCACCTGGTTAAAACCCTTTCACCCCTATGTAACTTTAGTAGACTCTACCATGCATTGATATGGATGAGTCCATTATGGTCTACAGTGTTGAAAGGGTTAAAGAATGACCTCTAACATCAAAGTTCTGTTTTGTTCACTTTCTCCAAGTTCACAAAATAAATGCATACCTAACACCTCTGATGGAAAGCATAAAACCCAACTTACAGTAATTTCTTTAATTATTGTTGAAAATATTCAAGATTATAATCAAGTACTCAATGTTTAATTTAAGTTTTTATTTTACACAGAGATC